AGTGCTAACTTTATACTCTAGATGGCATCCATTCTTGTAAGTTGTTATCGACTAGTCGCCTGCCGAGCAGCTTGCAGCATGCATACCAGGCACCAGATAGGCAGACGCCGATTTGGGCGTGTCGATGACCTGCAGGGAGGCCGGCCACAATGCCTCAAAGTGTCTTACTGCGCTGCACTAAGACTGCGTGTCTTGGAAACTTGGAGGCCAGTTGAGTGATTGTAGCCAACAGTTATTCTTGGGAACGGGTGAAACAGCCGCTCCAAGGGATACTGTTTGGGCTAATATTGTGTCAATTTCCACCTAACGATCGCTACACCACCGGACGAAACCCTCCGAGGCACTCTCATCTACTCGAATATTCCATTGCAAGCTGTTGACAGAAGATTGCAAGCTGCTGGCTTGGGAGAGGCAGTCCATAGCCTGATGGAAGTCCGAGACAAGGCTGTCGGATATTTGCCACACATGTGAGAGCAGCCCCTACCTGTCAGGCAATAGTCGCCAAAGCTATTGAAAGAAACCCGGCATTAGCACTAGCCGACACCACGATATGAGATCTTGGTTCCGTGTGGCTGGGTCCATATCCATGTTTTGGGAACATGCGGTGTGTATCCCCGAGCTTATTGTCTTAGACACGCCAGCGGACTTTATACGTCAGCGCCGTGTCTCTAGCAAAATGATCTTGTCCTGTCGTTCGACGTGAGCGGCTATTGCATACTATCACGAGACAGCGTTAAGTCATTGGATGAGCAGTGCAGTGGATGAACGTCAGCAGAAGAATGGATAGAGACCACGCACGACGGAGCACAAGTGACACCACGGCACGGTCCGAAGTTGAAAAGAGTGAACAGCATAGCAATCGGATATTGGCACTTCCGTATATCGATGCAAGTGGATCGGCTCGTTAAGGCAATACTACTACACGCATCTTGTGTAACCTTACTACCTAAAGGAGCTGGTGATAGACGCCTCCCTGCATGCTGACTTGAAGTATTTACCTGCTAATGCCGAAACTGCATATCCCTTGATAGAGTTATTTGCTCCTACGGGTTACCGAGTGAACGTACGAGCGTCTGAATGGATCGCTTAGATTGAACCACGAAGCAAGGGCGATTTCCCATGCCATGCACTGCAGCCAAGTGATCTACCAAACATCTATTACTATGCTTGACTCAGGTACTGCCCTGGCTAGTTAGTAAACGCCCGGTATATGAGGAACCACCATATCCTTATGAATATACGACTAAAATATTACACGCCATTATGCGCCATTTAGCGATTGAGGTGTGACAGAGACATCGTATGAGACTGTGTAAGCGCTTCGCGGAAGGTTTCCCTTGCTTAAGAGGTATGCGAGATGAGATTGATAGCAGGCTAAGAGATTATAGTCGGCTTAAGGGTTAGGTGGGTTTACGTAACGTTTAATCAATGAGTTTCTATCGGATCGGATTTGCTCTCCTGGCCAGCACTGTGAGGAGGATCGAGATATTCTGTAGAAGGTGTTTTTCCCCTTTGTCGTCTTTGTCGTCTTTTTCGAAGCTGAAGAGGGGAACACTCACAGAGGTATGCATTTCAAAGAATATTCCCTCATGACAACGAATTGGGAGAGATCATAAATCTGGTGGTTCTGATGAAATCCTATGTTTTCTGTGGCTGCTCACCTCATTCATTAGAATTAGCTTTTGGCCATTGTCATCAAGCTCGAGGATGGCCAAAATGATGAGAGCTAAAATATGCAAGTCCTACTAGACGCACTGAATGGTACGTTCCCAGAAGAAGAAAATGAAAAAGATAGAAGCTTTTAGTTTTTGTTTTCATTTGTTTTTACCTGAATAAGATAATAGACTTTTGTTCTTCCTTTGGCTTCTCATCAAATTACAAACCACCCAAAAACCGAGTCCTCCTAACGTATGCGGATTGAAGTGAGTGAAAGGTCCTAATTTTCACACTGTATAGTTAGTCAACTTTCCCATACACTTCACAGTGTGCACCAAGGCTAACCCCACATGGCCAGCCCATTGACCGACTTCCTTTTACGTGGTTTCGTAACAATGAGGTACATAGATAGTCCGTTCATGTATTTTTCTGGTCAAAGATCCAACCGCGGCAGGCTGCGATACTCACACACACAAAGCAAAAGCTACCTAGGTATTCAAGGAAGACGGCGACCACTTGACACTCACAGGCGATATTCGAAATTGGCAGTTGCTGAGGTCGTCAATTGATTCCCCACGGATCATCCAAACCCCCGCATCTGCGAATGGCTGGACCTTGATCAGCTCACATCATCTGCTGTGCTCCAGCAACACGGCGCCATCATGAGCGACCTGCAGCGAGCTTGGGCAAAATCAAAGCTGGGGCTTGCTCCCGAGCCCTTTGAAGAGTTGGACGAGGCTGAGGAAGACCAGGTGCCGGAGCTGCCAGAGGGGCTTCCAGAGGGGCTGGACGACGACTCGTCCTCGGCCTCTTCGGTCTCCTCCACGGGGACGATTATCCCGACGCCGAGCCAGAAGCTCTTTGCTCGCCCCCAAGGGTAACTACACCTGAGCTGGACATGGCAAGCACTTGATTATGGGCTGTCGGGCTGACGGTACGCAGCGTAGCGAGGGGCCGGACGCTGGAGCAGATTCCGTGGACAACGTACTTTGAACGAGAGCTGTTTCTCAAGTCGGACACCAACCCAGAGGTGACTTACCATGTATACCTCAACTCACCGGTGGATAAGGGGCCCTTGTACGTGATGCATCATGGTGCTGGATCATCGGGACTGTCTTTTGCCTTGGTAGGCTCTGAGATACGGAAACGACTCCCCAATGCTGGCATACTGGCAGTCGATTGCAGAGGCCACGGCTCTACCACTGCGCCTGACGGTGCAGCTCTAGACTTGCGGCTAGATACGTTGTCATCAGATCTATTTGCCATGGTTGAGGCAACAAAAAAACAAATGAGCTGGCCGGAGTTGCCACCAATAGTGCTCGTGGGCCACTCGTTGGGCGGCGCTGTTGTCACTGATTTAGCCATGTCCGGGAAGCTGGGCAACTCTGTCCTAGCATATGCGGTCCTAGATGTCGTCGAAGGCTCTGCAATGGATGCGCTCCAGAGCATGCAGACGTACTTGTCCACACGACCAGGGGGGTTTGCAACTGTCGAGTCGGGCATCGACTGGCACATCAGGACCCGGACTATTAGAAATTCAGTTTCTGCTAGAGCCTCAGTGCCAGCGCTCCTGGTCTGGGACGAGAGCAAAGACGTGTCTCGCCCTTGGAGGTGGAGGACAAATCTCGCAGCTACGCAGCCTTTTTGGGAAGATTGGTTCGTGGGCTTGAGCAAGAAATTTCTGGGAGCACGCGGTGGAAAGCTTCTGCTGCTTGCTGGCACGGATCGACTAGACACGGAGTTGACAATTGGGCAGATGCAAGGTATGTCCAATGCTCCATGTTCCATGGAAATATTGGATTTGTATACATGTTTGTGAGTGGAGCTCAGCGTGGCTAACGTATCTATGTCAAATAGGAAAATACGCTCTACAAGTGTTCCCCGATGCTGGGCATTTTATTCACGAGGATAAGCCAGAGCAGACAGCCATATCTCTGGTAGACTTTTATCGGCGAAATGACCGGAGTGCGCTGGTCCTGCCACCAAAGGTCTCTGAACTCTTGAGGCAAGGCAAAAAAGTATAATCTACCTAATCAGTACCCAGGGGAGGGAAGTGTACGCGTGGCGATGGGGAAATGGCTTCTAGGCGTTTGAAAGAACTAGCAATTGCGTATACTTTGGTGCTCACGCCCGTATTTAACACCCCCCCATATAGAATGTTGATTGATGAATGGAGATCAAGGGAACACCTGCGGTTGCTTGATTTGGAGTTGGAGTATGACGGCTTGGAATACTGCTTGACTGCTATGGACATTGTACGTTTCAAGTTAGGAGGATGTTTGACAGCGCAAAGATTGAATGGATCACGCTTTGATACCAGACAGTGATACTACTGCTAAGCATCACCGCCGCCTCAGCGCGACAAGGAAGTCTCGGCTACGTCATCAAGTGAGTTGTAATGGCAAGGGGAAGCAGAGTAACGTTGGATCCCTGCATTCTTCTCATTCCTTTTGCCCGTTTTGCCCTGGGATTCGCAATCGCCAGCATCTGTCTCCCCACAGATCGAAAGCCCAGCTTGCCCAGTCCTTGCCAGTCAACCAGTCTTACCTCTGCTGCAAAGACGGAACTGGGTGGATGCTGCCAGGCTGCTGCTTCGTAAATGCCTGCAATTTGGCACGTTGATCTGCAGAATGCCAGCATCCCTAGCCCACTCGTACGGCGGGCCAATCTATTCCTTGTCGTTGGAGCTGTCTGCTGGCAGCTGCTTATTGCAAGGGCTGGCGACATGTCCAGTGGTAGCCCAGTAGCAGTCCAATATGCAGCATTACGACGATGGCGTCTTGCGGCCTGGTCTGTCTCACTTGTCAGACGAGAAGAGAGATTGCTACGACCCTGTACGAGCATACCATACAGGTAAACTAACTAAATTAAACCACTCCTAGTAATAATCCTCGTACCAATGGTCAACTGTCAAAGCGCGAGTACGAGTAAGAACGCGCCTGGTGACGAGAGAAAAACAACACCTAGTCTTCGGGTTGGCAGAGAGTCCATGTCCGTCGCCAGATGCCCGATTGGCCGCAGACCCCTGGCGTCGGGGACCGCATTTACCTGGCGTCAAGCCCAATCAGTGGCTTCAGGGCATGCTGCGCTGTGGCTTTGGCACCATCGACCGCTAGCGAGGAGGCGGAAGCCCCCAAGGTTCAGATGATTCGCGCGCTAGAGGCCGCTAAGTGCTCCCTTCCCCAGACACGGAACATCGCTAGCACCCAAATGGTCTGCTGATGGTGTGTTGGCTGCAGCTCGAGGCCATTGGGGATTCCTCGTCGTCCTCCCTTTTGCTTCTCCAACCCTTGACTTTTTTTTTTTTTTTCCCTCTCTGACCTTCCCCTCATCCCAATCCAGCCCGTTCAATCCGGATTACTGTTGCTTGTCCTGAAAGGCTTCACCAAACTCTCTTTTTCACGTGTCAATCACCTGTCAATCACTCAAGATGAAGGCCTCCGTCCTCTCGCTCGTTTTCCTCTCCGGCCTTGCCGCCGCCCAGACTACCATCCCAACCTGCGCTGTAAGTAACAACAAACAAGAACAACAATAATAGCAACTCTTGGCATCCATCCATGTACATGATTCCATCAACAAGGGCCCTCAAGGAAGAGGTCGCTCTCCACTTGATGGAGTCTGTGCATTTCTGCTTCCTCTGTGGCATCAACAAGTCGTGAAGCTGACACAATCAACAATCATAGACCGGCTGTGTCACCCAGTTCACCACCGGCAGTTCGATTGCTGGCTGCGGACAGCTCGACATCAAGTGTATCTGCCAGAATGCCGATTTCCTGAGCGGTATCGCATGCTGCCTGGCCTCGGCCTGCGACCAGTCCGCCCAGACCCAAGCCGTAGCCTACGCCAAGCAGATCTGCTCTTCCGCTGGCGTCTCGGTTCCCGACCAGGTCGTCTGCAACGAGAAGTCGTCCAGCAGCACGTCTGAGGCTCCCAAGGAGTCTTCCACTGCCGCCGAATCCTCTACCTCGACTGCCAAGACCGAGTCCTCTCACTCGTCCAAGACCGGCTCTTCCGAGTCCACCACTGCCGCCGAGTCCACTTCTGCCCCTGCCACGACCGGCTCTGCCTCCCAAACCACTGGCACTACTGCTGCCGCATCGCAGACGACCTCTGCGGCTAGAACCACAAGCTCCAACGTCGCTGCCCCTCTGGCTTCCGCTGGCAGCTTCGTCGGTGCTGCTATTGCTATGCTGGCCGCTGCCCTGTAAGCTGGCAATTGAGCCACCCAATTGAGCGGCGAGAGACTCCGGGCGCTGTCTCGGGCAATACGTTTGCTTTTAGTGGAGGACTACAGATGTAACAATACGGGCTGAATGCGATGGATTGTTTGATCAGGCGAGAAAATGCTTTGTCTAGCGAGCCGCCAATGCCGAGATACGATACAATAATACCGGGTGCTACCCCACCACTAATATACTGTTTTCATGTATTCGTCCTAATCAAGAGTTTATATTCCCTTCCATCTCATACGCCGATGCCAATGTGATACTTGTACACGATGTCTGACTTGAATCCTCTTCTTTATGATATTATTTACTTGGGCACGCATGATGACGTTGTGCGACGCTTATAGCGCCGTTGGAGATGCATAAGTGCGGCCACATCCATCACAAGCAAAATAATGGACTTGATCCAAAAGAAACTAAATGCAGAGAAAAAAATCTTGAAAGGTTTTCAGTTGTTCAGGCTGTAGGTTTAGACCTGCCATAAAAAAGCTTAAAGATGTCGGTCCAGGGCGGGTGTCATAACTTTAAAAATCGCACATCAGCATCCAAAGCGAGATTTGTGCCAAGGAGCTAGGAAAAGCCTTGCTCCAGAATATCGAATGGTGGGGTTGGCATGAGATCATTTGGCTTGGACCCTGAAATGCATGTGAAGACGAAACGCCATGCGGTGGCTGCAAACCAAATTTGTGCGAGCTGCGGATCGGGCGGAATGAGAGTTTTTTGTTTAAAATTTGCAATCTTGTCCTGGATTTCTCGATTCCGGATCTCATGGGTGCGCGTGGCGGATGGCTTGGGCATCTTGATGACGCGAGGATGGGATTCTTCTCCAATACTAGTGGTGCGGAGAAGAGCCCCGAAGGCTTTGCTCAGGTTTGAATAGTCGCTGGAGGACATTGAGAGTATTGAAGCACTATTCTAATGTATTTTTTACACTATTTATATCCTGAACCTGCTATATGCTCATGAATCCTGCCCTCATTCTTTCTAATGGATCTCACCCTCAATATTGAGATTATTTTCACAGCCTTATCATCATTGTTTGGGTCTTCAACTCTAACTATCCTAATTTCCAATGACCTCATCAATTGCACTGATAAGCCCCTTGATTTCGTCCACTGTAATAACAAGTTAGCCCGCTTTCCTCTGAATTTGCAACAGCATAGGGACTTGCCTGTATTGTAGTGCACCATGCTCACTCTCACAACCCCGTCTTTGCCCAAGCCCAAGGTCTCTCGAACAAGTCGGTCCGAGTAAAATGTCCCCCAGCGGAAAGCATAATTAGTCTTGCTTTCCACTGCTTCCACGAGATCTTGAGAGTTCCACCCCTTGACGGAGAAGCTGATAGTTGCGACTCGATCCGAAGTCTGCTCTCCTGGGACACCATAAACGGTAACGTTCGATTTCAATACGAGATAGTTTAGGAGCTCATATTGAAGGCTTGCTTCTTGAGCGATAATGCTGTCCCATTTGGAGTCCAGATACTCGACAACTTTTGGAATAGACTGGACCAATTCGTATGATGCACCGGCAAGACCAAGCTTATCTTCTAGAGAAGCGGACGGGTTGAAGAAGTGGCCCAGCGACTTCAGATGAGTTTGCGCGCTCCAGCTACCGTAGAGCATGGAGATGTGAGGCCCGTAGACCTTGTACCAAGAAAAGCAGTAGAAATCGACGCCAAAGGCCTTGACATCAATGGGCCGGTGGGGGGCATATGCCACAGCATCAACGCAAAGAAGGGCACCAACGCTATGGGCCACATCCGCCACGGCTCGCACGTTGGTGATTGTTCCCAGAATGTTGCTTGCGTGTGTGCAAGTGACCAGTCTTGTCTTTGGCGACAAAAGCCCAACCAAGTCTTTAGCTAGCAGCTGAGGGTTCGTGCTGGGAGCCGGCTTCCACCACTTGAGAACGAGGTTCTGTCGCTCCGCCAGGTCTACCCATGAGGCAATGTTGGCCTCGTGATCAATACCGGATACGACAATCTCATCTCCCGGGTTAAATTTGAGGGCATACGAAAGATTGCGAAGAAGTTGTGTGGTCGAGGAGCCAAAGACAATCTCGTCAGGATTGGCGTTGATGTACTTGGCAGCAGCCTTGTATCCAGCGCTATACGCGGACGTGGACTTCTTGCCCACAGCGTAAGAGGCGCCGAGCTGCACGTTAGTAGAGCTGAGATAGTCTCTGATGGAGTCAATCACAGTATCAAGTGTCTGACTACCTCCAGCGTTGTCGAAAAAGACCTGGTCTTGCCGGAGGGCGGGGAAGCGATCCCGAACCTCCTTCTGATGATTCTCAAAAGCCATGGCTTCAATTTCGGCACGATGTTGATGTGGAGAGGAAGGATAAGAAGGGAATATCGAAGGATATATTAGAAGTATTAGAAATTACATGCAATTGCTTCAGAGTGTTAAATATTATACCAAGGACCTTTTGTGATGCTGTAATGAGGGGCATCAGGAATTCGGCTTGATATCACCCATTGAAACCGAGCGCCGCTTCCCCGAACAGGCAAGTCCCCGCCAAAAGTTTCCAAGTTGCTGGCCAAGGCCGCTTAATTAGTCAGTGCTTTTCCGAAGGGCGTGTGTTCAACACTTGGCGACACATGAGGGGTTATATGAAGACCAGTGGAAGGAGAATGGGGAAATCGACCTGGATTGATAACTTTAGGCTGTGTCTATAGTTACATGGCTCATTGTCTGATGCGGTGGTGGTTGTTTCGTAAGAAGCCTGTGCTTTACAGGGTATGTCGTCCAACCAAGAGAGGCAGCATACATGTATATACATGTAGACGCGAGTCCGGAACTGAGAAAAAAAGGAAAATCATAAACATTTATAGTAGCAGACCTTGTGCTGTCCCATGCAAATCTATGGTTCATTGAGAAGTAAATTGAAAAGAATTGTTGATGTATCATAGGAAGAAGACAGAAGGAGAGGAGCTTGCATGGACAGCATACCTATTGACAAGACACGTATCTATTGATTAACTCTCATAATTAGCCAAAGCAATCTAAAGCGATTCACCTAGTTTGAAGAGATTAACTAATTTAGCATCTCATTATTCATTCCTAACTGAAAAATAGGTAGTCGTATCAATGCACCTCAATGGCGATTGTAATAGCTGGTTTTCCACATTAGGAAATCAACAGGCTTAGCTTGGTGGGGAAGCAAGTGGTGTCGGATCATTGAAGGCGGCAGAAAAAAAAAAGTTGGAGATGCGCGATCGGCTGATCTCGCAACTCGCCTCATGCCATTTCCCACCTCTTTGCGAAAATCTTTTCACCCAGATCTTCTCGCCATTGACACTGCCGCAGCCAATTGCACAGAGTCGGCCATAGACAGCCCTCGAAACCATGAAGAGAAAGGCGGAAAGCCATGCTTCTGGCAAGAAAGCCGGCACCAAGAAGCCCAAGACCAGTGAGCCAGCCCTTGCTTGTCCAGCTTCCTCGTCTTCAGTTGGATGCTAACAGTGGGATGTAGCAATAAGCCCAGAAGATGCAAAGAAGCGCTTTCGAAAAGGTCTTTTCGACGACTCCGTCCTCAAGTCATACACGAATGAATATGCAGAGTCGTCGCCGTATAAACATGCCGTCATCCACGAGCTGGTCGATGACAAGCTGCTCCGGTCGGTTCGAAGCGAAATCCGCGACAATGTACAATTCACTCCCAAAGAGACGGATATTTACAAGATCCACCAATCCGGCGATCTGGCCAACCTGGATGGCCTAGACGACGAGTCTCTTTCCAAGCTGCCCTCGCTCCTCTCCCTTCGTGATGCCATTTACTCTGAGACGTTTCGAAACTACGTCTCTGGCATCACGGGCTGCGGCCCTCTGAGCGGCAAGAAGACGGACATGGCCATCAACATCTACACCCCCGGCTGTTACCTGCTCTGCCACGACGATGTCATTGGCAGCAGGCGAGTCAGCTACATTCTCTACCTGACCGACCCCGACACTCCTTGGAAGCCCGAATGGGGCGGCGCATTGCGCCTGTTTCCGATCCAGGAAATAAAGAACAAGGACGGCGAGATTGCCAAGACGCCACTCCCTGACGTGGTCAAGGTCATTCCGCCAGCCTGGAACCAGCTGAGCTTCTTCGCCGTCCAGCCCGGCGAAAGTTTCCACGACGTCGAAGAGGTGTACCACGCTGAGACAAAGGAGCAGCTAGAGAAGGAGGGCGGCCGCGTGCGCATGGCCATCAGCGGCTGGTTCCACATCCCACAGATCGGAGAGGACGGATACATTGAGGGCGAGGAGGAGAGAAACGCAAAGAACAGCGGCCTCATGCAGCTCCAGGGTAATCCCGCCCAATACGATGCGCCGCAGGCACAGCCAGTCAAGGTCGAAGAAGCAAAAGGCAGTGAGGCCGAGTTCGAAGAATCCGACCTGGAGTTTTTGCTGCAGTATATTGCACCCACATATCTGACACCTGATACGTTGGAGCAAGTCTCGGAGCACTTTGAAGAGAACTCAAGCATCACTCTCGCAGATGTCTTGTCCAAGAAATTCTCTAAACGCATCCAGGATTACATTCAAGCACAGGAAAAGGCTTCTCTTCCCGAAGAGAGCTCAGTCATTGAAAAGTCGACTTCCTGGAAAGTGTCAAAACCACCCCACAAGCACAGATATCTCTACCAGCAGCCTTCTGCGTCAAGCAAATCTCGCAAATCGTCAGATGAGTCCCCTATTACAGAGCTTCTAGATAAGCTCTTCCCGAGCCGTCAGTTCCGTCACTGGCTGCAAGTCGCAACGGGCTGCACCATTGAGAGCCACGACGTCATGGCCAGGCGATTCCGCCGTGGAATGGACTACACTCTTGCCACCGGCCACGAGGGCAAGGCTCGTCTGGAGCTCAACCTAGGCCTTACGCCAACATCCGGTTGGGGAGACGCCGCCGACGACGACGAAGAAGACGAAGAGGCCCAAGCTGAAAAGGAGGCCAAGGCCAACGGAAAGAACAAGAAAAAGGGCAAGGGCAAGGGCAAAGCCAAGGCCGTGGAGGAGCCAGAGAAGGAAGTCGTCGAGGTCGGTGGCCATGAGGTGTACATGGCTGGCGACGACGACACCAACGAGGACGCGGCGGTGTACAAGTCTAGCGGGGACGACGACAACATCTTGTTCTTCCAGGCTGCGGCGTGGAACAAGATGACGCTCGTTCTGCGGGATAGCGGTGCCCTCAAGTTTGTCAAGTATGTGAGTAAGAAGGCCAATGGTGACAGGTGGGACATCTCAGGCGTGTTTGAAGTAGAAGAGCAAGATGACGATGGCGAGGATGAAGATGAAGATGAGGACGAAGATGAGGAGGAGGAAGAGGATGATGATGAGGACGGGGACGAGGACGAAGAAGTGTTTGAAGGATTCTCAGACTAGAAAGCGTGTGTAAAATTATGACAAGGAAGGGTTTATGAAGCATCCATGCATGCTATAGAAATTGTGTTTTTTACATTTGGGTCATTTTATTTTAGCCTCTCTATCGAGACTGGGTATCTAAATATCTCATGTGTTTGTTCTCCGTGAATTGCGCCTTATCCATGACCATGACAATAAAAATTTCTCTCTCCAGGTAGATCCAAATACTTCAACCTCAAGTCGGCGTCAAGGTCTCTGCAAATATGTCTGACAATTCTGACCGTAAGATCTCTGTGATGCCTCGTGCTTCCTCGCTTCTTCCAGACTGCTTCAGATGGTTGACCGTGTCGTGGCCTAGAAACGCGATCCACGGTATTGTGCCCATGCCCGTGAATTTGGCAAGGTTCAGTTTCTCGGGGCCCAGCGCCTGCACCAGCTTGCGTAATCTCTTCTTGTCATTGAAAAATTGCAGGGCGGGAACGTGGTTGGGGTGTGTTGGGTGATATAAATGCAGATGCGCTGTTTCAACCGGAAACGGTCTCGGGAGCCGTTCGGCTGTGGCCATGTGGGCTTCGAATAGCTTTTCTGTTGGCATTGCTCTGCTGTATGCCTCTACCGTGGATAGCCAGGACACGGATCTCCATGGCTGGACGAGTAGTTTGGGGAGTGAAGGATTATGCTCAAAGAGGCGCTCCGCCTCGAGGATTGCCTGAATGGCCGCATCGAGATTTCCGTAGTGGGACTGGCTCTTGATGCGGACAATCTGTGATAACAAAGAGGATGCGCGAGCAATGCGCTGCTCTTCGGTGATGCCTGCGGACTCGTTCATGGTTCGGATGATCCATTCCCAGGCTACTCCCTCCATCCTCTCGGCAACTAGGAAAGGCACAAGAGCTCGAACAAAGGCTGCCCTGTCAAGGAACTGAAGGCTTCCTTCTGCACCGGATGATCGAAGCCATCGAACAACTCGGAGAGCCGTATCCGAAGATGTGACAGGGGAGTCTGCCTCCGCAGCAGCCTCCATCTGATGCCCTTTGGCCACCAAGCAGCCCGTGGCAGCCTTGAGCGTCATCATGCCCCTTGACACGGCATGGTCAAACACATCCATAGGGTCGCGATCCGATACCCACAGCGCCTTCGGCAAGTGGGATGGGCTTTGTGTGTTGCTGCTGCTGTCGTAGCTGAATAAAGGGTTGGATAGAATGGATTTCAAATGCAGCGTTGCGGCAGAGCGGCGAGTCTGGGTTTCGGCGTCTCCGGACTTGGCGGCCGCGGCGGCGCTGTCAGAGGACGAGCGGCCATATTCGCGGTCTAGCTGGCTTCGAAAGGACGCCTTGAGGCCATCGAGCAGCTTTTGCGACTGCTGCTTGGAGATGGGCAGGGGTTCGTGATAGCCGGCGAAGAGCTTCCGGAGCGACTGCGCGGACTTGGTGGAGAACATGGCGGGCGGATATTGTTGGTTTGGAAAGGGCCAATGGACCAAGTGAATTCGCACAAGTATACGAGTAGTATCGTAGCAAGCACTGCCCGGCAGGCAGGCTGAGCAAGGGACAACTGTAGGGAGGCTGGCCGCTGTCTCGAATTCGAGGCTATTCAATGCATCGCGCAGTATCAGACGGCAAGGCTAGCCTCATCATGACATGAGCCACCCAACCAGGCCGAGTCATGTGATACATGGGCTGAGACTGGACCCCAATCGAGAGCTGCGGTGGAGCGCCCGGGTTCGCTAACGTGCAGTCTAAGGGCTGCTGGACGAAGGCGGAGGTACAGCAACTTGCCACGTCTGGGTGCTGAGGCTGTGCGACCGAGTACCGGTACAGACACGGTGGCTCTTTGTCCTTTGTCAGCGTGTTGCAGTGGATGGATGCCTGAACTTGAATTCCATTCATCGTTGAATGTGCAGATGATTGGGGGAATCGAGGTGCCTGTACGGAGCACTGGCCTGGCCTGTTAGGACTAATGGGCCTGTTAGCATAGGAAAGGGTATCTCCTAGTGGGACTAACTGGTCCCTAAGACTGGGCCATGGCGAGGCTGGATGAAACAGGAAAGTCAAGGCGTGCGAAGCATATGGGTGTCTCTTGCGCCGGCCAATTGCACAGCATCGCGGCCATTGCCAGGCGGCCATGCAAACATTGTCCAGGTCTCACCCGTGCCCTGCCTCGCTGTTCCAAGACACAATGGGCTCGCAACGGCCCAACTCGAGGCTTGGAGTACTGCCGAGCACAGTGTGTGGCGCACTGCTTGACAGGACTAGCCGCAAAGTTTAAGTGTGCGGGCGTCAGCTGCATCTTACGAGGCCTGGGGAGGCAGCACTGTGCAGATTCACTCGGCACAAGGTGCCTGTGCCCGTCGGGGTGCCCTTGCGCACGATCTGCGATTTCCAGGTCGAGGTACACAGTGGTGGCTGACAGTGCGAGAGAGAAGGACGCAGCACAGCAAGCCTTGCCCCAGACTGACTATTGGATTGAGGTTTTCTGTCAGTGCCAGTTGGGCTGCCGTCAGTTTGAAGTCAATTCATGGTTTAAAACAACGTGACGTGAGCTTTCCATAGCATCCATGGATTGATCAAAATCGCGTAAAATCAGTAATATGCACCTGGATAGAAAGATATGCACCTGCTAAGACACCGGGCTGGCTCTACTAAGCCGTGCACCGCAGCCTCGTGCTCAATGTCTGTCTGACTGTCTCTCTGACTGTGACTGTCTCTCTGCTGGGCAGCGGGCGACGCATCAGGCAGCGGCCACAGCCTGCCTCTCGCCTCTCTAGCTCTCTAGCCCTATCCGAGCGCTGAAAGGCTTGCCCACCGCCCAACCTGCCCCTCCTTGGGTCCTTAGTCCTTAGGCGGGATCTGGCACTGTGTTGCACCGAAACAAGTACCTGCTGCTGCGCTTCCAACGCGGTCAAGGGGCGTCACAGGCGCTCAAGCCAAAAAACCTTCGTGACCAGCCTTTCGTCTGCTTCCGGGCAAAACCTCGTGCCCTCCACCTTTTGACCTCCCTTTGCCACAACACCACGCACCCTCAGCATCTACGGCTCTCTCCTGAGTACGCTCGGCTCTTGTTCTCTTCGTTGTTGTTTTTTCTCTTCTCTTCTCCATCTTTTCCTCTCTCGTCTCTCTGCTCGTTGCACGCTCTGCAGAGGCCATCTGACGGGCCACTGCGCAATTGCCACTTCCCTCCCATCTCCACATACCTAATCAGCTTCCCATGTCTGAGGTCATCTCACGGCCATCTGCCTCACGCGGCAGAGGCTCCGGTCGAGGCGGCAGAGGGGGTTTCGCCGGTCGAGGCGGCCGCAGAGCCAATGGCGATAAGACGGATCACAAGACCGCCGACGACAACTTGGGCACCTTTGAGGATGAGGGGGAGTTTGCCGAGCTTCGAAAGCAGTATGGCGACAAGACCTCTGTGATCCGCGAAATGTTCCCCGACTGGTCTGAGGCCGATGTCCTCTATGCTCTCAAGGAGACGAACGGTGATGAGACTGAGGCTGTCACACGAATGGCTGATGGTACGTTGGGAGACAAATTCTGCTGCTTGCCTTTTTTCTAGGGCGTTTCCTTTTTCCCTTTCTTGCCTGCAAACTCTGTTTGCGTCCAGCAGTCCAATTTCAGAGCAGCAGCCGATTCCATATGCTCACCGCAGCTCAATTCCATGTTCAATTGCTAATGTCGATTTTTTTTCTTCTCCCTTTGCAGGCACCATCTCCCAGTGGGGCGAAGTCTCCAAGACGAAGAAGACTGCTCGCACCAAGGCCAAGGACACATCCTCCGCACCTGTCAACACTGACTTGTCAGCCGGCGCTCGAACTGCTCGTGGTGGTCGCAATGCTTCCGACGCAACTCGTGGCCGAGGCAGGGCTACCGACAGGGGAGGCCGTGGCGGACGTGCTCGATCGACTCAGCCCACCAACGGATCTCGAACCAAGGAAAACCAGCAGCTGTCTGTGCCTACCGAAGAGTCCCCCGCATACAAAGACGACGCGGCCAACGGCGTGGAAGAGAAGCCCGTAATTGTTGAGAAGGCCATCCCCGCCGAGCCCGTCAAGCCTGCTGCACCCCAAGTCAAGACCTGGGCTAGCATGCTTCGGCAGTCGACAGCTCCCAAGGTTGTGCCGGCACTTCCAAAGGAAATCCCTGCTCCCAAGCCCGCCGAACCCGTCGAACCCGAACCCGTCCCCGAAGCCGCCCCTGTTGAACCTGAACCTGCCAAGCCCGAACCCGAAGCGGAAGTCGAGTCCACTCCCGTTGTCGAGCAGGCCACTCCTGTTGTCCCCCCCGCCGTCACCGAACCAGTTGCCGAGATACAGCCCTCTCAAGATGAGCTCACCGAGACCAATCTAGAACAGGTTGTTGACGTCTCTCAGCCTCCCGCGACAGACACCGCTGCAAGCACTGCTGCTGACTCTTGGGACCCCCGACAGAGCCCCCCCAGCGCCAATGCCACTCCTCTTTCAGCTGCTCAGCAACAACACCAAGCTCAGAGAACCGCCACCAGCGGTTATGCTGCTACCGCCTTGAAGGCCACCACTGAGAAAGCTGCCCCACGCACTCCCAGCTTCCAGCGACGAGTTCTCGACCAAGAAGAGGCTGTCCGCATGCCTGGCAACCGCGAGGTGGATCGCGCCGCTGTGCAGTTTGGTGCTTTCAACCTCGATGACGACGAAGATATTGATGGCGAGCGTGAGGAGCCAGAGACTCGAGCGCAGCCCCCCGCCGACTCGCCCGTTGCCGTTCCTCGAACCTCTCTTCCCCCGGCTACTCAGCCTGTTGCTGTGCCGGAAACCTTTGCTCCTAAACCCACTACTGCTCCTCCTCCTGGAATGGCACCTATTGGTATGACAATTCCTCGCCCCTTCTTTTTTGAGTTGGATATTCCTTGTTTCTTTTCCCTTTGTCTTGTTTGCTTTTTTCAACCTTACACCCTTTGATTCTAATCATCCACATAGCCGCTGCCGCCACCTCAGTTCAGGCACCTATTCCCTCTCAGCGTATGTTTCAAGTAGCAGTTCACAAAGTAGTCGACGTTTACTAACCAATTTTTTTTTTCTAGCTGCTCAACCTCCTATCCCTAACACTCAGCAATTCGGTCGATTCGGTCAGGCCGGTCCGCAGGACATCTCGGCAGCTCAACAGAAGCCTCTGGATCCTTTCAACCAAGGCGCCCCCGCATCTCAACCGCCGTTTGATAACTTCGCGGCTCAAACTTCCCAGCCTCCCGCACAGCAACCTGGTGTAGCCTTCAGCTCGGCACCTAGCGACTACTCAGCCTACTATACCGCAAACCCGCAAGATCGAAACCCATACGCCTTTTACGGCCAGCACTTTGGCCAGCAGGGAGCACACGCCCAACCGGAGGGCGTTTCTTCTCAGCAACGGCCTTTTGGAGGCTATAATGCCTCTCAAACTGATAACCTGAGCCAGTACCCGCAGAGCGCTACTGGCCACAACCAGCCGAGATTCGGCGGCAGCAACGAGAACCAGAACAGTGGCCACTCCACCCCCAATCCCGTCACTCAGGCTCAGCAGCAGCAGCAGCCTCAGCAGCAGGGAGGCCCCGGTTCTCAGCCTCAGGCTCACGGACAATACCCCGGATATAGCCACCCATACTATAGCAACCCCTACTACCACCAATATTACTCTGGATACGGCCAAGGAGGATTTGGACCGTATGGCAAGGGTGCCATCTATGGACAGCCTTATGCCAATGCTCCGTATGATCACACCTCGTCCCCCGGAACCTTTGGCCCCTCGTCCCTCCACAGAGAGAGCCCTCTTGGCTCCGGTCTTGGTGATTACGGCCGCGCTGGTTCGGCCCAGGCAGGCAGCCAGCCTGGCCTAGGAGGAAGCAGCTTCGGAAGCACCCACGACAGCTTTTCTCGCGGCGCTTCATCCTTCCAGTCTCAAGGACAATCATTCAGTAGCCAGACACAGCCGAGCGCCGGATCTTCGGGCGATGAGCTGAAGCCGTTTGGCGAGGCCAAGACTTCCTCTGGCCCCTCGCCCTCTCTCCCTCGCCCTGGCTCCGCCACGAACACGGCCCCCGGTGGACAAAGCGGCAGCCTCCCGCCTCCCCAGACGTCCCAAATGGGCGGTGCCTACGGTGCCTACCCGAGCCACTTGCAAGGCCACGGCCTCCATGGTAGCGGCGCATACGGCATGGGCGCCGGTGCCGGTGCCAACCAGCACAGCACCCCCTATGGCTCTTACGGCCAGGGCGGATTCGGCAGCGGAGGCTACTACAGCACCGGCCAGCAGCAACAGCAGCAAGGCCAGCAACAGCAGCAACGCGGCGGCTGGGGCGGAAACTACCATTAGTGGGGTAGATGCCGTGAAGGGAAACGACGAGGGCGATATCGCCGTGAGCGAGATGGGATCGCGCTCGTCATGAATCCAGGGTTCGCGAAGGGGATGTGATTCCCCCCACCCCCATCTTTTACTATTATTTTTTTTACTCTTTTTTACCCTTGTTCTTTATTACAAATGGACTTGTGTGTGTGTGTGCGTGTCACTACACTAAACACCTTATGAGAGGTTGATTTCGAGGTACGGAAGAGGGAACAGGGCAGCACCACATGTGTGCCCCTCATGCAACAAGGTTCGGGAATGGAGGCGGAGAGAAAGAAAGGAAGTCTTGCTCAAGTCTCTAACTCGTTGATGCAAACGTGTACGATTGTTTCTTTTAATTTCATTTTTTCGAGAATCACCTAGAAGAAAGCAGGGTGGGCGGCTTGGGCAAAATGGAAAGAAAGGCTACGAGGATGGATGGGGGAGCACGGATTTGTTTGATTGTCGTTCCCGCTCAATTGTTCCCCTTGGGGGCTCTCGAGGGCAACCGAAAAAAAAATTGACTGGTTTTGTTGTGATTTGACGCATGGGTCTCATTCACTTTTTTGGGAGGGCCTTTTTTTTCTTTCCCGCCTGGGTATATTAAGTCGGCGGTGGTTTTACGGATAGGGCAGGTCATTGAAGAAGCAAATCACCATGGGGGGGATTGAGATGCTTAAGTGGACACGGCGAATAGGCAGTCAACAAAAAAATGCAAACGTTTGATGAGTGCACGAAGAAGAATATGTTTTGAATTTGTTCCAATGACATCCAGCCAAGTGTTGTATTTTGTTTTTATTTTGTCGTTGATGGGCTGTGACGTGAACAAGTACCGGGTGAGATAGAAGCCAGAAGGTGAGCGACAATCCGCGATTTCGTATGGAGACGGGCAATAGAGTACGGCCGAGGTGGATGGAGTGATGCAGTGTGAGTGGTTGCGCGCGTATGAAGGCCCGATGACTTTGTAAGAATCAGCACAAATTGAGAACAGTTGGAAGCCGAGTTGCACTGCTAGCTGCTAGCTTCGCCCTGGGGAGAGCCGACGGATAGAAAAGCATGTTGATGCAGAGAGGGAGGTTTGTGTAAGTTGTTGGAGTTGATCATCGACACTGACACCGAGGCCGGCAGTGTCTTTACCCGAACTGTGGGATATCTGGCTGACGCAACACCAGAGCTTCACTCATTGCGCCCAACAGCTTACTAACCTGGTAATACTAATACCGGTCAAGTAGGAGACGGACCATCTGCCGATTCCATCAGCCAAACTTACGAGTACAAGAGGGGGAGCAACAAGGCTTGTTTAGCGCACTCTTGTATGGTATTATCTTACCGGCATGAAAAGTCGGGAAGCTCGAAACCCGGCGTATCTACGAGTATAATGTCCTATTTGCCGTAATTCCCACGGGGGATGGCCGGAACCGGGGGGGCGATGGGATTGCGGGCCTTTCCTTTTGGCTTGGCTTGGCTTTGTGGAGAGGAGATGGATTGATTACTGTAATAAGGCGATACGGGACATCGCCGCGCTTGGCTGGTCCGGAGACTGGGGATTTTCTTATTCACGTATGCAGATGGGTTGTAGTGACAAGGTTTCTCTATTTTTCTTCTTGATCCTTGGGACGTCATATGATGCACGATTGATATATCAGCGGTGCCCTTTCTCCCCATTTCTCCCCTTCTCTTTTCTTATCTGCCGTCTGGGGAATTTGTTCCTTTTTTGGGAATTCTAGTTTTTTGGTGCAGCACGCAATACGCTTGGGATTCTTCGTATGGGGGGCCATTGGATTCGATCTTGCCGAGATTTTTTTTTTCTTTCTCCTCTCTCCCCTACGTACGCTGACGGACTTATCACGAAGCCGTAAAAAAACCACAAGTGCTGGATTTGCTTTTTTCTTAATTGAGATTCAATCATCTATTTTCTTTTAAATCAATTGACAGCCGCATCGGGGGTAATACCAAATTATTTATTACCCAAAGCGGTGTCCCGGATCTCAAAATCTTTTTAGGGGGGGGGGCTCCGGTTCCGCTCCCGTGCCGTCGGCAGGAACGATTCAGGTCCTCGGGTGGCACATGACGGCTCTTGCCAAAGAATTGGGGGTGGAGGCGGGGGTGGGAAAGGACGAGGATGGAGAAGTGAAGACTTCATCTTCAATTACAATCCGAACAAGAGGCGGTGATGGCGATGGCGACGGCGACGGTGAGGATGGAAAGCAGGCGGTGGTTGTGACGAGTCGGCGTGCGTCATCGAGTTTGGGGAGAGAAAGGGCAGGAGAAGGAGAAGACGGTCATGATGAGGATGGAGATGGAGATGGTGATGGAGATGGGAGCGGTGGAAGTGAATTGAAGGATGATGCTGATCAACACGTCTTGACTCTATCGCGGGCAAGGTGCATTGCTCTGGTGGCCACGGTCACTGGCGCTGCGTTTCTCAATGTGAGTGCAAACCTAATACATGACATGGCCTCAACTCCACGGCCTATACTGGGCATCAATCGCTGACCAAATTACAGACCCTCTCCCTCCAGAGCGTCGTCATCATCCTCCCCACCATCGGCCGCCGTCTCTCCATCCCCGAAAGTCGACAGCAATGGATCGTGTCCTCCTACTCCCTTGCCTTTGGCTGCTTCTTGCTGTTCTGGGGCCGCGTCGCTGATTTGTATGGCAAACGTCTCATCTTCATATGGGGTTCCATCTGGGTGACGGCGGTCATGGCGGCGAATCCCTTTGTCCCCAATGAGATTGGCTTCAACTTATTTAGAGGTCTTCACGGCTTGGTAGGTTTTCTTATATTCCGTCTTGGACTTTGAGCACTGCTTACCATCTACGGCAATTTTAGGGATCTGCTGCGAATGTACCCACTGCGATTGGCATCTTGGGTGTCACGTTTCCTCCAGGCAGAGCAAAAAACTATGCCTTTGTTGCATATGGTATGACTACGATTACCTCCTTAAACCATACTTGTATGAGCTGTACTGATCTTATCCAACCGTCTCTCAGGCGCCGGTGCCCCTCTTGGAAGTGTCTTTGGAAACATCCTGTCTGGCTTCATCGCCCAATATGCTGACTGGAAATGGGTTTTCGGGGTCCTCGCCATCATGGGCGCCATCGTTTCCATCTGCGGCATTCTCTTCATTCCTGCTCCTCCGCCGTCAGCGTCCAGCGCCAGCAGAAAAGGCCCGCCTTCGATTGACTGGATCGGTGCTACTCTCATCACTATCGGCCTTCTTGCTCTCACGTTTGCTCTTACCGAGGGCAATGTTGTCGGGTGGAACACCCCCTGGGTCCCCGTCCTCATCGTCCTTTCCATACTGATCATCGCTGCCTTTGTTGTCTGGCAATGGTACTTGGAACGCAGATTAACGTCTGCTAAACAAGAAGAATCGGATGCCGGTGTTCTCGAAGAAGGAAACGCCGTTTCATCGCCGTCAAACTCACGCCGCCCTTTGCCACCAACCTCGTCTCTGACGCCGCCACTCATCAAAGTTTCCATCTTCCGCAATTTCCAATTCAGTGCTGTCATGATCATCATGGGCGTCTTTTTCGCTTCCTTCAACAATTATCTCATCTACGCCACCTACTACTTTCAAGAATACCAGGGCCTATCTCCCCTACAAACCATGCTGCGGTTTATCCCAACGGGTGTGGGCGGCGCACTCGTTGCCATAATCGTCTCTCAGCTCCTCGATCGGGTTCCCACCGTCTTCATCCTCATAACAGGCAATCTGGCCGTCTCAGTCGCATGTCTCCTGTATGCTGTGCCCATTTCCCCGACGACTACGTACTTTGCCTGGGGTCTTCCTGCTATGGTCCTCTCCGTCGTTGGCGCAGACACTACGTGGCCATGCCTTACTCTCTTCACGTCCCGTGCTCTCCCCAGAGAAGATCAAGCCGTTGGTGGTGCGCTCATCAACGCCGTTGGACAATTCGGTCGATCCATCGGCCTCGCAATCAGCACGGCAACTCAAACCGCTGTCATGGCCAACGCCCGTGGCCTCCCCGTCAAGGACGTCGGAAACATAAAGGCGTGGGACCCAGCATCTCTGAAAGGTCTGCGTGCAGCTTCTTGGATGAATTTTGCCTTGGGAATTGCGTCTTTGGTCGTCGTCTTGATAGCCTTTCCGACGCTGGAAATTGTGGGCAAGGCGGAGCCTGCGGCGTTGAAGAAGCAGAGCGAAGGTGTTATTCGTAATAATGGTGACAGGGGGAGCGAAAAGAGGGAGGAAGCTGCTGACTCTGAACGTAACAGGGTATGATTTTTTTTATAGATCTTGGTTTTTCTTTTTACTTCTTTTCCCCTTTCAGCCAATTTTGCATTTTGCATTTTGCATAGAACGATACGCCATAGAGCTTTTAGAGTAGCATGACGAGAGACGAGAGTTACTTCCCCCTTGGAATAAACAGAGGCAGTTACGATTAAAACAGCTGTATATATGAGAGATAAGAATTCTTAATATGCGTCTATGCACTAGTGTCTATTATGATGCCTTATTTGCTGGTATCGTCCCCCTCGTTTCCAACTCTACTTCTTCTGGGTATCATGCTGTGTATCATAAAGGAGCGTAAAAATCAATGAGAATGAGCGACCAGGACAAATGAAATCTTCTCCCCCCAACCCAATGAAATGCTCAAAAAAACCGGTGATAAACGCCCCAAATCACTGCAACGAAATCTCACCTCCGTCTCCCCGACGCCTCCCTCACTGTCTCCTGGAGATGTCAATCTCGATTTGGTCAAAAATGTCCTCCTCCTCCTCCTCCTCCTCTTCGCCTGCATCTAGATCATCGCGATCCCTTGCCATCTTCGCAAGCTTCCTCTTCACGGTAGGATCCTGCTCCATTTCCTGCCACAGCTCAAGGTCCCACTCCTCGGCATTGCCGCCGAGCCGCTTCTTCTGCCATGGAGGCCAGTGCCACAGGCCGGCGACCAGCATGCCGCGCTTGGCGGCCTTGAAAAGCAGTTCAATCATGCCCATGAAGGCGAGCACGATGAAGACGGTGGACCACCACACGGCGTCGGCGCCCCAGAGCTTGGTGAAGGTGTGCCGGATGTCGTAAACGCCGGACGGGGTGGCTCCGTAGACGCCGTCTAGGAAGGCGAGCCATGCGAACCAGCCGGCGGTGGTGATGAAGAAGCAGGCCATGACTACGGCTGACTTGTAGTGAGTTTCAAAGATGCTGTTTGATTGTTAGCAATGTTTCTTTTTGGTGACGCTGGTAGCGAGCGATAAGGGGGGGTAGCAAGTGAAGAGAAGGGATTACTTACAATAACTTCCAGTTGATCCACAAGACACCAACTGTAAACACCAAAGATCCAATGGCATACAAGTTTTCATCTTTGGGAGCGGGCGACACCCATCCATAGCCAGCCCAGATGCCGTTCCAAGTAATCACACCCTCAATGGCAGCGAGCACCATCCATCGCATGTACTTCCAAAAGTTGAGACCCATGTTGCGCTGGCCGTAGATGTAGAGCTCAGGTATAGCCAGCAGGGTTTCTGCGCTGAGATCCTGTTCCCAAATACCCATGCAAATGGTGCACAAGCTGGTAAACAGCGTATTGAAGACGGTCAAACTGGCTGACTGGTAGAGCGAAGTACCAGTATAGCCATTGTATCGCTGATATTGCGCCGCAGGGAGGTAAAAGAACATTTCTTTCCAAAACGTGCAGACGATAAACTTGGCAGTACGGACGTAGTTCCATCTTCCGTGGACGAGGAGCAGCCGCTGCAAGAAACGAAACTGTGCAATGGCGTAATCTGCCACTCGGGCGGCCTGAAGTCCCTCCTTTCCTGAAATGCCAATGCCGACGTGACTGGCCTGGATCATGGCCAGATCGTTTGCGCCGTCTCCAATTGCCAGAGTCAGACCCCGACGATTCTTGCCCCTGTACGACTTGAGTTTGCCTCGGACAGTTTGAACCAGAAGCGCCTTTTGGGCTGGGGATGCGCGGCAGCAAATGACGGAATCCACGAGAAGCATAATGGCAAAGAACTGCATCGACAGGGCTTCCGATTTTTCAACAACCGCCAAGGTTTGACCATCTATGACGACAACACTGTGGACTGAACCGGCGTGTAAATCTTCAGCCATGGCTGAGAGCTGCGTCTCGAGAGATCCCTTTGCGACATCCAGGATGTACAGATCGGAACCGGGGCGGCAAATACGGGCGGAATGGGCAATATTGATGGCCGTTTCTCGCTTGTCTCCTGTCAACATCCAGATCTTGATGTTGGCCCGTCTCAGCCTGTCAATGGTTTCTGGCACGCCCTTTTGCAGCTTGTCCTCGATCGCACTGCCACCAACGAGCTCAAATGCTTGTTCAATCATCTCGCCTGCAGCTTCGATTTTCTCCTGCCGATTGGTAAGACTGGTAGTGGCGTCGTCGTAAAGCTTCTTCCAAGACCTGTACTCTTGTTCTGATACGAATTTCTGGGCGAAGAGAAGAGTTCGAAGACCCTCAGTTGCGAAATCATCAAGGTGCTTGAAACACTTAGTAAACACTTCGGATTCGTCAAAAATCCCGGAATCTTCCAAAAAGGCGAGGCGAGGATCCAGTGGCGGCGGTGCATGAGGCGACATGGGGCTGAGAAGATGGCGATTTGCGATATCAAATGATGCTCCACGTGTATTGACATTGATGGATGGGCGTGGGCGATCCTCGGACCGACGAGTCAGCTTATTGAGCTCGAAAGACCTGCTTCGGTTCATTGACGGCCGGTTTACGCTTCGATCCCTAGTAATGGCAGGATTGCGGCGAACACTCAGACTGGGTCTTCCACCAAAGCTGTTTCGGGGTTCGAGCTGCTCGCTGCGACGGAATCTTTCATGTTCAAGATCAGCGCTCTGGCGAACCTCGGTTGCCTTTTGCATGGCAAGCGAGGACAGCCTCAGGCGAGGCAAGATGGCCGAGTCGGCGCCTTTGCAAATTACTGAGATGCGGCCATCGGGATATCGGACGACAATGGACATCCTCTTCCGGGCACTGCTAAATTCGATAATGTCCAGAATGTCATACTTCAAGCGCTCAACAGTCCCATCGGTCTGAGTCACTTGAAGCGTTATTTGCTTCGAATTTCGTTGAACCACAAAATATCCCATTTCCTGTGCAGCCCTCACCAAGGCGAGTTCATCCGGGGAGGAGGCCTGAAAGTCCATCTTTCCATCTTTATTCTCCGGCAAACATGAGTGGCATAGCGCCATGGCAAGCAGATACTCCTTTGTTTTCCTGGTAAAAGCTGAATGCGGCCGCGATTTCATGTATTCAAGCAAGTCTGAGGTGTTGACATCAGGCTGGATATGGTCAGGGCGGCCCGTTGATCGCCACTGAGATGAAGATCGTCTTCCTCCCATTGACGGTCTTGGAGACATTGGTGTGTCCATAGCCTCAGGGCCGTCCTCGTGGATTACAACAGAGAGACGGTCCCTTCGATAGACTGAAGGGGCCCTGCTTGGGAATTCAACCTCTTTAACAATTGACGAAGCACTATCAGATCCATCCGTCTGTGGTTGCGGTTCCAAATCCATCTCATGAAGCCAAACGGTACCGGCAACGCTGATTTTGCGAAACTTCATGACGTTGTCTGTGAGCGTGCCTGTTTTGTCCGAGAAGATGTATCCGACCTGACCAAGATTTTCGAGGATAGTGTTTGTGTTGCATCGTGCTGGTGTATCCGATTCCTCATCATACATGTCGATATCCGAATTCAAAAGAAGCAATTGTCCAATCTTGACGATTTCCAGACTTACATAAAGAGATAGAGGAATAACGTTGTTGAACATGATAATAAACGCAATGATAATCTCGTGGAAAGGGACGCTAGCATCCTTCAAGTACCAGGAATGTCGCTCGGTGCTCTTTTGCCAGCGAATATAGCCCATTGATACTCCAACAGAAAGAATGACGACGTAAAATGCGAGTGTGATGACAATTCGGTTCACTACCCTCTCCAGAGCAGGCTTCTTCGCCTTTGGGTGCCTGTTTGAGTTCATGCGTAGCTTACACTCCTCTCCAGTGTTGAGCACAATTCCGATGGCACAGGTTGTGTTTCGAAGAACGCTGCCACGATACACTATTTCGCTGAGAGTTAAGGGTACCGCTTTTTCGTTGACGGTTACTTTTCCGTTGAAGTTGAACAGATCCGGGTTTGGGTCCTCGGCGACGAACTCGGCGGCACACTTGGCAATGCCTTCAATGGTGTCACATCCTTCGAGAGCATGGCAGACTTGTTTGCTCTTGAGGTTCGTCTCGCCATCAAGCGCCATAGTATCAACATAGGCCAAATTGTTTTCGCCATCGCTGTAGAGAAGCGCAATATCGGCAGGCACAGGTTCGTCGCGCGAAAGTCGGATGACGTCTCCAACTTTGATATCGGCCCATCTCGTCGGTACCCATCGGACATCTTGAAACTCTTCAGCGGGAACAGCTGGAGGCTCAATGGTCGTTTTCGTATGGAAAGGGTTAAATCGATCCAAAAAGTGGTCTGGCCTAGTCTTTCCAGTGTACTTGTCCTCCTTGCCGAGTACCGTTGCAAAGTTTGCGTTTTCAACCTTGTCCAGCCGGTGTCTTCGATAGTCGTCGTAGCCTTCCTTAAACATGGTCAAGCACACGAAGAAGAGAAGGGGAAGAATCGTCGTATAGGAACCGGTCGTTGAGAGGCCAGGAATCTGCAGCCAACTAATTAGGTACGGAAACGGAAGAAGCAGGGTAACAAGCAGCACATACCATTTGAGGAATTCCAACACATAGGAAATAGAAGTTGCCGACACGGGTAAACTGGAAGAAGAGCTGCTTGGGAACGAAATTCCACAGTGTATAGCGGGAAGTGCGAATGCTGTTGGAGATGTACGCCTGCCCGCGCCGGGTATCGATCAAGGGCTCGTCATTGTCGAGTCGCAAGGGTATCTTCCTGCCATCCTTTGAGGCGGCCAGCTGGCCTCGCTGCAAAATAGGCTCGACGACAGCCTTCTGATAGACCGAATTGGCGGCATTGCGAACGCGCTGGACGACAGAGGTCTTGGTAGGGGGGATTGCAGCTTCGGCGCAGCTTCGAGGGTACTCGGCAAGGCTGCTGGCCTCGTCGGACGGGGTTCGTTTTAGACCATCGGCCATGATGGCGCGATGTGAATTAAAGAGATCGTGGTCAATCCCCAGGAAACCTCCTTTTCCCCCCAGATAATCGATAAGCGAGAGGAGGTTTGCGACGCTAGATCCCGACTCAGTCGACACAAGCAACAGCTGATATTCTCATGCCGAGAAAATGCCCGACTGCGGCTTGGGGACCGGTCACGCAACGAGGTTGTGGTCTGAGCGACGGCTAAAAGAAAATGGGCGTAAAATTCAACACAAGCGCAAGGGCGTGCTCCGTATAACAATAATACCAATATCGGTACCTAACAAGATGGATCCGAACGGGACGCTGTACAGTACAGTACTGTAGTATTTCCTTAACGACTGACGATGGCAAAAATGCCAGACAAAGGACGGATGAGTAGCGATCGAGCGTTTGCCGCAGTAACGAGCGAGATGGGATTTTCCGATACGGCCAGCGTCGTCGCAAAACTCGCGGCGCGGAATACGAAGAATGACAACAATGATTGCACCACGACACCATCTCTGGTGATGGGCTCGTCTTGGTGGCAAAGGCTAGCGACGAGAAGTACAGGGGGCGGGAGACCAGTCCAGTTACAGAGCAGCCGCCACCTCGACGCAAACAGACAGCCGACAGGTTACTGGATGAAGGCCACTAGCACCAGCAGCCACAGGTACTAGCATCCACTGTAAAGGCCCGTCTGGTGGTTGCAGTAGCGTCGCAGGCCCTTCTGAAGGAATTTCCACCACGTGGGGCGCTGGGGCTTATTGGACGGCCCTTTTGGTGACGGCGTGATGCAACATGTCTGGGGGCGATGCAAGGCGGATGTCTTGACTCGGGGGGCTATTTGGAGGCACAGGCAATAGTTTCTCCGTGAGTTTATGCTACTGTACTCGTATAGTACTTACGGAGTAGTCGAGTCCCTATTGCGATGCTATATCGTCGACTAGGAGAAGCAGAGGCCGGATGAAGTTTTAGAGTTTGCAGCATGGAAAACTCCGTGCCTCCGCCTATTTACAGGTACCTAACTAATACCTAGTAATCGGGCCTCGGTTTTTGCTGACGCGTACAGTAACCTCCTCCATCGGCCAACGTCAAACCATGTCTCGTCCCCACAAGTCTCGTGTGTCAGAAACAACTGAACTGCCATGCCAAAACACATGGCGACGAAGTTATGACGGCAAAGTACAAGGTACGGAGTAATTGATCTACACTCGGTGCGCCATCTGGGAACTCATAGTACCTGCCGATCCCTACCATGTACTTGTACAAAGAAACTCAATCCGTCGTCGAAAAGAGTGCTCACTTCACTGTCTCAGCTTCACCGTGCGATCCAGATTTGTCTAAACATGAGATAAATGTATGTATTGTATTACCATGTAACTAATTACCCATCACGTGGATCTGCAAAGACATCAAATTGAAACTTCCAATGGCTCCTGTTTCCAGAAAAATATTGCTTCCATGACGTCACCCATTATACAGTATCAAAAAGGAATGGTGAGAAACTGGCCTGGATGCATGCCGGCTTCGGCATTCATCAAGGTTCTCTTCCGTCCACAATGCACGCAAGCAGCCGACGGGAGGGAGTCTAGATATATAGACCTTCTCCCGCACATTGTTCCAATCATGATGGATGTTATTAGATCTATACAACCTAGGATACCTGTTGCTATAACTAAAGAAACCCACTGCCGGATCGATCGATGCAAAAAGAACCTGCACATTCCGAAATTCAACCCCGATATTGCCCCCTTACTACCATCCAGTAAAAGAGGAAGTCATGTTGTTCTCAAATCTCTAAGTGAAGCGTCAGACAGCGCAAAAAGCAGACTCCAATTCAACTTGCTCAGCCCCAAGGCGGTTATGGTCGCCTCCAGCAACAGTATGAAAAAGTCGATTGTACGACGGCCGTAAAAAGCAATGCAAGATAAACAAATTTGCAGTGTGTCCCCTCAAGAAAAAGCGTGTATCATTTTGTTTGCCCCCAGACGCGAATATTGCCAACCTCTAGACTCTGCTCACACCTGGACTTGCGGGATGTTCTCCATCTTGCCGCCCTCCTCAAGCCATTCCTTCTTGATTAGAGTATCCCGGTACGCAAAGAGAAACTTGTAAGCCGTCTTGACTGTTCCATCGCTCACACCAGTTTGCTTTGCAATAGGAGCCGAGGGGCGTGGCTCCCCCATAAGGTGGCAGGCCATGTAGATGCACGCGGCAGCGACGGACAGCGGTGATCGGCCGGCCAGAGCAGAGATGTCGGTAGCCTGCTCTGCAAGATCCCGAGAGATCTTGGATATCTTCTGCTGGTTCTTGAAGCCCAGCTGGGACACATAACGACCACAGAGATCCTCGGCGCCAACAGACGTGTTTTCGTAGTTGGTGACGGTGTTCAATCCAGTGGCACCCTCGCCCTCAGTGACTTGAATCTTTTGCAGAAAATTCTGTAACTGCTTAAAGACTCTGCCAACCTCCTTCTTACTAACACTAGTTAGGTTGAAGATTTCTCGGAAAGTTCGGGGCACGTTGTTTTGTCGGCACGCGATGAAGATGCACCCGGCAATGACAGCTTCCTGGGGCTTGCCCTTCATGAACTTGTGCTTGTCCACGAGTTTGAAGATGTGCTTGGCAGCATTGGAGACATTCGCTCCCATATTGATAGTCTCGCAAAGGGCAACAATCTCCTTGTACGCCTGCATCAAGCCCTTCTGAGCCTTGTCTGCGTTGGCGTTGTTTTGGGTGCGGGACAGTGCCTTGTGGGCTTTGGATTCGGAAAAGGCGACAGTCGTGGCCAGATGCTGGCCTTCGACAAATTCATCCTGAGGTCCACCAACACGGCTTGGATCATCACCTCCTTGGTCGTCATTGGCAAACGTACGCCACTCAGACCGAGTATCGATGATGCGAGTGCCGACGACAACACCGCAGCTCTGGCAGACCATGTCTCCGCTCGAAAACTCCTCGATCAGATTCGGGGGGTATTCTTTGCAGTCGGGACAGCAGAGCACATTGTTCAGGTCTTCTTGAAACCCAGCTGCATTTGCAGCCGCAGTTCCATTTGCATTTCCGCTCGGCAGCGGTGGTGGAAACATTTTGGACTGGTAGGGCTTCGGCTGGTAGATGTTGCTGATCTCGTCAAAGACTTTTCGTGCTCTCTTCGCTTCCTTTCTTCTTCGCCGCAGTTGCTGCCTCTTCTTCTCTACTGTTATTCTTACGGGGGAGTTTGTTTTGAACGAGGACCCTCTGATCCAGAGTTGATCGTTGAGGACTTGGACAAAAAGCGGTGAATGCAGTTTGACGGTCGCGAGCCCGATGGCTTGAGAGGGAGGGAGACTTTGGCTGTAGCCTCCGACGTGACAGCAGAAACTTTATTCGTCGGCAACTCGACAGAATATCTCCTTCTGCTTGTCCTTAATTAGGGATTTTCTCTTGTAATTTTTATAATTTTTTTTCTTCGTTCGGGGCGCTAGACGCGGCGAACACCGTCGGCTTGCTGAAGACCTGCCGAAGGGCAAGAAGGCAACAAAAGCGCGACGATCTTTTTTTCTTTCTTTTTCTTTTTAACTATGTAAAGGGAGCCTTCTCTTCGGCCCAAAAACACCCTGTAGCGCTCGTGCTGTTGGGTGAGCAGGCGAAAAAAACGTGAAACGGAGATGCGTAATCAAATGGTCTCTGCCGGCCGACTTTTCGGAACCAGTGAAGGCGTCTGAGGTTGTATCGACAAGAAAACTCAGAGCATCGATTAGTCGGCAGAAGAAGCGGCTAGATTTGCTCCTGCGAGCGTGCTGTGAAGAGCAGTGAGCGGCGTGAGGGAGCGTGGTCCAGCTTCTGGCGGCGAGAGAGTGGGAAATAAAGACGTTGTTTGGGAGAAAGTTCAAAATGAGCGGCTGGGTGAGGACGGCCTTGTATTGTATGTCAGGCTGGAACAAACTTGCGGCCTGGTGATTCAGGTGGCGACGGGAATCTTCCAGCGATGACTCAGCAGGTAGCCCTTATGTAACACCGTACGAACTTGAAGATGCTAACTAGACCCATGCTGAAAGAAGCAGACAGACCAATCGGCAGTTTCTGGTCCTGAGTCATAGGCACAGATCGCGGCATCTCTTTGTTCTTTGTTCGTTTTATTCTATTTCAGTTTATCAAGTGTCCAATCACCTGTGCTGAAGCTCATTTCCCTTTCATCTTCATCAATCTTCAGCCCCCGCCAATCGAATCCTTGATACGCAATGGCCTCAAGCGCAGGCGCCGGCCAAGAGGCCCTTCCACCAGTCAATCTCAAGCCTTTGTTGACCAAGCTCTGGCCGACTGACACTGAGGTGACACCTGATGAGATCGCAGATGCAATCTCTCATTTCTTCACAAATCAGGTGACTGAGGCTCAGACAGCGTCTCTTCTTATGGCGCTTCACTTCACAAAGCTCGACTTCAAGGCCGATGTTTTAGAGCGCTGCGCCTATGTCATGCGAAAGGCCGCAGCGCCGATTCCGGTCCAGGAGCTCCAGAGTGTCATCCAGGCGCGGGGAAGAAAAGAGGGCACATACAAAGGCGGCCTGGTAAGATTTTGCAATTCCAATTAATATTAGTTGTGATACATGAGTACTATGTACAAAAAATATTCTAACTATTTCAAACGCAGTGTGACATTGTCGGTACTGGAGGTGACTCCCACGACACCTTCAATGTCAGCACGACTTCATCTATTCTTGCCTCGTCGCTACTCTTGGTCTCCAAGCACGGCAACAAGGCCAGCACGTCAAAATCGGGCAGTGCTGACATGGTCAACTGCATGAAGCCTCGGCCGCCCATTATCAGCGCCGTCAAGCCCGATACCCTGGTCAAGGTCTATTCCAACACAAACTACAGCTTCCTCTTTGCGCCAGTCTTCCACACTGGCATGCGCTACGTGGCGCCTATCCGAAAGCAGCTCCCCTGGAGGACAATTTTCAACAACTTGGGCCCGTTGGCTAACCCAGTCGAAGACGTGCTAGAAGCTCGAGTCATCGGCGTCGGAAGACGGGATCTCGGTCCCGCGTTTGCCGAAGCCTTGAGGGTTGCCGGGTGCAAGAAGGCATTGATTGTCTGCGGAGAGGAGGAGTTGGATGAAATCAGCTGTGCAGGCAATTCGCTCTGCTGGATGTTAAAAGAGAAATCCCCAGGAGGCGAAACCGAAGTCGAGCATTTCAAAGTCCACCCCAATGACTTTGGAATCAGCACCCACGCCCTAAAAGACGTGTCTTCTGGAAAGGAGCCAGAGGAGAATGCCGAGATTCTGGCCCGCATCTTGCAAAACCAGCTTCCCCTGGATGATCCGGTGGTCGAATTCGTGTTGATCAATACTGCAGCCCTTCTTGTAGCATCTGGCATCTGTGAGGCAGATACCAGCGACATGGGCTTTGGCGATGATGGCAATGTCATCAAAGAACGAGGCCCTGGCGGCCAACGTTGGAAGGAAGGTGTACGAAGAGCCAAATGGGCCATCACAAGTGGTGAAGCCTGGAGACAGTGGCAAGCATTTGTCGAAGTCACCAACGAGATTGGTAACTGAGCGCTCTGCAGGACAGGGCGAGAATAGCTTTTTTGTTTTCCGTAGGACCCCATGGCTTGGACATTTGTGTAAAACCAAGAGAAAAGTTCTGTTACATCCCATGACTTGATAGCGATTGTTTTTAAGAACGAGTCCACGACTGGTGTAGTTGATGGGGAGCGCGCGAGTCCCGTTTAACCTCGTACCTCATCGGCAGCGACCTTGTAGATTCGAGGGAAACGACTGAATGTGGCCGGCTAAGGGGGGGTTCTGAGCGCCGGTCGAGCTCGGATGTAGCAAGGCCGAGATGTGCTTGAGATGGCGGACCAGCATCCAGACGATATTCACCAGCGGAGCCATTCGAACCGGTAGAATCCTTTCGTGAGGGCGGTACAGCTGGATTCCTTAAAGCCGGGTGCGTTGCAGCTGGATCCCCTAAAGCTGGATGCGCCACAGCTGGATGAAAGTCGAGCGAGAGGGATTGGTTCTCGTGTAGCCTCGCCTCCCATTCCTTCCAATCTGCCTTGAGGCCGATCAACGATTCCTCATCTCGCGACGGAGGGGGCAGCGGCTCCTCGGTTTCTGCAGTGGTTTCTGCAATGGTTTCTGCAGCGGTTTCTACAGCCGATTCTGTAGCGGGTTCGGCTTCTGTAATGGCTTCTTCTAACGGGTGAGAGACTGGACGGTATAGGAAATGAGACGAGGTGCGGTCCAGCGGATGAGGCGCAGTATAAATCGAGCCAGAGTCCATATTCAACGTCATCATAGAGCTTCGAGTCGCAAGCGATTTCCGAATCATGGCCTGCCTCTGGGCGTCGTCCACCTCGGAAACGGTCGACATGATGCTTTTCCTGTAAGACTCTCGCGTCGTTGTGGCAACTGAGCTTCTCTTTCTCAGCTGGCTGTACTTTTGGCCTTTGCGATGTCTGATCACCAAGAAAGCAATGACTCCGGCAGTGCAAGTTACGCCGACAATAACGCCGACAATGATGTATATCATGGTTGTCTTTGGCAGCTCTCGCCGCGATAGTGTCGTCGGGTGGTCCATGGTGGCGGCTATCTGTGAGACTCGGACGATGAGGTTTAGACGCTGCATACCTGGGTAAAGAGAGTACGGGGGAGGTGAAATTCGAGCAAAGATCCGGAGCGCCGTATATAAGAGTATCCTCGCACAGGAGAGAGTTTATCAAAAAACGGGTCGAATTCGTATCGTGGTGGTACTAGTAGCGCTTTTGCGAACGAGCCACATTCAATTACAGCCGTAACGCCATGGTGTAACGCAAATCATCCAGGCTGGCGGCCGGTTCGATCGCCTGGGCCGTTGGGCGCTGCACAGCCTCGAGACGCTTCCAAAAGGCTTTTGTTATGTCCAGAGTTGACTCGGGAGCAAGGCTGGCGGGAAAGCCTCCAGTTTTGAAGTAACAGAACGAGCAAGCATTTTGCGTCACTGACGGTGAGCTAAGCCGTATTGTGCACTGGCGATATTGGCAGAGCAACAGCGCGGATAATACTATGTATTAATAGAAACAGACACTATGAACGGGGATAGTTGCAGGTACTGTGCAGTATGGGCGGATGGGGGGCGGATACGACGCTTGACGGGCTTTTGCGCGCATCTTGATCATCCCACAGCCAAGTGGAGACGCCCGAGTTGCTGAGCAGCAAGCCCTTGTTATTCTTCCCCAGTAAGCAACTTTGTGCTTCTGCCGCACTGCTTCCTACATACTGTATGTGCATGTAACAACGACTATGGCGGTATCAGTAAGCGCTGCGGCCCGGGGATCATGGTTGCAGAGCCCGTTTGGGAATCGCCTCGCCTGGATGGCGAATAGCCGGCAGGATGTGAGGCGTCCGTGTCACCATAAAGCGTCGAGTTTAGCCTCGAGAGGGCCAAGCGTCACATCAGCAACGGCGGATGCAACGCCGACTGTGTGGCCGTGCTCGCAGCGGTTCTTGATTTGGAATGACCCGGCCAAGGGCTCCCATATTGAGTGTTGGTTGAAGGGAAATGGTTAATTTGGGGTCGAGAGAGAGACAATGGATGGTCCGAGTCGACAATAGAAGATGCCAAGGTCGCATGGACGGCGGGAAATCAATAATTCAAGCTGTTGTTTGCTACGGCAATAAACATTGTGCTGTAATACGAAGTGCTGTACTATTACCTCGTATCAACAGACGGGGGCAATATTTCCTCTCCTGGCAACCGCGAAGATTCGCTAGCCCACATGCAGTTACAAGCAAACCGCTCGCTACTATGTACGCCGTAAAGTCTGAATAAATACTAAGGAGTAGACTACGGAGTAATGATTCAGCAATTATATTCCGTCAATGCCTACCTATCCAAACTATCTTTCCAAGACGGCCCTCCGGCAGCTACTGTAGCTCTTAGGTGAGCCGTCACTTGGCAACCTACGCAATAAGAAACAGGGTGCTGTCGATAGTTTTGTCCGGCGCTTCGTGTCGACACTAGCACCGGTACATGTATCATTACTATCATTACTACCATTATTATCATTACGATCATTACCACAGTTACCAGCTGCGCTAGTCCGTTGATGTATTTCGTGCCTGGAATCGCAGCAGCATGCGCGTGCTCCTATTTATTCTCTCAGATGACTAACTCAAACTCATGATGCCTCGATGGCTGCACTCGCTCCTCAGCCACTAAGCCACATTCGCCCACTAATATGAGCCGAATACAGCCGACCCCAGGGGGGTTTGGCTCAAAACAGCAGTAAATGGGCAATTGCTGGGCGACAAACTCCACCATCAACCAGCTATTCACGATCCATCCCAGGCGATACCGGCCGGTAAATGCACTTGACGACGCCTGATCGGTAGTTGACCTGCTTCTTCTTTTCTCTCCTCCTTCTTTTACTATTCCGATGATACGAAAACTCTCCAAGACGCACCCACCATAATTACATATCACAATGTCCCAGATCCGGGGCAAGGCTGTTTCAGGCCTCGGCAGACTCTCTCGCTTCGGCTCTTCGCCAGCTCAATGGCTTAATTCAGCAGCACATGGCATTCGCCGTTACTCTGCGGCTGCCGTCAGCGGTGCTCCTTTGCCTCTCGAGGGCTATCGAGTGCTAGACATGACTCGAGTATTGGCTGGTGTAAGTTGGCGTCTCACACGTGTGCACTGCATGCATCTACCTGGATGCGTATAAATAGATGCACCCGCAAATGCCTACCTAAGTAACCCCTGGCTAACTTGCTTCAGCCATACTGCACTCAAATTCTGGGAGATCTTGGGTAAGCTTGTCCGACATGACAGTCTGCCTTGTGTGGCCAACATTGACGCATTAGTTTAACGAATTTTCAGCGCTGAAGTCATCAAGATCGAGCATCCAACGCGAGGAGACGATACCAGAGCATGGGGCCCTCCATATGCAAAGTATAAGCCGGAATCTGGGAGAGAAGGTCCCGGTGAATCTGCTTACTTTCTAGGGGTATGAACCAACTTGACGGTTATAGACTTGGACAACTGCCGTGACCAATGGAAGCTAACCTCTTGTAAACTCTCTGTTTTTTATTTTTAGGCAAATCGCAATAAGAAATCTCTGGGACTATCATTTCAGCACCAGGGTGGAGTGGACATCTTGCATAAACTTGCAGCAAAATGCGACATCCTGGTTGAGAACTACCTCCCGGGCACACTGAAGAAGTACTCAATGGACTATGAGACTCTACGAAAGATCAACCCCGGACTCATCTATGCCTCTATTACGGGCTACGGCCAGACGGGGCCTTATTCCAACCGTGCTGGCTACGACGTCATGGTCGAGGCTGAATTTGGCCTGATGCACATCACAGGCTCACGGGATGGCCCGCCAGTCAAAGTGGGCGTCGCTGTCACAGACTTGACCACGGGGCTCTACACCAGCAACAGCATCATGGCAGCACTCTTATCAAGAGCCAGGACTGGAAAGGGCCAACACATTGACGTGGCATTGAGCGACTGTCAAACAGCCACCTTGGCCAACATTGCAAGCAGCAGTCTGATAAGCGGCAAAAAGGACAGCGGCAGATGGGGGACTGCTCATCGTAAGTCAATGGCACTTTACCAGGTTTCAGATTCAAATGTGCTAAAAGCTTCACAGCGTCCATCGTGCCATACAGAGCGTTCAAGACAAAGGACGGAGACATTCTCATTGGCGGTGGCAACGATCGGCTGTTTGGTGTCCTCTGTGACGGCATTGGCAAGCCGCACTGGAAGGACGACGCCAAGTTCAAAACAAATGCCGACCGAGTTGCGCATCGCAACGAACTAGAGGCCGAAATCGAAGCCATCACACAACAACGAACAACGCAGGAGTGGCTCGAGGTATTCGAGGGCTCCGGAATGCCTTACGCCGCTATCAATGATATTCAGGGGACGCTCAACCACAGCCACACCAAGGCTCGTGACATGGTCATTGAGATTGACCACGAATATTGCGGCCCAATCAAAATGGTCAACACGCCTGTGAAATGGTCCGAGACCCAGCCCATTGTCAGGACTCCTCCTCCGGTGCTGGGCCAGCATACAGATGAAATCCTCAGCGAGCATCTCGGATTAAGTGAGGCGGATATTACTGCGCTGAAGGATCAGGGAGTGGTGCGATGAGATGCATGAAAAGTTATGAAAGCCATGAGAATCATATAGGATTGCATTAGACATCACTTAGATTATGAGCGATGAATAAGACTCATTTCTGTACAGGGTATCACGGATTGTTTGCTTGTTTGCCTGTTTGCCTGTTTGTCTGTTTAACATCGGCGAACAAACAATTGTTGGACGAAGTTGTAAGCACGGAGACTTATGAGCGACACTGTGCGCATTAGGTGATGTGCATCATGTGATAGATCACATGATCCCTCCTTCCGTCTTTTCCAGCCTCTCACGCTTTCCGAAAATGGTGCCTTACTGACCATCGTCAGACGTCAATAAACCATTGCAAACATGTTTTAAATTCATCGGGGGGGTTTTTATTTTCCTTTCTCTTTCTCATTAATAAAAATTCTGTGGGTCATTATACGTGCGGGCACACAATTTCTCACTTCGTCTTTGTAAGAGCATGTCATGAGAAGAGCTCTTCTCACTTCATACGCAATAAGCTTATCGCACTATACGGGTAATGCTCAAATCAGAACGCGCAATGGAGACGCCATTATCGAATAATGTTCCAATTGAGTCAAAAGATGAGGATACCAGCATGCGGGATTCACCGGCGGCTGTTATTGTAGAGCCTGGTCCGATTGTCAATGCCGACACTGAGAATGGATGCGCTCCAAGCTCGATACCACGGCCTTCGTATACGCTACAGTTTCCATCCGCGTCGTGGATCCTTGATCTTATTAAGAATGATGAAGAGCCATCAAGCTCAAATCCCTCGAATAAATCAGAGGCGGTTCTACAAACAGAAGATGAAAGGAAGGATGTCCCGAATGGGCCTAATGGCTCAAGCATACGCGACACGCTCACAATGCCCATATCGCCAACTCACCTGCCATTGGGCAGCGCAGCGAATATCATTGCGGCAAATCAGCTTATTGGAATGAAGAGGAAGCGAGAGGATAATGAAGAGGCGGATGATTTCACTCAAAACACAATGTCACTTCCCATACCTGCTCCAACACCAGCGGTAACGCTATCGGTAACGGAGATACCGGGTGCTGTGCGATCAGACATTGAGGCAAAGTGCTCCAAATGTGATGAAAGTTCGTTGGGATCAGACAATCCGTTCATTCCCTGCAGCAGTTGTTCCAGGCTGTGGCACCAAGGGTGTGCATCGTTATTAGTGGAAACGGAGGATATGCAGCAGGCTTCAAGATTCATGTGCCCTTCATGCTTGAGCATGAGTGACAACGATGTGGCGAATCATCGCACGGGATATTCTCAACAGCAAAATGAAATAGAGAGACGGCGAGCAAAGAATTTGGCGGCTCTCCCAGATGACGTCGTTCCACCCAAAGAAGAACTCGTTGGATTTTGGGCAGGGCACGCATCAGACGCGGCAGTAAGTTCAAACTCAAGCATCCATGCCTAGAGAAGCAAACTAGGTGGAACTAATTCAACATCTGCAGTTAACGGAATATTTCTATGGGAAGACAAAAACAGAGGTGTTGAATATTCTATCATTCTGCGATCAGCTAAAGCCACAGTTGCTGGTCGACATCATGGTCTCTGTCGCAAAGAAGCATCCCGATCTACCCATGTTTGACTCTCCAAGTTGGAATGCCAAAGCGATGAGCGCCATTTCAGCCAGGTCAAAGCATTCACATCAGAGCTCTCGATCCGGTACACGGATGCGGCATGGTCACACTGTGCTGGAACCCAGGGTGAAGCACAAACACAAGGCTTCTAAAAAGACAATCAAGATAGCATCAATCCCTAAGGAGGAGGAATCGCCGTTGACGGATTATCGAGATTCTCTTCCGCCCATGTGGCCAAAGGCTGGTGAAGGCCTGTACGCAAAACTTTCTCCAGAGGATGAAGACCGGGCGTTTTTGTTGGATGAGAATGACGAAGAGGCGTTTAGTCATTTTGGGGTGGATAAATTTGGCAAGCAAATTGCGATTCCTGTAAGTGCTTGAACGAACGGGGTTTATCATGGGCTGTTAGGTGTTTCTGTGGGTAATTTAACAGACTGTACTACTATACTACAACGATGCTGTATCAATACAGCAGTTGATCAAGGAGTCATTGTTCAATATAATTAACTATTATCGAAAGTCGGAATATCAAGGGCCAATGAGCAAGGAAAGCAATGCGAAGTCTACTGCATTGATATATTAATCCAAACTAACTATACATTATATTACTAAATACCTCTAAACTCTAGAATAGGATTGCTTCACTCATAAGCACCATCTTGACATTGATCCAATTCCTCTTTTCCCCCGTCAACCAACACCGCGCTCTTTTATGCAAAATATCCATATCGCTCCCGCTCCAAAAGCAGGACTCTATCTACAAACATGCTTCTTCTGAAAGGAACCCAACTGTCAACTCCTCCACTCAACACAACTTGCGGTTGGTAATTTAGCAAGTGTACTTGTACTCGGAGATGAGAGGAGTGTTGAGCTTGAGGCTAGCGCACAGCATGTCCTTGACGACAAGGTGGGTGACGGCCTTGATGGAGCTAATGGAGAGGATAACATCAGGGAGGATGGTGACGCCGACAAGGCCAGAAATGCGGCCACCGAGAGCACCGACGACGTCAATGTAGTTGTGGCAGCCCTTGGTGCTGAAGGAGACGCAGTCGAACTGGCAGGTTCCGAAGCCGAGCAGGCAGGCGGCGGACTGGAGCTGGGCGAAGACACCAGTGGTCAGGGAAACCTCGACATCGGCGGCGACAGCAGCGAGGCCGAAGGCGTTGGTGTTGAAGATGACGACGGCTTCGGCCAGAGTCTCGATGAAGAGCGAGGCGAGGGCGGCCGAGGTGCTGCGGAGGGTGGCGCTGATCTTGGAGGTCAGGGAGATGTCGAGCTCAACATCGAGGTTGATGCCCAGGCCCAGTGCGGAGATCTCAGCTTCGATCTCGGCCTCGGCGCAGAAGGTGAAGGTCTCGATGGTAGCCTGGCACCAGGCGTGTGTGGCATCGTACTTTGTGAACTTGGTGGGCGAGATGGCGCAGAAGGCAGTGAGGGCGACGGTCGAGCCCGAGGCATCGCACTTGGGCAGCGGCCAGGCGCCGACGAGGGCCGAGCCGGAGCACGACTTCTGAGTGGTGTCGTACTTTTGGCCGGGCAGGCACGAGCAGGCCTTTGTCCAGGGGCTGTAGGCCATGGGGGCAGGGCACTTGAAGCCGGCGGCGAGGCTGAGGGCATTGTCAATGTCCGTGGCGGCCTCGGCGAGGATCTTGTTGCCGAGCTGGACGTTGGATGTGTGGGCCGAGCAGGCTGGGCTGGTGACGGAGGCGGCCATGGCGACGGAGGCCAGAGAGGCGACGGTTGCAAGGAAATGCATTGTGAATGTTATTGTAGTGATGATTCAAGCTGAAAGGATTGACTTGGGGTTGTCGAAAGGGATGACTGAAGCTGAAGGCTTTTGTGGGAGTTGTGGGATCTGAGAGAGAGTTGTGGATGAGGATGAGAAGAACAGGACGGGAATGGGAGATGATCAACGGTCCTTATATACACGACAGATATCACGATGATGCTCCTTTTTTCTTTCTTCTTACAGTATAACATGACTCTTCCATCTTGGTGTTGGGCTCCCCTTACTACGGACCCCTAATGGGGCGAAGGCAGACGAGAGATGTCGTTCTAGCGAAGAGAGGCCTTTGCTTCTTTCGCTTGTGTAGTTAGCTTGGCAGTGGCTCTGGATAGAATTGCTGCTAGCACAGTCCGGCAGTTGGGGAGCTTGGTATTGGAGTGCCGGTGACAGGGGGAAGCATGGGTCGGCCGCTGTCAGTTGGGTATTTGCCGAATCCGAGTTGCAGGTATAAGTGTAATGATCATGTGTGGGCGGTGCCGACATGGCATGCGGCTGGTTTGTGCTTTCGGAGGCAGTATGTGAAGAACTTAGATGAGCGGCATTATTCGTCTAGATAGTGTATTGGTTACCTCGATATTCTCTTAGGATTATATTGCATGTTGTATAGAGCATGACAGTGTTGTATTGTTTAATCATCTATATCCACGTATGTCTGCTTGTACTCCTTGTAAAGTATAATGATGATGGTCAGTGTACATGTAGATGGCAATTTGACGTCTCTGTCATGAAAAGACAGTGACAACTCGAGTAGCGTATGAAATTACTCGACACGCGGCTCTGCGTATGAGCCCCCTTCCCCTCCTACTAGGTGTATCCACCGGCTTCTTCTCCCTTTGACCAGCAATCTCGCTCAATACTGAGATGTGATAGACTTGGATAGATGTCTGCTTGGCATCTGTGGTAGTACATGTGCCGGCGTGAAGCTAGGTGTAAGAAGACAAGTCACGTTGAATGCTAGTGGTGTTAGTCTGCCACAATGTCTTGGTTAGCGATTCAGACGCTACATTCAATATAATTGAACGTTTGGGTGCCATTTAGAAGCTGATGCGCTATCATGTCTCAGTTGGACATGACTATCAGAGACATGCATATCGCCGGACTCGTGGCTAGACCTAATAATGCTGCATCTTATTTGATACATATCCACGCAGCTAAACGTGGCGTTGACTTACATCGAAATGAGCCATCAAAGAGGCTCAAAAGCATCCCAGCAAAAAAACGAAAAGAACAGGAAGAGGACCAAAAAAGAACAAGACTGTTTTTCTCCCTTGTCCAGTAACCAGGGTTCTGCCGTGCCCCCTCGCTTGGTTTTTTGGGGCGAAGCGCAAGGGGTCGGGAAAATCGAGGTGTCAAAAAATAAAGCTCCGGACAGGCAATACGGGATTCAAGCACAGAGTTGCGTCCACTATAGTTCCGAAACGGCTCACATACAGCTTGGGTATTACGATGATGGCACATGCACAATATCTCGCTATTGTTTTTTAACCTCTCTCTCGTTTCTATTAATCTCCCTCGGACATGCCCCAACGTACGAGTAATGGCGGTATCGCAACGAGAAATGATGGCTCATGAATACCCACCCCCAAGACGGCAATGTTCGACATGATCAGTTGACTTTCCTCGCACAGACTCTTGGTGAAATCGTGACCGACAAAAGATGAAACTCCATCCCGATGACCCGAATCGCAGATCCCCTCTGTCGCATTACCCAGAGCTTCGATGAAATGACGTGCACAATACCAGCATTAATCATTAGTGCAGTTCCACACATGTAATACAAGACCATCCTCTAATGCTTCAAATCTTGTCTATCAATATATACTCATACAAGCAGCAACGCCACTTACAAGCATCAAACATCATAGAATCAGGTGCTCTATATCCCATCGCTAGCTAACATTTTGATCGACGTTCCCCCTTCGCTTCGTATTCCGCTTCTCCGGTTCCATCCTAGGCCATTTTTAATGACCCCTGTCTGACGTGCTATCACCGAGTTCCCTCTCCCGCACATCCGATTAGGGGATGGATCCTTGTCGAGTCACGTCAAGTTGAGAGCTGGGTTTGGTGTGGGGATATACACAGTAGAAAGAGCTCGAGGGAGAGTTGGGGCTCGTATGGGTAAAAGAGGTTGCTTTTAAATCGAATCAACGTACTATTTGGAATACAAGAATTACGACTAACATTACGGAACGGGTGCGGCGAACCGGACTTTCTGTATTGCCAAGTGTTAAGAGCAAACTTGACTACAGAATAAAAAAAAGCAGACTTTATCTGCATCCATAGCTTCGTTCTCCGCAAATTCTATAACCCAATTTCTGTATATTTATTTCAAGAGCTATGGATTCTAGGGTAACATTTTACCAAAAAGGGTCACACATCTCGGCTCAGACTTGCCTTTAACGACGTCACTGCTACCGACTCTCTAAGAATCAGACAGGTCATGCATCTGGACAAAGGGGTTAGCTGCGGGCAGCAAACACGCAATCGTTCCGTTGATGCGGCCTGTGGCCTTTGTAGCTCGGAAGTATCTGTTTTCATCATCACCGCCGAGACCTGCCCTTTCTGCCTCGTGCTCTCTGCACAAATCCATGCGTCTCCTTGCGTTGGTGTAGTTATGTGTAAACGCAATCATATATACCTCAAGGAAGAAGAAGGGTGGTGCCCTTGACCCTGCCGCTCTCCATCTTGGCAGTTCGCGCTCCAAATTGAATCTAGAAAAAAAAAAGATGATTAGTTACAGTCTGCAGTCCTTGGATACTTCATTGAGCCTGTCACTTACCGCTCGTTTCTTCTCCGTCGCCACAGAGTGCATACCCAGGCTGTCAGCCAAGAGGCGCAGCACCCTCTTCTCGGGCTCCAAATCACATCCAGTCCCCTGGTTGTCAAAGTCGCACTTCTCCCACGCAGGCAGCTCAATCGCCCACTTGACAAGGCTCTCGTCCAGATATGGAAACCTCACCTCTTTGCTCCAATGAGCCATGACCCTGTCGTCTCGCCCCAAGTTCCTCTTGCCCAGTCGGCCGACGTCTAGTTTCAGTTCGTCTATTAGACCTGGATATCCGCTTCGTGTAAAAGCGGTGGCGTGCCGGACATATCCGCCAAAAAGCTCGTCCGCACCAAGCCCCGATAGCAGCACGCGGGCTGTTGTGCTATACGATTCAGCCGCTTCTAACTCCGAGCTCAGCTGTCCCATCCCCTGTCCTCTTGCGGCAAAGTACAAGGCACAAGCAATCGAGAGGTCCATTTCAGTATTATGGGGGTATATGAGGTCTATCAGCTCTGCTCGATGAGCGCACGTCTCCTCATATGGAACATTTACCTAGACATATGGGTTAATATTTGAGATTCACTATTGGCTTCACCTCGCCACCAAGCGTTGCTAATCCTTACAGTAACAAATCGCCACTGTCTTTCTGGACAGACAGTTAGCAGCTCTGCAAATGACTTTCTCCCAGTCACCCTGTCAGGACACAGCTCATATAGCTCAGCGGTGGACAGGTTTTTGTTTTGCGAAGCAATCCTGGGATTCTCAAATGCCACGTTGATAAGATCAATGGCTTGTCCCGGTGGCATGATGTCACTGGCAATTCGGGCCAGAACCGTGCAATCTAGCCCTCCCGAAAACAATACTGCAACTCGCGCATCTGACGTTTCCGCCATTGGCGGTCTCGGAACGTTTAGAACTCTAAACTGGAGCGATTGCATCAAATGGTCCCGTAGCTGTGCTACTGAGATGGACTGGCTGTTCAACGGAGCTGTCGTAGCAGTAGGGATGGCGGCGTTGAAAGTGCCAATACTTGATACCTGATAACATGAGTAGCACGAATTGCGGTTGGCATGTTTTTACTCCTAGTAGCCTGTGAGAGCGCCTCTATGCAAACTTACCAAGTCTTTGTTCTGGTCCCAGTCATGGCGAATGGGCATCAGCTCCTTTGGTGAGCTTTGTCCATCCAGCTGAATAGTATAACAGCCATCTGCTTCAACCTCGGCCCATCCCACAGCAGGGGCTTCTGCTATGCTGGAGAGCAGGAACTCATCTCCCCTTTTCAGCAGCAGTGACCGACGCCCGAGGCGATCTCGCCCATAGTACAGCTTCCTTGCTCTCTTGTCCAGGAAGATGAAGGCAAAAGGTCCCTCGATGGATCGCAGGGCGCCGAGGACACTATCCTCGCTACCAAGGTTACGGCTCGCGGCCGTCAGCAGGGCCAAGACAGCCTCGCCATCGTTGCCCTCGACGGGCTTCCCGCCGAGCTTCCAGGCCTCGCCGTTCCAGCAAAGCACGGATCCGGATTCCGCATCCTCTAAGGGCTGCTTTGCAACATGGTCTCCGCGCAGAGACAGAACCGTCGAGGTCAGGGTCAAGTGAAGAGGGCTCTCGCCTGGACAGAGCTGCACCTCTACGGCTCCAAGATGGTCAGGGCCGCGGTTCCGAAGCCTTCGCTCGAGCGCTGGAGACAACTGGTGGCGACCTGCATCCGCTGATATGGCGGCATGGATGCCGCACATTGTAAGGCGCGTGGGATCTCGATAGTGACAAGGATTAATTCGAATTCGAGTCGCGATAAAACTCGGGCTAAGAGCTACCAAAGGATCGGTTGGTGCGTGCGCCACACACCGCCGCTGGTGCTAACGCTAAGGTGCAGTGGCAGCGCCACACATCCTTGATCCTTCAATATTTCCCCAGCATGTCCTCGATATTGCTTCGACTTCTCTGCTCCAACATTCCAGTCATTGTTGTGCACGATTCTTGGTTCCTGCAGCAATAGCAGCAGTTGGATTGGGTTTGGTTGGGATGAGTAAGCAGTGACATGCTATAATCCTTTACTGCAACTCTATCTTGATGCCTCTTAGTAGCTATGCATAACTCTGATACAAATACATGTACCACGAGATTCGAATACTTGACATGTATTTACCTGCTACATATAGTAGATAGGTAGGTAGCAGCTGGATAGCGTTATTTCCTATTAGTTACTGTCCCGAGCCTCTTCATCTCCTCCTTTTCTCTCAGCACGATAATACCGCCGGCAATCTGTAATGAGGCGTCCTGATGAGCTCCACCACCTTATAGTATCCCAGTGTTCCTTATCTTCTTCCACTACGTACGGCCAGCCCCTAGGAATGAAGCCCCGAGCTCTCATGAAGAACAGATATTGTAGTGAATGTAATCGAATCCGAATCCAAGGAGGGAATTCCACTGCTGGACTCTCCTCTCCCTCCTCAATCCGCATTGCGGTCTCTCGATCCAAGATCCATAACCAGGTCTTCCGGAGGAGCTCATCTGTTGATTTTTTCACAGGGTCAGATTTTTCACGAAGAATCACTTCCGGGGGATCTTCCGGAAGCTCCTCGAGCATTTTCAAGACTCTTTCATCGATGACCAAGCAAGTATCATAGCGGGCGTGTCTCCGGCCCTCGTCCCAATCACACGCATCAAAGTCGATATTAAAAGATTCCACTCGGGAGATGAAATCGAGGGCAACAGGGGTGAAATCCTCGCTCCCTTCCGGCCCAGTGATTACATCTTGAGCGTCTGGGTATTCTTCCACAACTTCATTATACAGTCGCGCCGCGAGATCATCACTAATGTCAGGCCCGGGCGGTGGAATATCTTGTGGACGCGGGGTGCTATATCCTCCTCCATTGTCATAGCGCGACATCCTAGTCTGCCATCTCATCCATTTCTCAAACCGATTCAGGCCCTCGGCGAAACGGGTGTCCGTCCCCTCACCAAAAACGGCACGGTAGATAGTGAAACCCCAGCCAAACGGGATGCGGGGGTCAAAAGCTCTGGGAAGGATGAGTTCGAAGTCCCCTATCAAAGGGTTCTGTGGGTAGGCGTGGATGAACTCCCACGGAATGGGCTCGAAAGTCGGCAAAGGCTTTGATGGTGTCATTTTTCATGAACCAGTGTGATGAAGGAAGCGGATGAAAGGACGGGAGGGAAATGGTGAGGAGTTGTATAAACGAAGAGTATAATATGCACCTCGGCTCTACACGCTGACTCTTCGTTTGTTAGACCCAACATCAATACTCGTACATTACTAGTACCACTCAGGCAGCAGCCTCTGCCAAGAAACGCGCTAGATGAAAAGGGGGGCGGGTACGTGAATTTGTTCTCGCTACAAGCGCACTTTTGATGGCATACAATCACACTTTTGCACGCGAGGACACACGTATGTAGCTCATTCGACAACTACTGCAGGGTCAAAATAGAGAGTGAAATGCTTCATGTTACAGGTATCCACCATTCTACCAAATACAACTGCGTGTATCGTACACCCTCTCCTATCTACAGCTTAGAGGGCGTGCTGGTATTTGCGAGGTACTTCTTCGCCTAGATTCACAACGGATTAGTTTCAAATTTGGCTGAGGGCATATCGACAATGGATGAACAGATGGACCTACCTCGCCAATGGCATCGTACTCTACGTTCCACTTCCAAAACTCCAGACTACTGAATTCGGCATTCTTGTCCGGCACAATCTTCTCCAGCACACTATCGGCGTGCGAGACGCCAATGGCATGCTCCGTCCTTCCTGACAGATGCTTCGTGTTCCATCGCGAAAACGCCTTTACGCGCTCCCCTCTAGGCTTGCAAATAGCCTGCCAGGCATTCACAATCTGCGGCACTGAAGCCGAGGAGACGGCGGAGAAGAGGAACTGCAGCACGCCAATGTCCTCAATAATAGTCGAGTACCCCTGCGCGGCGTTGGGATGCATTGCGTGAGCGGCATCGCCCAACAGCACAATCCTGCCGGCCTGACTCGACCAACGTGGCAGGTCGGGCACTTCGGCGACTCGCCAGCGGTCACAGGTCTTTGCAATGCCTAGAGCCTTGATCATGTCGCTGCATGCATCCTTGAAGAAGCGGCGCACAAACTCAATGTCGCCCTTTTCGTCCCAAAGGCCCTTCTGGTCCGTGTCTCCCTGGATGGCAAACAGAAGACCGATCCTGCCGAACTTGGAGCTATACCGAGTCACGGCAAAGCCGCCTTCACCCTTCCAGGTGGTGATGTTTGAGTTTTCCGTCAGCTTCATCGAGCTCGGGTTATCGGTAAGCTCGGCGGCAGCCATGTCGAAGCTGTAGAAGGTAGTGTGGTCGACAATTGGGTCCCATTTCTCGGCAGGGCCAAGGTCTGATAGCACGGTACGGCGAGTGTGAGACTTGATGCCATCTGCGGCCACGAGAAGATCGCATACAAGCTCCTCTCCGCTCTCCAGCGTCACAGTAGCCTTTGTTTCGTCATCTGAAACTTTTGCCACGTTTGCGCTGCATCTAATCTGTGCTCCGGCTTGAACCGCTTGGTGATGAAGCAGCTTGACAAAGGCCCTTCTGGTGGACCCCAAGTCGGCATGCTCAGGAGCGTCAACGACGGTGGTTCGGATCTCTCCGGTGTTCAGCTCGCGGTAGGTAACGGACGGTGACCTGTCGCAGATTTGTTCCAGGACTGGCTGGAGTCCCCAGCTCTGAATGACCCGGCTTGCGCTTGGCCTGATGCTGATGCCGCCTCCCGTAGGGTTTAGCTTTGGGCTGCGCTCGAGGACTAGGACATCATAGCCGCTCTTTGCAAAGGCATAAGCAGCAGTGAGACCGCCAAGGCCGGCTCCAATGATGATGACCTTCATGGTGAAGATGAGGTTTCAGTGTGGGAATGCGTTCAATGTATGACGGTGTCCAGTTGCGGTGTCTGGAAGAGCTACACCGAGAATTGGAGTTTCGGAACACTGTTAGCGGATACAATGTCCGTATTAGGAAGGCCGTCCAAACGCGTATAGAAACGAAGCCCCTCCGTATTGGAGAGAGTGGTTTACAAAACTTGTTTGCAGTGTCTTTTTACCGTATTCTGCTCGATACTTATATGGAAACCTCATTGCTGGGGTCAGGGTATTCGCCAGCGCGGCTGCTTCCTCGGCTCTCCGTTGCTACGTCGTTTCGTATAATCTCCGTTCATTGTTGATACCCGAGACTCTGACATGAAGCTGGCAAAGCCCAGCTTGAAGCTTATATATGGTTCAAATTTGAGTTTACACCGGCTCTAATGACTTAGCGCTCCTGTGAAGCTGTGGCTTTATAAAAGATCCAACATATCGCGCTCTGTAAGCGAGAATTACCCCAGACAAGACTCAATCCTTTGTACCCTTCATGTGACAGGTGTGGCTTTCAGCCTCGGCAACAGCCTATCCATCCAGACGGAGAGTACAAGGAGAGTACCTGGTAGCCGAGATTACTCATCCAACCAGAGAAACATGGAACTTGGTAAGATGGAACCCTTTAGCAAGTTAGGTAAGCGATGCTGCTGACTGGAGTTGGCATTGAGTTGATGGTTTGCCTCAGAGCAATTACATAAGGGCCAGACACCAGTCATGTCCATGCGCTGCTTTACATGTACACTATCTTAGACAAAATAACCAACCAACAGCGTCCAAGATCTCACGTCAGCGTCTTGCAGCTCTAGCAAGCGTCTTGATTTGTGCGTTAGTTGATTCTACTGCGGTGGCTCGAAATAGCCTCTCTTGACTAAGTGGATTATGGCTGTGCTCAATGCCAGCACCGTAACGGCTAGTCTGGCTCCAAAACGTGCGGCGGCGCTGCATCCCGTCCTATTTTTGGTGCCACTATTTGGGGTTTTTAAGCTTGATAAACCACGCCTAATAATAGCTGGGCACATTTTGGGCATAACGACCAATATCGAAGTCAGATTATAGTTGACAAATGACATTGGGCGTTCTTCAGGCTGGGTGAATATAAAGTACTTGGTTCCTACTTGTGAAGATCTTGATCCCTTTGAGTTATCAGCACTAGCACCCTAACTTCACATCCCCTCCCTTCTCCCAACACGCCTCTCTGAAGCATCCGTTTCTGTATTTCCAAAAAGGCAAAAAAAAAAAAAAAAAAACTACAGTCCAAAATGCGATCTTCAGTCTACGCCGCTGCTTTCTTCTCCCTCGTCACCTTGGGCTTTGCAGCCGAGTGCCACCCCAAAGTTGATCCCATTCCCACCTTTTCCCTCTCCGATGGACGAAACCTGCAGAACGATGTCCACGGCAACCAGTTCCAGCCTCCTTTGGAATTCCCTCTAACCATCGACCCGGCACATACCGCTTCCTTCAGCGTTGGCAGCGCCATTGCCTGTATTGAGAACGCCTATTCGTACGAGAGCACACGTATTGGCCAGACCGACCTAGCCAACGCTATCCAGAACATCATGGACGAGTGTGACAACGGCGATGGTACCACCAAAGGGTAAGTCTGGACGAGTAGACAGGTCTTTTGTAGACCATAGAGCTAATTGGTTTGTTCCTACAGTGGCAAGGTCGACATTATTGGCGATAATGGACTTCCCCTTGAGGTCCTGATTCAGGACCGTTCGCTTGGCTGCGAGAACTAAAGCCAGTTGACGAAAATTTGTATCACGCTATTATACCCTTTTCTTTCTTTCTTTCTTTATGGGATTACATATTCAGCGGTTCTTGTAGCATAGGCGCAGGTGGTCATAGAGCGGGAACCATAAACTTCTATAAAACTTGATTCTCACTACGCCATACCATAAGATGCTTGAGCTTGCCACCGTGACTTTTTGACCCCATTTGTTGCTTTAGCTTTAATACACATCCACAGCTTTCCCATTTCTCATGTTTTCCCTTGCTGCATTCACATCCGCCTTTGTGTGTGTACATGTATAAATACCTGCACGTATATACCAGGTAGGTACATGTATAGTTCTTAGAGCCTACCCTATATAAGTATCTATGTAAGTAGCCATCCCCCCCCGGCCAAACAAAAAGCTAAAAGCGCCCACCAGAACTGCCATCGTTGGTTGAAATGTGAGCTTGAATCGCTCTTCTCATTACGTGAATCATTACATTGACGTAGTTCAAAATCACAAACGAACCATTACTCCTGAAGAAAGAAAAACAACAATAACAGGGAGGTTCGTTCCAGGGGAATCTATTCCTAATTCTTCTCAACCCTTCGGCGTTCTATCAGCAATGGCCTCCACGTCGGTTTAAACTTATGGCTACTTATTACAAACACACTTGATGAAATTGATTGGTTCAGCGAGAGTAACATAGAATCATGCAGCAAGCCTCCCGTCATACTAAAAGGAATGCAAGGTCGAGTGGAGACAATGCCATCCACCGAGTACATGCGTATGCAAGCAATGTCGCGAGGCAGATAAATTGAGCAGCCCGGCTGTCCATTTCGACTTGTTTCTTCTTCTCTTCCTCTCTTCCTCTTCATCACCATCTACAATAAATCTCTCCCGGCAATACAATACGCGTATTAAGCATCATTTCTTTGACAATATCATCTCTGCAATCACTATGGCTGCCAAACCAAACAACCCACAGGCCTTGGCTGAGTTAGCACACAAATATAGGGATCTCGGCAGATGGGCTTCCAATGTTCAAACCCCCCTTGCCATGCGAGTACAAACCATGCAAACTGGCAGAGAAACTCACGACGACGTCGAGTTCAACCCTGAGCAAACCAACTCTCGTCTTTCACAGGGAATGGACTTGGAGACTACAGATGCTGTTGTGTACAGAATGGACAGGCTGGTGCAGGATCTTTTGGCCTCCCGCAAAGATCTGGAGAACGAAAAGAGAAAGACAACGGACAAGGATGTCGAGATCGCTCAATTGAAACAAGAGGTGGCCCATCTCCTGGACAGAGCTCACGAGGAGGGGCAAAAGCGAGAAGCAGCAGAGGCTGAGATGCGGGAACTTGGGCGAATGAGCGTGGTAAGCTCAGTAAACTGCGAGGAAGTGGATGAATTGCGGCGGCTGTTGGTGTTTCACAAGACGAATGGGGAACAGTTGTCGAGGAAGCTCAGGGACTTGCAAGCCACCTACAAGGATCTTGAAGCCCAGCTGCAGGTCACCGAGACGGCGCTTCAGGAGCAGATGTCACTTGTGTCAGGCTTGGGTATATGCGCACACGGAGACAATAGTAGCGACTCCTAGGACCGAAGAAGGCAACGCTAGGGGGTTATGCGGGCTGCAGTTCTTGGTTGGTGGCTGGCAACGATAGCATCTGTTTTACATGCAATGACACACGCGAGGGAGATTTCTACCTGTAGCCAATACCTGTAGCCAATACGAGGACAATGTTATATTCAGCACTTCTGTTACTGAAACGGCGTTGGCCGAATCCATGTAAATTGGCTGAGGCGGCCATGTGAAAAGTTATGGATTGCGGTGATTGGCTGCCTAATGGGAGTCGGGCTGCGTTGAAGGCCTCCCGCAGTATGTCTCGCGGCAGCCATAAAATTGGCCAATTTACCGGATTATTGAGCCCAACCCCTCATCTTCATACGCGAGAGACATTGGGCTTTCCTTTGCATGCAGGGATTGAATTTGTTGAGGGTTGGATGGCTGCAGACTCTGGGAGGCCGACAAAAATCATCCGTTGAGCGGTTAGCTACATGTTCGCTACACGCAACGCACATGAACATCCAACTCCTTGCAATCCCCAAGACATTCCCCAGGCAAATTAATCTTTCATCTTTACTTCCCAGACTTGAGTTCACGGAATTCACACAACCATACGCAAATGTCCGATACACAGTCCCTCTTTTGGATGGACATTCAGCCAAACATGCCGCATGACGATCTCATTCGGGCTCTGATGAAAGAATGCGGTTGCTCTAGGAAGAGAGCTATTACTTTATTAGAGGTACCTATTTATATATGCTGCAAGGTTACCCGTCCTTTTTAGTAATACTTTTGTAGATTTGCAACAATGATGTCGAAGACGCCAAGAGACATCACCAGGTCTTAGAATCGTACACCAAAGACTTGCAAGACGAATCCGCATCATCAACTCCAGTATTATTGGAGTTTGGAAAAAGTGATGATGCGTCCAAGAGTCCGTTACAGTCAAGATCAAATTCTGTCATGTCCCATAGAACATCCTCCGATATGGGATACAAGAGTGAAGCCGAAGAATCCACAGATGATACACATGAGGACAATCATCCTAAAGAATGGGATTTTACTTTGCCTCGTCTGCCTCGGCTGGAAATCTCTACAGAAGACGACTTTAGCCCCGATAGCCTCGCCGCAGCCATCCAGCATGGCGCCACGGCGTCTCGTATTCGAAGCTATTTAACCATCTACGACCCTAGGCTTCTTGGGCAGGATATCAATGCCAACGTCATGGGGTTCCCTCTCATATTCTACGCCGTTGCATCAAATGACGAGGACATGGTACGCCTCTTGACCGAATTTGGGGCGAGTGCGAGTGCAGTATATGAGGCTTCACGAGTCCCTCTTTTGGCCTTTGCCATCATGTGCAGCGAGACGTTGCAGATTGATACTACAAACATGGTCTCCGTCCTTCTTAGCAAGGGTGCTTCCGCTCGTGTTATTCCTATAGACTTATTTACACCATACTTACAGGATGTAATCGCAAGCTCCGAGCATAAGGGCCAGACGCCGACCGATGGCTGTGCAGAAGCTGCCTGGTGCTCCCAGGCCACAAAGGCCAGGCTCTCAAAAAACATCAATCTTACCCAGAGATATTTTCTAGAAAAGTCTACGAAAATGAAGCCTCCTTCAACAAAAAGGCGACAGATTGCGCGCATCAAAAACTGCCAAGAGCTGTTGGGCATCCCGTATTTCCTTGTTGGCCAAACCGTTGCCACGGAGCTCCTTATCCAGAGACTGCTCACCCATCTCATGATGCCTATGAAGCAGCCATTGGTTTTATGCTTTGCTGGCCCCAGCGGCCACGGAAAGACCGAACTGGCACGCCAACTTGGTCATCTTCTATCCCTGGACTTGGAAGTGGTTGATTGCACCACTTTCACTCATGAGATGGAGTTGTTTGGCCCTAGACGACCATTCGTCGGATACGAACAAGGTTCAGCCGTCAATAACTTTCTTGCCAAGAACTCTGGAAAGAAGTGCATTGTTTTCTTGGATGAGTTCGAAAAAACCACAAAGGAAATTCACCAAACTTTGCTGCTTCCATTTGACAACGGTAGGGCAACCAATTGACGGAGATCGATGAAGGAGCTAATGTGCGAGAAAGGCGAATACAGAGACAGACGCAACGGCGACAAGATCAATTGCTTGAATACAATATGGATAATGGCTACGAATGCGCTTGATGATGCCATTCTTGAATTTTATGATCATAACGAAGGAATCGCTGGCGATGACATGGAAGAAAAATCTCGACTACTCAGGAAGCTCAGCCAACAGTTGCAGGAGGGATTTCTCCAGCAATTTGGCGCAAGTCTACCTTCTTTACCCTTCATCAGAGCCCCTTTTTTTCGGATAGCTAACTTAGACTCACAGGCACCTGTGACAGGACGCATCTCGGACTTCATTCCCTTGCTCCCGTTCTCCTCTGGCGAACAAGCCGTCATCACACATAAATGCCTGTTAGGGCTGGCGCAGGAGCTACGTCTGCCGATACAGCTGTCTAAGAGCCCATTGGAACGGCTTATCGGCGATCTCAGACTGCTGATTCGCCGGGATGGTGCTGTTTGCTCGACTCTTGCAAAAGCACACTACCATAATAAGCTGGGGGCGCGTAGTCTCAAGGCAGGCGCGGAAAAGGTGAAGCGAATTGTTCTAGATGCTTACCTTGATGACGACGAGGAGATTGAAGAACAGAATAACTTGCGCGATGTAGTTATTGACGTGGATGGTGGGGAGATTGTTGGCAAGATTCTGCCTACTACGAAGACTGGTGCTTAAGCATGAGAGTACTTCCATTAGATTATCATAATAAGAGCCAACTTGTTTGATTTGCTAATAAAAGAGGCTGGAAGATGATATCATCCTTATTCTTACTGTCACGTCCTGCACTACGCTTTCTTGACTTGATACTTCAAGGTAGCTGTATTATTCAGCTAGCGAGGCGACAAAGCTTGCATACATTCGACAATGCAGCACAAAGTCTGACGTGGCAATAGTAGCTAGTTGAATCAAGAAGCACTCATTCGCGTTGGTTGACGGGAAAAGGCCATGACGTGTCAAAATGTTACACATACCTGTATGTACTGTGGCATACGCATTGAGGCGAGGGGCATTGATGAGGATGCCGGCTAGGCGGTGAAGAATATTGAGCGTGAATGAATGTGCACGATTCAAGTAAGTGAATTCACGTTGTGGTTCTTCAAAGTATGTATTGATAGGGTAGATACCGGGCGTGTCAGATGTTTGCTGGCTACATGCATGTAGTCGTAGCGGCGTTGAAATTGGCCTCATAGACGCCATTTTCCTTTGATTCACTCTCAAGAGACTCACCGATTTCTTCTGTCTTATCGGACACCTACAGTGAAACTCCAGTTACTGTTGTTAGTATCTTTGTATCCGAAGTATGCAGGCCACCAGCAGCCATGGTGGTCTCATGCCATGGTATGAACCCGTCAACATCCCCAACAGAAATTCGGATTCACCCTCTCAAAATCGAACTCGGATTACTGATACATGGTGGCTAATTCGGGAGAAAGCTTTTTTAGGCCGCCGAAAGCGCATAAGTCTAGCGTACATTCACTTCCTGTATGTAGGCATGCGTGTAATGTGGCAGTGGGAGGCCTACGACTGCATTCACAAGCGATGTTAATTTATCTGAGAGTGGGTTGTAGTCTTCAACGGCTCATTATTTTATGTTAAATTGAGCTCAACTGGTAGAAAATTGTTACCACAACTATATATTGTCATACAATTCCCATCTTTTTTCGTTTGAATAGACTGTGCATCTTCTTCAAGCTGCGCAAACCAAATCTTCACGCCATGGAGGACCATGTGGTACCAGCCCTTAGGCGGGCCGCAAGAATTGGTTCCTTGTACGATGCAAGGACCGATAGGTTTCTAAATGCTTCGATTTTATCTCCCGGCCTATCAAATATTTATGTTTCGACACAGCCAACACCTCTGACGGAAATCACCATCTCCAGCTGCGCTTCGTATGGAGATGTATTTAAAGATCTCCATATCGACGAAGCTACTGCAATCAACTTCCTGTCTGGAATTCTTGATCCCCATGGCGCTGCAGTCTTTCTCCGCGACTTTGTGGCAACTAATGGAAGAAAGCGTGCCGCCATTGTTCATCAAGTGTCAACTGTGCGGCAAACGCTGGTCAATTTACCCCAAGCTTTCAATTCGAGCGGCGACTCAACTCCTTTGCAAACCAATGACTGCACTCATGTTGTGATTGGTATCAATTGGGGATTGCAGACAATTGTCGCTGCCAGCTGTCCCGCCTCTAGAAAGTCAGAATGTGAGGAGGCGACTTTTAACAGAGACCTAGAGCTTTTGACATCGTCCATTGAGTCAGGTTATCTTGCACGGCAATCCCCTTCCAGCATGAGCCTTGAAATGGAACTCTGTAACGACCTCATGCTATACAGCGACGTCTTTGAAACAGAGGGCCTCACCATGGAGGATGTGTCTGGAATATGTGATTTCATACGCCTCGTGCCAGCTCATATTCGGCAAGAAAACGGCGGAAAAGGATGGCCAGTCGCATACAGCATGATTCCTGTCACGACACTTTCATACTTCATGCTTCTCCCGCAAGCTTTTCGGTACAGCCTGAGACCAATCCGAATTGACTATCTCACCAACTTCATACAGCTTTTCGACGATTTTGAGGCCTGCGCAGTTAAGCTCCGCAACTACTATACTTACCTGGTAGGCCACCTAACGCATGTAGCCAAAGGTCATGTTGACGAAGTCTTGGCCTCAATCATGTACCTGGAAGACGGTATGAAGTGGATGTCCAACCAGCTTCTTCACCTCTTGCCCGATGTGCGTCGGGGGACGCAAGACCATTCGACTCTCGTTGACTTATATCACCAAATTGCCCTTGCGGAGCCTACACCCAAGCAACTCTCTGCCAATGCTGGACGAGAAACTGACAAGCTCGAGTTCATCGCTAGTGTTGTTGCTCAAGGCGCAAATTACATAGGTCATAATGGACTTTCTCTCGAGACGGTCAAAAGATCTTACGAAAACACTTGCTACTATGTCTTTCACTTTGATTCGGCCGCAATGGAACAAAAGAAAGAATGGAACGACAACTTTACCTTGCTATTGGAATTGCTTGGTCAGCGAGATGATCGGATGCCCGTCTACATCATGGACCATGATGCAGTAGACTCTCAGATGTATGGCGGGATGCCACGAATTTCTCAGTACAAAGGCGAAGATGAGCGTATCCTAGATGTGCTCGAAAACCGCCAGTTCCTCTCCTCGAAATGCTTCGCTCGATGCTCTGGCGACAATATGGATAAAAACAAGTGCCAACGGCCAGTCAAGAGACGTTTTGTCAAGATACCTTGCCCGAATCCGGGATGCGATTCCAATCATTCAGAATGGACTTGCCCACAGTGTCTCACAGCAATCGAATATGGATTCAGTGACGACTTCTTCTACTGTGACTGCGGCCGTGATCTCTTCAGCACCTACGAGTTCAAGTGCAATGACCCCAAGCATGGAGCCGCTTATTACACGTATGATGCGGAAGAGCTTCGCAAACTTTTGGGTAAATTGAGCGAGGCTGATTACATCAATATTCTCATTCTCGGAGAAACGGGTGTGGGAAAGTCAACTTTCATCAACGCCTTTGTCAACTACCTGTCCTACGCTACGTTGGATGAAGCAAAAGAAGCTGACGGGCTCTCTTCCGTCATTCCTTGCTCATTTTCTCTCCAAACAATGGACAGGGAGAATTTAGAAAAGGGCATTCAGGAATATAATGTCAAAGTCGGCGGGCGTGATGATGAAGCAGATGGATCAACAGGGAACTCGGCGACGCAAAAGTCAGCTGTGTACCCGGTCACAATTGGAGCAAGAACATATCGCTTGATTGATACGCCGGGCATCGGAGACACCAGAGGTCTCTCCTACGACAAGGAGAATATGGCCGATATTCTCAAAACGATTAGTTCTTACGACAAGTTACATGGAATCCTGGTGCTTGTCAAGTCTAACAACGCTCGTCTGACTGTTACATTCAGGTTTTGTGTAAAGGAGCTTCTTACTCATCTTCATCGGAGCGCGACCAAGAACATGGCCTTTGGCTTCACTAATACACGGATCTCGAACTATGCGCCCGGAGATACCTTCAAGCCCCTGAAAGCTTTACTTGACGGTCACTCCGACATTCCGATAACTCTTTCAACGTCAACAACTTATTGTTTTGATTCGGAGAGTTTCCGCTACCTCGCAGCCTATAAACAGGGCATTCCGATGACCAACGAAGAAGAGTTTCGCCGAAGCTGGGACCACTCGAGTAAAGAGGCGCATAGACTTCTAAACTATTTTGCATCAACTCCGCCTCATTCCGTCACCAGCACATTGAGTTTGAACGGGGCACGCAAACTAATACTGGAGTTGACAAAGCCCATGGCCAGCATCTCAGATTCTATCAAGAAGAACATCCAACTGTGTGAAAACCAGAGGCTCGAGTTGAATGACACGAAGCTGACCGCTAACAATCTTCGCAAGAGGTTGCGCTTAGAAAGAATTCAGTTCAATGCTAATAAGCTGAGCAGACCTCGCACAGTTTGCAAAAATCTCGACTGCTGTGACTTCAAAGACAGCGGTCTTGATGATGGGGTGGTTGTCACTATCTACAAAACGCACTGTCACCCAGAGTGCTATCTTGGAAATGTCACGGAAGATGTCGTCGCCGATCCTGGTCTCATAAATTGTGCGGCTTTTCAAGGCAAAAACACTTGTCAACTATGCCACCACCGCTGGCAAGAGCATCTGCATGTTCTCTATGAACTCTCTGAGATCAAAGTTCAGGTCACAGATACTGAAATAGAGAGACAGCTAAGGGCCAATGCAGACGACATGACGTTGCGTCAAATTGCCATCGCCAGACTAGACCAAGATATTGAGGAGTTCAACCTGGAACTTGACGAGATTCGACGCGCAGCGGCTCGTTTTTGTCTATTCCTGAGAGAAAACGCCATCACAGTAATCAACGATGCCACTTTGGACTATCTTGACATGCTAATTCAGGACGAAAAGGGAATTATCGAAGCTGGCAGGCAGCGAGGCTTGTCCATGGATTCCAATCAGAAACGCCTCCAGGCCCTGAAAGACGACAGACAGATTCACCTGGAGTTGGTTGAAACGTTCAAGCAGAACATGATTGATCCCACCTGTCCGGAGGATATGCTGCTGGATGAGCAAGGAGTTGACGCCCTGGTGAAAAGGCTGTACGAGCTGAAGCATTTTGGAGCCAACTTGAAGCACATCAAGTATGTCATAGACTCCTCGCTAGAAGAGACGTATCGGGAGCGACCATTTCGCGTACCAACAGTCAGCTCTCGCAAGCACTACGGGAGCGGAACAAGACGCGACGCCACTTACGGCCACACAGCACAAGGATCGAAGAAAACCCATGCTTACAATATGGAACGATCAGGGGAGACTGTTGAGGGCCTTCAAATGGGGCCCTGGTCTGTTGATCCATACCGTACATATGCAAACGCGGCTGCGTCTGGGTTGAGCCATTCGCACAAACGCACAACGCAGTCAATTCTCGGTCACTTTGCCGCACTTTGGAGGAGACGATAATCGGCGGGGGAAAGCGGCGGATTATTATCGTTGTATGGACTGTACTAAGTCAGATTAGCAGGAATAGAGTGTGCGCAATGAGATGTTATCCTGAACTATATGTATAAGCCTACCCAGGCAGCAATGATGTCTGGTGATATTAAGGTGTGCCAGCAGCCGCCATTCTAAATCTGCTCTCCAGGAGCAGATATGCTCTGTCACTTATTACTTGATTACTAATAGCCCGACTTGTAGTCACGAATGAAACAGAGCTTAGCAATAACTATCCAAGGAACGAACTAACATAAACGACAGAGATGTTCGCACAGTCAACCCCAACGAGAGGCCCTGTGAATCAAGCGTACAAACTTCATGAGCCTCTGCTCTTCTATGCTATAATCTTCCCCATCTAAATCTTTGAAACTTTTAATCACAGGGTCTAGAAAATATTCTGCCATCTTCTGCATGTTGTAAGCTGGCGATGATTCCAAAAACCGTGTTCTTTTATCCCAGGTTGTGATTAACTCATTCAGAGTCCCCCGAGTCAATTTTCTCATGAAAGGATATATAGCTCCAGGGAAACCAAAAATTTGAATGGCGGCCTCCATCTCACTCGAGCGTATCATACTGTTCACAGAGGATGACATATGGGCATTCATAATGGTTGCCTTGACAGTGTAAAGGTGCATGGCGGCAACCCCAGCGGCTAAAGCCGTTGACACGCTTGCGTTTGTTTGAAACTTGACGCCTGAAGCACGGCTTGTAATCTCAAGAACTGGATTCGCCTTGGAGCTATTGATCTGTATTTGTTTCATTATGGCATCGGCACCGGGGAAGATGAACCCCTTGTGGGTAGAAACACTGCCATCTGCATGCGCAGCGGCAACAGGAAAGGCGGTGTCTGACCAAGGACGGGTGAAACCACCATATTTTTCGAAAAACTCATTTTGAGTGACCGGGTAAAACATCTGAATTTCATGTACTTCAAGGCCATCCAGAGCGTGATATACTATAGTAAACACAAGCAATCAGTATTGTTCCTAATATCACCGGTATAACAGCTGTATGTGAAGGGGTATGTGACAAGGAGAGGTCTTACAATTGTCGGGAATCCCCTCTTTAGACCAAATATCGGCCATTTTCCATGGCATGCAAATGATGGTTGCCCCATTTTCTACTGCAGCTTTGATGGCCTAATATATTGTCAGTACATGTATTTATTGGGTCACTGGCGCTTATTAAAGCAATCTCGAGTTACCTTTGCAATTATTTTCCTGTCAATATGACCTCCGCTTTCCTTGAGACTTTTCGTCGGGATTCTGATTGGGTAAATCTTGGCCATTGGACACACATGCAAAATCATGTTAGCCATAACTGTGCCGTGGCCCTTCGCTGACGTGGATGGAGGTCGTAATTCTCCTCCCTTTTCAACGGTGTCATAGTCGAAACTTGTTCCAATTAGAACTTGGTTGTGTAGCGTCTCATCCACCATGTCAACACCGTCATCAATCAAGGCCACGACAACATCGTTTCCTGCTAAAGATGATATTTCCTCCTCCTCTTCACTCCCGTTTTTGACCTCCTCTTCACTCCATTTTTTGAAGTTGCCTAATGTGTTCTCCCAGAAAGGTTTCATCGCATTGGCAAATTTGGAGGTAGACACCAGCCACCGTTGAGAGCGATCATCGTCTGCAATTTCTATGATATTCACGCTAATCTCACGAATTTCTGCATGAGTACCACAAGGGTGAGACTTTATAAATCTCTCAAGATCCGCTGAAAGTATGGCTGCGTTTTCAGAACAACTCTCAATATATCGGGTAAGATCGGCTATGGGTATAGAACTACGGGCTTTGGTGGAGTTCTCTTTGAGCTGTTTTTGAAACTTCTCGAGATTCCGGGCCGTTAGATTACCGGGATCAATTTGCTTGCCTTGTCAGCTGGGACTGTTGAAAATTGATTGGCTGGAAGATACATACCTCATTATACTCAGGCGTATACACATGCAATACCTTGAGGTTTGGTAGCATTGGCAAGCCTTCCATCGCGCTCCATGCATCAAGGATGGAAACGTTGCCACTCCATCTTAGCCACAGCTCTTTCAAGGGGTTTTCCTCCGAGGGGTTTCGTGGTGTCACCAATCCCATTTCTTTACTCTCAGGCCATGCATGGAGAAGGATGTCAGGGTTTAGGTCCAACTTCCGCCAATCAAGACGCTCAACCTTGAACTGCCTCAAGCACCACTGAATAACATCAACTACTCGGTAGCTATCACCCCCGCCGACTGATAGTTTTATGATATGACGGACCCCTTTGTTATATAGCCATTCAAAGAAATATTGTATGGCAGGATGAGCGGGAAGCTGCTCTCGATTGTTCTCGGCTTCCCTTATGATGTGGGTCTCGCACTCTTTGAACACCCTAACGCCTGGTGGAAATGTTCCTGGGAGACACGCGCGATAGAGTCCATGGCTGGACTCAGGCACCTCGAACGCCGCATCGGCTTGTGGGAATGTCTCGGGCCGCAACCCGAGTTCAAGTTGGATAGTGCGCTTGGGTATTTTGAACCCTAAGTCGGCTTGTGGAAAGGTTACGGATTGTAGCGTAGTATCGAATTTAAGACCGGTTTTGCTGTCTGCGCCAAAGATTTTGAGGAATCGATCCCAGTCGAGTACAGTTGGCAAGTCATCATAGTTGAAGCTGATTTGGATATCTAGGGACACATGTCAATCTAAGTAAGCATAGATATCCTATGTACATGTAACTTACCATCCTCATTTTCACCATACAGGAAGCGGGTCGTCTTTTCATGATTCCTTGTTCTCATGTAGTGTTGTTTCAGTAGCGATGACATTTCCTGAAACACCGTTTCCATTGATTTCTCTTCATTTCCAGTAGTAAAGTTGCCTCTATCATTGAGTACATTGTTTCTGTCGTCTTTCTGTTGGTTTTGATCAACCGCCTGACATAGTTAGTCACCATTGGTATTCACTCCTGCACAGGGGGCCCGTACCTTTCTTATCTTTTTCTTGGATCTTAGAGTATTCTTGGATCCAATAAACATTTGATAGATCGATTGTCCGTTCATGTTTTGTTGGTCGAGAAATGTCGTCGGAGTTGTTTCAGAGCTCCGCTGAGTAGCGTTTTGGTCCCGATTGATGAGTAGCCTAACGATTTCAAGTCCCTCGGGGGTGCAATACTGATATGCCGCAACATGATGCATCGGGGTATTCCCGATTGTGTCTTTTGCAGCCAATCCTTCATCGCTAGTATGCTCTATAAGCATTCTTACCGTATCGAAATCCAAGTCACGCTTGGTGCCGTGCAGGGAGTTGCTAAAGAGTGTGTGCAGAATTGTCATACCATATTTGTTCTCCTGCAGAATTGCCTTGTCAAGATATTCTTTAATTGTCTTTTTAATTGGCTCTTCTTCGTTTGCATTGTTTTTGTAGGTGGAAAGTATGAAGTGAACAAATTGAAACACAGAATGTCTGGCTGCTAATTGTAGAGGGTTGCATCCTTGTTGCTCTTGGTGAACCAGGAGTTGGGGAAACTTCTCCGCCACCTTTTGAACAAGTGGTTTCAATATGTCGAAATCCGTATCATAGAGTCGAATCTTCTCGACAATCAAGTGGAGCAGGTTTCCCGAATCGCCGCATTTCAGGCTATCTTCACTACTGTGGGCAGCAAGAAATTTGTCGACATCAATATTTTGATGTGCTATCGCTTGGTCCAGAATTTCCTCCATGGTCTGCCACTTCCAATTGCCAGCAGACCGTTTGTTGGTAGGTGCAGGGGTTGATGTTGCAGGTTGCCCAGCAAATCTGAAGATTCTGAGTTCTGCTGAGTCGAAAGAATTGATTTGAACCTACAAAAAGGACATCAAGTTGATCCAGGGGCCATACAACATATTATAGTCGGCCAAGATGCACTGCAATCTATTTTTGCCTTGTGCAGGTATCAGTTTCCGAACCAAAGATCCTAGTAGTATACATGCATGCTCACTTACGCCATTCAACGTTCCAATGGTGGCCTGAAAGAATCTCAAAGAAAGAAAGAAAGAAAGAAAGAAAGAAACCTGGAATGAGCTCAGTGCTGTTGAAACTAGCACTCACTAAAAAGAACAAAGACATGTTTTCATGATTCTTTTAAGGGAAATTGCCATAGTTAGACTCAATGAAGTAACAGTGTTGCTAAATTGATATGTGCCCAAATATTTACTCTCTCGATGCGTTCAAGCCAAGTACAAAGGAATCCCAAGGAATGGCGCGTGGCGCCACTGTGTGAGGCATGAGGCAAGATACCGATTCATCAAAGGAAGTGGAGAAATGGCTAGAGACAGCTCAAAGGAGGTACCACAAGGCCATATCTACTCGTACTGCATGTTCTAAGGTATCTTCTTTACAAATAACTCCTGGAAGCTGGGGAAGGGGGGGGGGGGGTTCTATCTTTCTTTCACATGTACGTGCGTCGGTAAATGTCACTCCCCATGCAGCAGCCAGACGGTGGCCCGATAGGACCCCAAAGGAATTATGGTTCTGCAGTCTTTGAAACAATTACTCACGAAAGGAAAGACTGAGGCGAACAAAACGTGTTCGGTAACCGTTATGCTAGCTTGATTGTGATGAACTGGCATTTTCACCCATGTCAAAAAAAGCGTCACATCACCCAGGCCATTGAACTCTTGTTCGAAGGCTGGAGTCTCGATGTCGGACGGGTCTATTTGATTGGGGCATACAACTGAGCGCCAACAATGCAGCATGGGACCACCACAAAAGAGTTGACGCAAGCATCGATGTTGGCCAAGGAATCAGCACCCATGCGGGCGCCAAGTTGGAGAAGGATATCAGCAAGTATACTTCGGACGCTGCGAAGCTGCATGCTAGCAGACTGATTATTAACAACCTGCCTTCATACCGCAAAGCAAAATGGGCCCTTTTTGAAATCGAGACAACGAGGACCGGTATTCTAGCCTCTCTCAAAGTAGCGGTGCTTGTGTCAATGCCGCAGCGAAACCTATTTCATCGTCGGCCCAGCCGCGAACTCAAGACGGATATCATGACAATACTCGTGACTTGGTTCAAAAGGGAGCCAGAACCAATTGGGTAGCCTTTCAACCAGAGAAATTTGAACAGGATGCGAGTTCAGGCGGCAGGGTAACGTACAGCAACACCGAGCTGGGAATGGAAGACCTCGACAAACTCGGGGGTGTGGCCAGCACCACTTTTATCACCAATGGGCAAAAAAAGCACAAAGGGATTTGAATGTAGATTTTTGTCGCCAAATCTGTGTCCTGATTAAGTTCAAGCTCATCCCGTATGTTGTTTTTCAAGCCGCACAAATCTTGGGCGCATGTACTAGATAATCATTTGAGTTAATGTAATAACGGTGTTACTAAATTTACTTGTGATGAAAGACTGGCTCTCTCCATTAGATCAAAGTCGAATACAAAGGAATCTCAAGGAGTGGCGCGGGCGCCACTTGTGACACGTGGAACAGAGCTCCTGTTCATCAAAGGGAGCAAACAGACAGATGGTCAGACCTAAAAGGAGTTGATTGTCTCCACTAATGGCCTGACTGTTATGTGAGAAATACTTTTTGTAAAGCAGGGATAGTCACAGTCACATGTCTGTGAGTTGGTAAATGCACTCATTCCATGTAACAGTCTGGCGAGTCTGTGACCTTGCGGTCGATGAAGCATAAAAAGAAAAATACTACATAAGCCAAAAAAAAAAAAAATTTTACGACCAAAGCGGTACGGAACGTATTTTATCAACATAAGGTGTGATAAGGGGAAACGTATGGTAAGACAAATCGCCTTCACACAAATCACACGGGCTCAAGCAAAATGGTCGGCTAATGTTTAGATTGAATGCATTTACACTGTAGAAAGTGCAAAGCAGCAACTTTCTGATTCATAGCCATAGAAAATGGTGGACTTCTTTCAAATCATTCCGCACTTTCCTTCCCAGGAGCGAGACTTTTGCCTCGGAGGGGTTGATCCAGGGGGCCTAAAGAGATGCGAATATGTTCACTCAATCAAAGTTGCGGAAACGTGAGATGAACTATGAGAACACCAACGGCACATGGAATTAATACTTTGTATGCAAACATGTAGCTACCTTTTTTCTACCGTGATATAGATCTTCTATTAGGTGCTTTGAATGCAATACTTTTTTATCATAGCGCGACGAATACAACGGGGCAACTCTCCATTGGAGTGGCCACGGCACGTACAACATAGCCGGTACGTGTTGACGCCGTTCATTTATGTGAATGAGAATCTAATTGAAAGAGAGTCCGAACTTGTTCATACATGTGCATTTCAAGGATGAAGACACTTCTTGGGGAGTGATTGTGGTATTTAAATAGCACCACTCTCTGGCCTACGCTTCCCAGAGTGACATCTGCAACTTCCCCATCGACATAGGGAAAATGGAGTTGAATGAATCGTTCTTCGTTGGTGAAGCTTCGGCTCCCATATTGGAAACGAATAGCTCCGCAGAGCCGGAATTTGGAATATCAGAGTTTTGTTCTTCCATCAGAGCAGTAGACCACGAAGATCAGGATGACGATGAAGATGCGATGAGTGTCATTACTACCACAACAGACCGGCTATTGTCTGGAGATCCGCCACCTTATTCAGAACAGCGCACACTTGGCTTAAATATTGTCCGACACCTGGGATGGTCTGGTTCCAAGGTGTATGAATATGAGTGAGTACATGCATTGGATCAGGATGCACCTGGAGCGCAATGGATTGTACTCACCACATGGGGTAGCATTATCACGGTCCACGGGATACGTGATGTTTATAAGACTGCGTGGATCGACAACGATAACAGCTGGTGGGTGAGGAGCAAACTCTTCAACAAGCGATTGGTTAGGCAGATCGATTACTCTTATGAGATCAGCGAGGAGTCAGGCTTGTACACAGAGAATTCCATCCGACGCCACGCTGAAAAACTTATTGCCGCCTACTCAGAAATTCGTGGCGAGCTCGAAGATGTAGATCTGGAGCATTCAAAGGAAGCATCTAAGGAGAGAGCTGACAGCCGAATTGATAGAGTGAAAAATATCGTCCTATTATATGGATCTGCCACGATCTTGGAGGTACGATCGTGAAAGAGGTAATTCCACAACCGCACAGGAGTGGCCTCGGAGGTTCCAAGCTTGCTAACGCATTTTCATCAGGCTCTTTCTTTGGCGATGGCCGACCCCAGCAGATACGGAGAAATAGCCATGTTGACAACATGTATTGTGGGTTGCCAAGAAGCATCTCGAAGCCGATAAAGGACATTGACTCTTCTAACAAAGAATATCTTAGATGTTTTTGGGCACTCCACACCAATGCAAATCTATCAAAGATCTCGAAGATCAGATATTGCAGTTGATACAGTTACCTGGTCCCCATACAATCAAGAATTTCCCGATGGAGAAGGCCAACTGCCTCGCCAGCCAAGTCAACAGAATCAATCAGACCTTCTCTTCCACCAAGCTGATTGATCGTGCCGTCATTTTCAACATTTTCACCCAAACTTCCGACGAGACATCGGACCATGATTGCAGCCTTGCTAATGACCGGGGAAATCATGGTACCCCCAACGCGCTGGAAGTAGTGACTCCTTTCCGCGGCTCTGCGCACTCGATCGGCCTACCCTACGCAGCTGCTGGAGTGTTTGCCTTACGCACAATAGGTCATTTAGACCTCATCAAGGGCGGTACTCAGGATGAAGATTGGCCATCTCAAGTGTCGGCTCTATGTGACACGGCGTACGGCGGTAAGCGCAACTCTTGATGTTACATGCCTACATTATTCACCTTCTAACATTACTTGTGCGGTTCAAGCCTTCAAAATCAACCCACATTTACTCCCGTTGCAGACAAAGTTGCTTTCGATAGCTCCTCCCACGCAGCTATCACAAATATTTTGCGATCAATCAAGCGTTTGGACTGTCGTCCTGGGTCCCATTAAAGAGCGCCAAGTGCTCGAAGAAATCTATTATCCGACGAAAGCCAAAATCATGCACTTGCATAGCAACGGAGATCCAGTAATGAACATTTCCGAGATCTCTCGACGCCTTTGCGCCGGTTATAATGTGACCCACGATAACTGTCGAGAAGGGCATAGATAGACCAACCGGGATAATCATGTACTTTAAGTTCGACTCGTGCGACTCTAGATACAATGGCGTTTCAGCCATGCTGTCGTATTTCATCAACTTCTTAGCTTGGCGCAATTAGTCTCAATTGGAAGTATCTATTTTGGAGGAGTTGAAATTTCTCAATGACACCAAAGCTTGGTCATTGGAAGATCTTTATCACATCTTTTCTATATTGGTAGCTAAATTTCGCAATCGCGAGCTCACCATCTTCATTGGATGTTTTGATCACTGCCCTAAAGACGAACGGAAGTGGTTAATAAACCGCATCTTAGAGGAGAGTAGCTACAGTGATAAGGACTGCAAGGTCATTATATCGACTCCCAACGAAAATGGCCTTGGAGTAGAGCTCAGATATGGGACGGCATACTATAAAGCTGTCAAACAAATCGATTTGCATCATGAGTACCGACCGAGTGTCATGAATTCACTCACTACAGGGCTTCGTTCTTCCTTGAACCACCTGATAGAGAGACGGCCGACCTATGAGAGCTTTCAACCGGAACTTGAGGCTCTTCTCAAAAAATGTAACCGCGCACAACATTTAGGATATATTATCTTGAACTGGCTTGGGAACTACTACGAGGAGGGATCTAGGTATAACATCTCCACAGTATTAAAGAAGCTCCCGCAGGTTACTACGAGAAATGTACTACAGTTGTTTGTTTCTTCGTTGGATCCAAAGGACCAATTGAGGGCCGCGAACATCTTCAATTGGGTTAGATATGCTGCGGAACCGTGGACCCCAAAATCTCTAACCGAGGCGCTTGCCCTGCACCAGTCTTACGGAGAAGACAGAAGACGGCCATTGTATAAAATGCGCAGGCCACAATGCCCCAACGTTGGTACCATGGTTGCTCCTAAGAGGTCTTGACCCTACTTACCAGTGTCGATTTGGAAGTATCCTCCATAAAGCTGCAAGAGAGGGGTTTCCCAGAAACCATCAGCGAATTGCTAAATCAGAGGCTCAAGTCTATCAACCTAAATCTCACATATCGCGATCGCGGAGTAATTGAGTGCGAGAGGGGTCTCACGCCTCTGTGGATTGCTTGCAGAAACTTCAAACCCGAGTGCGTCGAAGTTCTTTTGAATGCTGGCGCAAAGGTTCCATTCCCGCTTCGTCCGAACTGGAGGGATGTTTTTGATGACTTGATGCGCCTGGGAGGAGACTCGGAAAAGGTCACGAGCTGTATCAGGCTGCTGCTCTCGACATCCCATTGTAAGCTTTCGGAACTGGCCGCAGCCAAGATCGATGATGGAGGCGGTACACTACTACACCGCATCAATAGAAAGACGGTAGTATCCGTGGTGCAGCTGCTGCTTGAGATGGGATTATCCGTGGAAACGCAAGACCAGTCTGGATACACGCCTTTGGCCATTGCCATTGCGAGCGGCAATGAAGGAGTGGCCAGGTGCCTCATCGAGCACGGAGCCGCCATCAACACCTTGAGCCCCCAATTCGGTAGCATTTTGCATCTTGCATGCGCCACTGGCTCCTTGGGCTTGGTCAAGCTGCTTCTGAACGCCGGTGCCGACCCAAAGACTGTCCATGCTGACCATGCCGAATCGCTACTCTATACAGCTGTTGGCATACGAGACGGCGTTGCATGCAGCGACATGGTGCGGTACTTGGTAGATGAAGCTAAAGTGCCAATAGATGCATCAGGTGGTCGTTTCCGCTATCCCATCATCCGAGCAGCCATCTTAGCTCAGGGGCTTGCACCTAATAGTATTCGCATTGGTATACTCCAATATCTCATCCGACGCCAGGCCAGACTTGACGTTGCCGACTCTGAGGGGCGTCGTGCTGTGCACATGGCGTCGAAATCGCCGTGGGCAGACAGCCTACGAGCTCTGGTCGAGGCCGGCGCTGCAATAGACGTTCGAGATGATTATGGACGCATGCCAATCCACTTTGCAGCATCAGCAAGACGCAGTGACTGCCTAGAGTATCTCCTCGGCATGTCCAACGACGTCGACGTAAATGTGGCGGATGCTGATAATTGGACGCCACTGCAATGGGCAGCAAAGGCCAGCAGGCCATGTCTTACCATTGTTTCTCAGTTACTCGACAAGGATGCCGATCTATGGCCTAGAGGTCGTGCTTGTGATGACCATAATGGCACAATGTCCTGGTGGTCAGCGTTGAAGCTAGCCAAGTTTACGGACAAGGACAGTGAATTCATTGAGTGCCTCACTCCCAGTAATGGAAGCGACAAGATAAAGCAGTGGGACGTATATTTGCACGAGAGCAGATCCGGGCATCCAAAGTTACTAAGCTGCTGGAGCTGCCTTACGGTAAGTACATGAATTCTTATTCCCAGCATAGAATTAGGTGGTGGAAATACACTGAACCAAAGAGAGATGCTAACGAGTTGATTCTTACTGGATATCGTGGGTTCCTATTGGACACAAACCGGGTGCAACCACAGTATCCGGTACTGCTTCAAGTGCTACGAGCACACAGTCGACAAGTTCTCTTACAAGGTGCATGGGCCATTTTACAAGAGCGAAGAGGACGATGGCGTCGCTGAAAGTAAAGCCAGAGGAGATGCTTGCACAAATGTTGACTACAATTCTTATTTGAACCATGCTTATCTTGAAGAATTTGGCAACAAGACGTTTCATAGAGACCCAGCGTTGAATGCCCAGTAATTGAAGGAGTACCTCGAGATCCCTTGGTATGAACGAAGACAGTGATGGTACCATCACGCAATGGTCTGGTCCTCACTGCTTTTGGTTCCTTGTTGAGCCAATAGGGTGTATTGGCCACCGTTTGGTGAAGAAGGCAAAGTAACACATATTGCGAAACGAAACCCTTTACGTGAAACTACTGAGCCCTGGGAACCCGAGGATGCATGAGCTTTCTTTTCGTTTTGTTTTTATTCATTTTTCTTTTTCTTTTCCTTCCCAGTTTTGTTCACATATTAGTTTAGTCTACTTCTTTTAGTTCTAATTCGTTTAGCCCCCCTTTCATTCGTTGCTGAAGCATGTCCCTCATCAATCTGATCAAATCCTTCCTTGTGATGTACAGCCCTCCCCCTTGCCCCTGTCCAAAGCCATTCAAATTTCCATACACATACTCTGTCACCACGCCGGCAAGTGTCTGCATATCTCGTCCGTTTGACCAGCCTTTTGTTCTAGCTAGCTGAGTAAAAAGACTCATCATTATCATTGATTCGCTGACGTTCGAATCGTCCTCGGATTCCAGAAGCTCGATGTCTTGCTTGGCTATCAGATTGCAGAGATGCTGCAAGGCAGACTCCGGGCTCATGGGAGTGAACATTATCTCCGTGGCGAAGCGGCCCCGTAGTCCGGCATTGACCTTCATGAGATGGTCCATGTCCTGCGTATATCCGGCCATGACAATGACCATTTTACGGTAATAGCGTGGCTTGGTCATGCAATCGACAATCTCTCCAACTGCCTCATTTGTAAAGCTATTTCGGCCACCAGATGCCAGGCGATACGCCTCGTCGATGAACAAGACTTTTCCCAATGACCGTTCAAACAGTTCAACCACCTTTGGACCAGTGTGGCCGACATACTTTCCTATAAGGTGGGTTGCGGAGCACTCAATCACTTCATTGGTGGAGAGAAATCCCATGTCATAAAAGATTTGGCCAATGATGCGAGCAGTGTGCGTTTTTCCAGTGCCCGGAGGACCCTTGAAGATGTACGTGAACGGGATGATGTTTCTAGGATCCTTATTGTTGAGTCTCAGGTTCTCAGCAATGCGCTGGTAGGTCTCGAAGCGCTGGATAGTGTCTTCAAATCCAATAAGTCCGTCAAAGAGCGCCCGGCATCTTTCAGCGGCTGTGGCGCCTCGGTTATATTTGGGATCGAAATCCTCAGGCTGAAGCACAATATCCATCATCTCAACATCCGTTATCTTCGACATCCTCTCCCTGTGCCTGACCTTGGCCTGGTTCAAAAAGTTGACGACATCGCCACCATTACCGAAGTTTGGTCTGTCTCTTGCCCGGCGCAGGAGTTCTGACACAACCTTCATGGCTTCTGGTGAGGCCCTGATTCCGTCTTCCTCCATCTTGAGGTTGAGAATCTCTTGGAGCCGGTTGTCATCATAATCATCGAACCGGAAAGCTTCCTCGAGAGGAAACCGACGTCTCAAACCTGGATTGCACTTTTGGAGCATATTCTCCATCCTATCTGGGTATCCGACGAGGATCACGCAACGATCTTCACCCGGCTTGTTGTGGATCTTGGAGACGAGAATGTCGATACAAGCCAGTCGGAACTCATCAGATTCGTCTGATCCGAGCTCGGCGCCATGGTAAAACATATGCGCGTCGTCTATGATCAAAATCTTACCTTTGGTCGAATCAAGAATGGCGCTGGTCTTGGTCTCTGATTCACCGATGTATTGGCCGATGAAGTCGCCAGGGGTCTTGTAGATGACCTTTCGGCTTGAGACCAACCCAATGTCGGCCAGGATTTGACCGTATAGCTTGGCCACAGTTGTCTTTCCTGTGCCAGGAGGTCCAATGAAAATCCTGTTCAAAGATGTCTTGAGTAGCTTCATGCCGTTAATCTCCCTTTGATAGTTGATTTTTGACCGGCTGAGGAGCTGGTTGACTGCAGTCTTGATATCTTCCAGCCCCGCCATCTTTTGAAGCTCTTTCCATGCCTTGCTCTTCGTTCGGACGTCCTCAGGCTCAGGCCCAATGATGTCCTGCCCAGTCAATAAGTTTTCGTCTGGCAGAGGCTCAGTCCACGAGTCCTCAATCTCTGATAACCTCTGTCGAATGCGGGCAGAGTGCCGCTCAAGTATTTTTCCATATGACAGACGAAGTTCGTGTACGTTTCCGAATCCAGTTTCCTCACGGCCACGGCCTACACGCTGCGCCAATATGCGCGGAAATGGTCCCAGAGGTCCTTGTTCCATTTTGAACGAGTTTTCAGCGACCATTCTAACGAATATTCGTCTGAGCTCATCATCCGTGTAATCTTCGAGCTGCAATTGGCGTGGAAACAGCCACCTAGCGGCTGGAGAACTTCCCAGAACGGCCGGCATGCGATCGAAAGAACCCGAAAGAACAATGACAACTTTCTCAGCAAGGTCTTTCAATATCTCCATTAAGTACGCGCGTGAGTCGCCATCCGCAAATTCCACATCGCTGATATAAAGCACCTAATACAAACTTAGTAAACTGTCGAAGCATCTGGTTTGCGCATAGATATTGACTTACGCCTTTTGCAATAGCGTCTTTGAGTTCTCTCATGTGTGATCTCGAGGTGAGCGTGTGACCTGATTTCTCTACAAAAACATGAGAGCTCGAATCCCGGCCCCAGACCTCGCAGTCACGGAGAAACTCAAAGTAGAGCTTTGCCAAGGATCTCTTTCCTAAAGGTACTAGTCAGTAATTTGCTAACATAGGATGATCCGACATCGTGAGCTTGATTATGTGAGACCGGTGATATTCCATGCTTCAAGATAGTGTTCTCTTTTCACTGAGAGACGGGGTTGCTGTAATAATCAAGGCGAGAGGATAAGCTAGATAGTCGGCTTACCAGTTCCTGGGTTTCCCATTAGCACCAGATTAAGATCCTGTCGTCTCAGACGCCCTTGCCGACTGCGCGACGCATCAATCATGGCTTTCACCTCCAAAAATACCATCTTGGCGGACTCTAGACCAACCATTTCCATGACTTTGTCCAGGGCGTCGCTCTTCCCCCCTAGCCTCTCTTTCTGGCGTATCCAATCTTGTTTTGCAAATGACTCCACTGGGAGTTCGTCAGATGCTGGTGTGTCGTCTAGAGAAGGAATATCGTCAATAGAGCCACGACGAGAGCTTGGCTTATTGTCAAAGGGATTAAAATAAGGCGATGCAGGCAACGCTATGGTGGCAGGATCAACTTCAGGTTCGTTTCCAGGGCTGGATTCAGTCTTTTCTTCAGTCTTATTCTCATTTTCTGATTGTTTTTTATGTGCTTCTTCATCAAATAAAAATGTAATGTCCTCATCATTGTCGGAGTTGGTCTGATCTTCATCTTCTCCAACGACATCTTGAGATTCGGTTTTTGTTGTTTCGATGTCTTTGGCTTCACTTTCCTCGCCATTCGTAGTAATCGCCGACTCTGGTTCAGTTTTAGCAGCAGGCGTCTCATCGACATCTGGGCTTTTTTCACTCTCGTCGACTGGCACTTGTGCAGATGGCTGATCACCCGCTACCGAACAGACATCAGCTACTTTTGGGTCATCCACTTCCGAACAAGTGGATTGTTCTGAAGGAGTGTTGCTTTCATCTGCGTCCTCAGATGAAGTAGTCACAGGAGTCACACACGGGAGCTCGCTGTCCGTATCGTCCTGCACGCTTGCTGTATTATCCGTGTCCTCGACATTTTGGTCTGAAGCCTGGGGTGAGAGAACTTCGTCAATTGCAGCACCTCCTTTAACAAAATTAGAGGCGTCGCTTCTGCATTCCGTGTGTGGCTGTTGGTCAAGGACCTCTCCCACGTTGCCATCCATTGTAGAAGGACCACAGGGAAAGGCTTTGGAATGATGTGCTTCAATTAAGATTCAAATTCAAAATTTACAGATGAGCACAAAGATCATTTATGAACGGGAAAGAAGTAAATAAAAGTACGTAAATTTATACTTCTACTCCCCATCGATGAGTCAATCGGTGTATTAATCCAACTCAAGGGAGCCTGTCAAACAAGTGAGCACTCAAGCTCAAGCATGCCAGTCGTTTGCCCGGATTTAATGAGACTAGTAGCTGCTGCCTAGTTATTTTCTATTCACGTCGCTTCATATAAGATGGATAGTAAATTAGTTATAAGCAAGAGGTGGCTGAGGTAACAAGGATCTCAAGACAGGGCCCAATCACCGCGATCATTAATCTGTGCGGACAGGTGATAGGTGATATTGTGCGACAAATGCGCCACACAGCCTGCCAGCGCATATCAGCTCAATTGGCGTTCTGGGTCGCCAATACTATGCAGTCCTACAAGGGAGGATTCATGTTGGGGGTGCTGATGCCTAAATGACTGAGGAGTGGGCAACCAATCGTCGCTTACTATTCTCCACACGAGGATGAAATAGATGCAGTAGTGATACAAATGAGGCAAGCGAATAATACAAATATTGCACTTGCGGTGCTGATATGAAAATGTTCGAACTTCATTTCCTCCGAGGCACGCCGCATTAAGATGCGCCCCAATCTTTTATCCGCTACATAGCAGGCTGCAGTTCTCTTATCAAAGGCGAATAGAGGCAGCGTGGTATATTATCGCTGACAGTGTCTTCTAACGTCTAACACCAATGCGGCGGGTGATGGGCGAGATCACTCACATCATTACCCCCTCACATTGACAGACAAAACGATTTCAGTTTGAGATCACTCAAGGAGCAATTCCTTTCATCAATGAATTTAAGAATTCCTCTATTTTAGAACAGGATCCAGAAGTGTTATCTTATCTGGATAGTCAAACTCTTGCCTGCTTGATACAATGCATCGTATATTGTAAGGTTTTCAGATCACATAGATTCATATACTTAGTCCCACCGTTACTAAGCAGATGAGAAATGGTTTGTGGATGATATCGAAGCAGCCGATTACTTATGGGGCATTGCGTGTTTTAGAAATATAGTTTCCAAACGCTGTTCTGTGAGATGATTTATGTTAATACACCTTCATGTCGACCACCGAGCGCCATGGTGAAGAAGAGAGCCATCAAAGAGGCAACCTCAATGAGCCCAGTGTATCGTTTTCCTGAACGGATTCGAGGAGGAAATTATTTTCTATCCATTCTTGGAAACAGGCAAAGCCTTGAAAATGATCATAGTTATCCATAATTACCTCCGAGCTGGAACCGGATCTTGATGCACGGCACATCGCACCATGCAGTCTCTGAGCTCCAAACGCTTTTGTGACAAGGCAATAAGCGTTTGAGCGAGCGTACAGGATGTCACAGGTATCTACCAGCTATATATACTATACTTATACGATCGCTATACGGATAATATTTGTCTGCATATCCATTGATAGACCAATTAGGCATCTTACATTAGCAACTTGCCGTCAATCAGCTCGGAAAATCTTAATTAGTGTAGATGTATAAATATTCCATGTCAAATGAGTATATTATCCATAATCTGCATTCTTGATAGGCTTAGTTTGCTCATGAGATTGGCCTCGAATATTATAAAGTGTCAAGCCTGTGATCCATTTCTTGCTTTAAATAGCAATTATTCGTCATCAATGCCTCGTCACATGTCACTTCCCTCAAGTGAACAGCATTGGTAAAATGCACAACGCGAATTTTAGCCAAAACGGCTGGATACTTCTTGCAGCAACCGCCGAATTATCATGTCCTTTTACCCAGATTGCAGACGCACATGTAGCTTTACTCTCTACACAAATAATTCATCTTTCTAGCAAACAATCGGGCCGATCCAAATGCCATTCCTGGAGAAATGCAGACCGATGGCGGGTACTGGTGTGATGAAGTGAGGCAGCAAACGAGCTCGTGAAGAGGTAGCAATATCTCATTTGTGTATATGTGCATTTAGGCAATTATTAAAGCAGATCTAGATGCCCACCCAAATGGATAAGCTAACTCGTAAATCGTATTGCGCCTATAAAGCTTGGCTCTCTGATACAACATGCTGCTTACATGCAGCATCTGATACGAATAGCGCACTCTCGTAACCACCAGTCGCCATCTTTTCAAGATTAATGAAATCATACCATCGGTTACATGGCATTAAAGATCATCGGTATCTAAAAATACCATTGATTGGTAATATGCGTTTAATCCCTTTGTAGAGCCGAGAACATGCTGGGTCCATGCGGAGTTGCATTATTCCTACCGCCCCAGAACAGAATTATATGTAATCAACATGCAATTTCTCCTCGCGGAAATATAACCGTGCAATGTCTTGTGCTTTTGCATCAGATGGTTGGCATAAACAGCGCGGATAAATGGTCCTTAGGCTCAATTTCGAACGTCTTCTCTCGTATCATGCCAAAGGATGCGCGAATATCTGACCAAATTTAAGAAACTACTCGTAAAACACAGCAATTACTCCTGTCTACAATGCCTCCTTCAAAGCAGTAGTTAGAGGTAATCTAGAATAGAAACTTGCTGCGTTTCGGCACCTCGCTAAGACGCAGAGTTTGTTATACTTCGACCTTAAAAGACTTAAGCTTACTGCAACCTTCCTAATCTAGACAATATACATCGGACAGCAAACATCGAAACTCTTCCACCTATCGGCCATGGGTATTCGATATATGGAGAAACCAATATCTGATATGTGTGTCCATTGCATAGTAGATGAAGCCTTTACAAGTTAACATCAAATATATATCTATACATATAAATAGAGAGGCCTACCAATCTGTCTCAATCAACCAATCCATCACTCCATCCCTTCTCATCACCTCTTGAATCAAGGAGCAACAAACCCCATCTCCACCATGCGGTTGACAACAGCAATCTTCACCACCCTTTGCCTCGCCTTCTCCGCGACAGCCGATCAGCGAATCTGCTTCCCCATACCAGGACAACCAGCCACCGTCCCTCAGTCCATCCTTGATCTCGATCCCCAAATCAAGGTCGACTGGGGCAATAAACTCTGCGCCCAGTCCACCTTTCCATCCGAGGCACTACAAATCTCCTACACCGCCCTCGAGGACGGAATCCTAGCAGAAGATGGTCACATCTACGGCGTCGAGCTTGTACGTAACTTATCCATTGGGCAATCGCCGATACCAATACTAACTTCCTGAGTAACAGGCCCTTCGCTTTATTACATCCGAGCTGATCTGCACTGTACGTTTCTCACGTATCTATTGAAGGTCGTGGCTAATACTGACATGTCTTAAAAATGATAGAACCTTGTCAATGCACTTCTCGGTGTCGGAGCTTGCCCAGGCGGTGGTCTTTTTACTCTCAGTGGCCCCTTTGAGCAATGGTCATACCTCGTCGCCCTCAATTAAGTATTTGGTGGACCACAATGTAAATACACGTACAATTGATCCCATTTCTGTGCTACCCGGTGCAAAATCTTTATTTCATCGTTCATATAATGGAATACTGTCGAATAACAAGTTTAGAGACACAAGGTGAAATGCACAGCCAATGAAGCCGTGTACCACTATATTCATCGGCTACATTGCCATACCTTTCTCACCAGTGTTATCATCCAGGTCTGAAAGAACATGTCCATATTATTTCCGCGACGGAGTACGGGGTGTCACTTATCGATCCCGGCTTCACCGGCCCTCCTCCCGGGGGCGAATACAGGGGGGAGCGGCGATGGCGTCCGGGTTTCACAGCATTTTTAACACCTCCCAAGGCCTGGATAGGTGAGCCTAGAACCAACTACAACCCAACATCGTAGCTACAGTTACATGTACATAAGCTGATGCTGCTAAATAGCATTATACCACTAGTGCTCGTGTGCAGTCAATTATGAATTGTGAGAGACATTACAACTTATCGTCTTTTCATGCTGCCAGCGATAGCAAACGGTACAAGGTCGTTATTTCATCGCTTGTAGAACGGAACACAGTCAAACAACAGATGTAGCCGCACAAGGTGGAATGCTCAACTAGTGAAGCCATGTACCACTCACTATCCCTCTACTTACTTCATCAGTCTTGTTTGTTAAATTAGGCAATCCATGTAGCATCTTGCGATCTATATTGATAGGAATTCGTCGACTACCTTGCCGTAATTTCCCGTCAATAGTCTTCATCCAGACCTGGAAGAATATGTCCATGTCTAATTCCACAACGGAGTGTCACTTATCGGGGTTTCGCCTGTCCTCTCCGACGAAGGATGACGGGTAAGGGCGGGTAGGGGCGGGCGTGAAAGTCTTCACAGCAATTTTAACCCCTCCCAAGGCCTAGTAGACGAGGCGAAACCGACCACAATCCAGCATCGTAGTCATAGGTATGCGGATGCTGTTTGACATAGCGCCACTGGTACTCTTGCAGTCAATCGTGAGTTATGAGGCAAGCTATAGCCAAGGGATATGATACATAGTGTTTTTATCTTCAATATCACCGCAAAATGAGGACTGGATTTAAACAGAATCAGTGTAAGTTACAGGTATTTATGCGACGCCAATATCCGCAAACTCCAGCGTACAAGTCCTCACCCATTCCCTAAACCAATCTATACACAAATAGCACAACTTCCTTCAACAAGCAACATCCGATATGGTGTAGTGGCTAACATCGCTCGCTCTCATTAAGACCCGAGCAGCCCTGGGTTCGATTCCCAGTATCGGAGTCCAATTTCTCTTTTTGCCCCTTCCGCCCTCCACCACCTCTCTCTTTTTTTTGCCACCCCCATCCATCTTGGCCTACATTAGCGTTATCTCTCTCCCATCACGCGACGCGATTTGTTCCTATTCGTTCGAAAAAAAGTCTACCACTGACACGGCCTAGATTCTGCGAAAGGGTTATCATCTACTTCACGTCCCCACCACTCAACGAGTCAAGCGACAACCATCCGCTTGATCTCAACATCCGATATGGTGTAGTGGCTAACATCGCTCGCTCTCAACTTCAGTTGAAGATCCGAGCAGCCCTGGGTTCGATTCCCAGTATCGGAGAATTATCTTTTTGGCACCTGAGAACAAGCCAACTGTTTGGGCATATGATAATTATTTTTTTCTACCAAGCATGGAACTACTACACATTCACCAATCACATAAAACATCAAGTCACAATGGCACATACACAGAGAGGTGGGATAAATCTTCTATCATTCTTATAGAGTTGAAAAAAGTCAAACTTTACCCCTGCAAGCCAAATATCAGCGTCTCAAAGGATCGCAGTGCTTGTCAATGTCCATATCCAACCCAGCTGTTTTTCCTCCTCTGCGGCCCGTATGGCCAAACATCCAGCTATGTTTCAGTGATTCCTTCCAACATGAAACACCCACCCAGGTGGAAATGAGAATGAGAATGGAAAAAAAAAGTCAGAAAAAAAATCTTTAATACACAAGGCAATCCTTTTATCATTAAAACTGCCGAACCCTTCTCATAAAGTCGTTAAAAAAACAATAAGTGTAGTGGTGAATGAGTAAAGTGTTGATAACATCTTGTACAATGGCAAAGACGTTGTGGGGATGGTTCTGTCAATCTTTTATTTTGAAGTCTTTAGATGTCAAGGTTGGTCCAATCTATTTGCTGGAAGATGTCTGGCTGAGTGGTTTGAGAGAAGCCAAGATTCGCGCTTGGAATTTCGGTAAATAGGGATTGGAAAACATCCGTCTTGTCCACTGTCGCCGGGAAAAGCTGAAAGTCGGCGCCATCTGCGGCATACGACTCGTCAAAGCCTTCATCAACCTCGCGCAGTGAGGTCGGGGTGTACAGTACTGCATTCTGCTGCGCATTGGGAGAGAACTGCGGTTGGCCCAAGATGGGGACAGTGGCGCAGGGCTGGGGTTGGGCGTGATAGACCGGCATCTGCTGAGGCATCATTTTGCTGTAAACCTGCTCAGGAGTAGGGAGCTGGGCAGGAATCTGTACGTGGGCGGCATAGATATCCTCATCATTAATGATAAAAGTGGAGCCGTTCTGGTAGGGAGGGTACTGCTCGTACGAGGATGTGGCAGAAACGGGAGAGGGGTTCTCCAGGACCAGGTCCATAGCATCAATGGCGTCAGGTTGCACACCGTAAGTGGCGAACCAGTCGGCATTGGTGGGGTAGAGCGGGAAGTCGCCAGTCATGCCCTGATCCTGAGGAGGCGTGGGAACGCTGTAGCTGGGCGTGGTTGAAGGAGTAGAGACGGTGCCAAGAGGAGGGGTCTGCTGGGCAACGGAGCCGTTCTGGCTGGGGGCCTTCTTGCCGTTGGTCTTGGTGCGGACATAGGTCCAGCCGTGAGCCTTCTCCATGTGCTGCTTGCAGTTTGACTCACGCTTCGACTTATACGGGCAAGGCTTGAACAGACACTCAAACATGGCTGGGGCATCCGAGTGCTTGTCATTGATGTGGCGGTCCATTTCCTTCTCAGTGGGCCAGCCATAGTCGTGGTACTTGCAAGTGGGGATGGGGCACTTCCAGGGACGAGAGTGAGTCTTCTCGTGCTTGGTGAGGTCGCAGGGGCGCTTGAACTCCTTGGTGCAGCCAGGCTCGCGGCATTTCTTGGGAGCCAGCTCCTCAGGGCTGGCATTCTTCTTCCGACGGGCCATGGAGCGCATAATCTCCTCCTCGTCCTCGCGCTGCTCGCTCAGGGAGCGCTTGAGCGGCGTAGGGGATTCGGCCATGTCAATTACCTTTCCGGTGGCCATTGAGATGGCAGTGCCGTCCTTCTTGATGCGGACAAGCTCAGCAGGGCGGCCATTCTCAGCGATGCCGCCATAGAGGCGAACCTCGTCAGTTCTTGACGGGGCATTAGCAGGGCTCTCCAAGTCTACGAGAGGTATAAAGCGCGGTACATACTGGTCAATATCCATGTCGTCGGCAAGGCTGCCCTTTTCCTTGATGGCAGCAAGTTGCTTGCCGTACTGGTAGATCTGCTCCTTCAGGTCGATAAAGTATCCGTTAGTGTAAGGTCGGTCGCCGGGGCGAATTTGCTCGCGGTCGGTGAGATATTCGACTGTGGCCTGAATGCAGCGGACGGACGTGAGGCAGAAATCAAGGTATAAGGCGGCGGACTTGGCCTTTTCCTTTTGACGTAACATCCGATAAGCATCACCCCAAACACCATCATCTGTAAGAAGTCGACTTACCGGTGCCATAAAGATCAAGGTCTTCTCAAGATCTCGCAGGCAAATAATTTCCTTGGATCGAATGCGTCGGGGCACATCCAGAACGATAGGCTCAAAGTCCTTGAGCGTAGGCTTCTCCAGTAGGGGGCGGAGAGTGTGTTCGCGGATGCGGTTAACAGCGCGGTGGCTGAGGCTGGGAAGCATCGCGGTAGTGCTCGAGGCGGCCGACCTTGTCAGGGCGGTGGCCTGAGGCTTCTTTGTTGATTCAACGGCAGTCTTGTCATTGTTGGAGACGACTGAGCTGCCAATGCCGCTGTCGGAGGCATGGTTTCTTGTGCGACGAACAGAGCGCGGGCGTAGAACCCGTCGCTCAGACTCGGTTTTGTTCATTGCGGGGTCGACGACCGGAAGGTCGAGGAAGCCGCGAGGGACAGGCAAGCTTGTGTCCCGGAATGTCTTGGCCCGGGGGCTCTTGTCGGACAGCGAGAGGTCTTGAGCTTTGGAGAGGGCCTCGTCGATATCGTTCAGAGTCATAGCAATACGACGGCGGCTTGCGTCGACGACATCATCAAAGTCAGATTGTGACCTCGTAAGCCGAGGAGGGACGAAGTCGTCGTCTGAGGATGAAGCGTTGGGAGATGTAGGAGAGTGGAAGGTGGCACCCTTTCGGAGGACCATGGCCGTCTTAAGAGACAAGCCTTCACAGTCGGCTCCGGTACGAGTCACCGGAGTCCTTCTGCGGGGGTTCGTTGAGAAAGACATGGCTGGCTTAGATCTGGATTGTCTTTTTTTTTTTTTACTTCCCTAGGTGGGGAAGATGTATGAGATATGCCACAAGAGTCCTAACAACGTAGCAACAAGCGGTTAGCTCCCTTGTCGATAGACAGATGTTACAGTGAGGCTCTTTGGGAGGGTCGATAGGTGTGTGAGTCACAGGCCCGAGATAGACGAGGGCTATGCAAACACCGAAAAGGAAACGGCAGATTTTGAGGCGTCAAGGCCAGCAGGGAAGGGGACAGGACAGATATATGAATAAAGAAAAGGGTAGCCCATACCAATTAGCAGGCTCAATGTGTATGGGCGGTCGAAACCCACAGTGCTGAATGGGCAAGCGAACCAGTGGCGGCTGTCAATGGAAAGCAGACAGTGTCCAGACGATCAATCTCGGGCAGAGGCAGGCTCAATTGCACGCTGATGTTTGGAGGCGTAGTTCGCTTCGAGCAGGCTGTGCACGAATGATGCCGGAGGAGGAGCAATAACGTCTTGAGATGAGATCTGATGAGAAAGGAGAGATGCGAAGTAGCCGGAGAGATGCGAAAAAAAAAAGCCTCGACGGAAGACGGGGCGCAAATTGGATATATGAACGCAAGGACTCGGCACAGACGGGGGAGGAGTAGACCAGAGAGGACCCGAGACAGCTCGAGGGAGTGGAATGGAAAGCGGAGAGCCGGGGGGCGTGTGCGCGAGAGAGGAGTGCAAGGTGCAAAGTACGAGCAGCGGTACGAAGAGCAGCAGAGCACAGGCAAGTGACGAGGGAAAACGAGACGACAGGCTCGCTATGTGTATGTGTACCACTCGAGAGGCCGCTGGAAATGCTGAGAAACGAGGTCGAGGGATGAGAAGACGACAAGAAATGCAGCCAGAAGCGGCGTGATTAGAAACCAGGCGGACTCAGCCCACCGCAGGCTGCTGCCTAACAGGCCGGCCTGTTTAGGCATAGCGCGCGTGTGGGCTGAGGCGTAAGCGCTGCGGAGGAGGCGGATCCCTGTCACTGAGGTTGCTGGAGATAGCGAGAGCCGCAACGGGACCTGGAGCACTAACAGAACTCCGCTGGCGCAGCGCCGTCGCAGCGCCATCGATCAGTAGCACGCCTCTAGCGGTGCTGCTGTAGGTGGCTGCCAGTGGCTGCGAGCGGCGTTTTGGGGGCCGGCACCTGCACTGGCGCAAGGGAGCCGGCAGAGGACCGGCTACCCGTGATAGCAGCCCAGGTCTCGCCGCTATCGCGAGAGACAAGACGCCATCTCTGCTCCCGTGTATTCCGGGTCGGAAATCAGCAGCGCAGCAGTGCGACCTTGGCCGTCCGGACGAGTTCCCCGGCTCTCGAGAGCCAGAAAGCCAGACTCGTCTTCCGCCAGTGTATGAGGTCAGTCGGAGCGCGTTGCTAGCAGCTCGTGCTAATTACTGCGCTGACAAAAAGGAGACAATGCTATTATTACTCCCTTGCATCGCGGTACAGTATGTACTCGTACGAGTATTACTGATATTAGTAATTACCTGTCTGTGGGAGACGATAGACAAGTATTATTAACTGCATCCTCTTTCGATCCTGTCTTGTCTGGTCTGGTCTTGTCGTAAACAGCTTCCCAAGAACGCGGGTTGCAATCGCCAGCGCCACAGACGGCGCAGAAGCAAACGAAAACCAGGGACAACCTCTTCCCACTCGTGTGACCGTTGGTGACGTGCCGACAGTGCGAGGTCGAGCACGGCCTTGAGCCTATCGTGGAGCCTCGCGCAGGTGCAGGGGTCAATTCATCTGAGTTGGTCCTTGTCTGGAGTGTGGCTTGCTGCTTCGACCCGCAGAAAAGGGCCAACAATGCCCGCTTGGCTCGTCCTATTGCTTCGCTCGAGGCCCTTGCTTGTTTGCTTCTTCGACTTTTTTTTCTCTTACTTGACTTGTCTGAGCTCTCCCTTGCATCTGCGCCACTGGGATTAGTTCCCCCAATGCTCCCCTGCCAGCGACTGAGCCACCGCTGGAACGATCAAAGTGCATGAAGTGGTTGAATGAGAGGGCGCCATCCGGGGACTTTTTCCTCTGCAAAAGTGGCTCCAAGCAGAGTACAAGCACAAGCAGCGACAGCCAGCAAAGCAGTGCGCTGCATTAGTACCGTGGTGTGTACTACGTACGAGTACATGCAGCATGTAGAGCAACGAGTAAGATTGAATAATGGCAGCGCCCAGTATGGAGAAGAGCAGCTTGAGTGATGTAAATGAGTCCATCTGGCTCTGGAGGCGCGCTATCCGCTTTAGGCAATCACCGAAAATGCCCAAGCGCAGAGACGCCCAGCCCATGGCTCGATGGCCCGCCTATCAGAACGGCCGCCCAAGTTGCGTGCTGCTGGCAGGTTTCTGCGACCTGCTCTTTTGTGTGTGGTTTTTTCTATTTTCTTCATTTTACTTTTTTTCTTTTTTTGCTCATGACGGAACACATCGTTCGGTGGCCACTTTGGGGTGGTTAGTGCCGGCCTGCTGGAGCGGCTCAACCACTGTCCGTGTACTTGGCAAGTCAGGGATGCTTGGTCTCTATTCGTTGATTGTCGTCGCCATCAGGGCCATCCGGGTGTCGAGCCGTAATACCTCTTGGATCTCGGACGCTACAATAAGTACTAAGGTATTACTCGTACATGTTGCAAATGATCCACCCATGTCCATGTCTGTATTCCGTATGTGCGACTCAGTATTGCTGCTTCATCTCCTCCATTCGAGTCACCTACCTGCTGTACAGCACTGCACATGCTCCTACACGTAGATACCTTAAGCACTCCATCCGCATCAACTGATGGGCAGTAATGCATTCATCCTTCCATGCATGGGCCCTGACTCTGGACGCTCTTCCTATCCACAGTCTCACTCATTCACGCTGTCTGTTGGGCTCGCGTAGATGCGGCTCTGTCTCAGCAACCAAGCAAGCACCTGTATGCAGCATCTTGGAAGAGCTCAAATCTCAGGCCCCCCCCTGTGCATCATGTAGGACAGTGACAATGTGCTGTGCTGTGCTGTCTGATGCATGTCAAATCCGGCCAATGCCACATGTTCCTCTCGATCCACACATAGGGCTGGACAACCAAGACGAGGTTGGGAGATGCATCTCTACGGGCTTGACTCATCCCCCTGCCGCCAACCAACGCAGATCGATTCGTCTCGGCCAATGACTTGGCCGCCGGCAGCATCACGGTATCAGGAGCCTGCCTCAGGTATTGGCCGCCGCTTGTCACAAGCGCTGCTGTGCTCTGCTGTCCCATGTCGGTACAACACCCGACATGTACTGTAATGCATACGGGCCCAAAGCATGCGAGAAACAGGCCATCGCTTGCTCCCCCTCCCGTTCCCTTCGGCCTCTCGTTCTGTTAGCACATTCACATTTGATCCATTCTACTGTACTGTACAAACCATGTCCAAGCCACACATGATCTAAAATTCCAAAATCGACCAGGAATAGGCGTGATGGTGCATCTACGAAAGTACCCTTTTTTTACGTCGTCTTCTTTTCCAGCCAATCACACATCTTCATATCGAGCAGCCTGCCAAGGCACCCAAATTTCAGAGCTCCGTACTCCGTATTTGTTCCCAGTATGACAGACGGCAAGATTGGGTCGTTTGAAAAGCGGGGGACTGGGACTTGGCTTGGGTCAAAATCCGGCTGCCTTCACAAGCTTTTGCAGGGGGAGCGCGGCCCCCTTTGACTTGAGTTTGCGGCTCTGCCCAGCGATTTGGGGCCCTTTTGCAGCTCCCACTCTAACGCCATCTGGTGGGCTTGCGTCGGCTGGTGATGCAATCCTGGGGTTTTCGCTCTTGGTATTTACTGGCACAGTCCAGCAGTAACACTCTATTTGCTGGCACTTTTTTTGCTTAGCTTATCGTACCCGAGAAGCGGCAACGTTGACGTTGACGGAATCTGGCGCGCAAGGGGTTGCGTGTCCGCTTCTGTGCGACTCCATTCCTCAGGCAGTCGAATTAAATCTTTGGAAATAGCAGCAGCAGCAGCAGTTATTTCGTCCATATTCACACCCCCCCCTTATACGCAAGGCACCGAAATTATTTCCAGGCAGCTTCAATATTCCTTGAAGGTTTGCGATACGAGAAATGGAACTATTCGAAGCTGAAACCGAAAGATTTTTTTCGTTTCTTCGAGCTGGAGCTGAAGCATCGTGATGCGCCCCTGGTCGCTCTGGCGATCTGGCTAGCCTAACCTACACCGACCCTTGACACTCCCGATGCGATGGATGTGGCTCAAACCGACGTCTATTTTTGGCCGTAGAGGGGTTAAACTGAACCAGAATAGCTTGTAGATGTTGCTTTACACCAACTGTGATCATTTCTTGAATGCTCAAGTAACCTAGACGAACTAGCTCTTTATGGATGACAAACGGTTCAAAACACCAAAGTGCACGCGGAAGCTGTTCACGCGAGGTTCATATATCCAAACCACGATGAATGCATTCATTGACCTATTAATGTCGACAAGGATGAACATCTCCTACATACAATAAAAGTTCAAATTCACTTTCAACTGTTCAGGGCTTCTTCATTACAATCAAGGCACGTTATGATGCAGTTCAACTTCAATATAGGTATCTAAACATGCCTCCCTCTCAGACAAACGTAGATATAAGAGCATTGCGGTTCTGCCATCTCGTAGCCATCTCGTCGTCTAGTGGTGAGCTCGATATATTCAAGTGTCTCCCTGAAACTTTCCCCTATCCCTTTGGAAATATCCGAGCCACAAATGCCTCTATTCAACCGACCCCAGAGGTCTTCCTCATGTCCACCATTGGTTCGACGCCTCTCAACCCTCGTCCGCCGCAGGCTGTCCGTCACCATGCCTGACCGAAAGTCTCCATCTTCATCGGCCGCAACTCTGGATAACAATACATCTTCTACACTAGCAGTCTCAGACGCTGTCCCTCTGGAAGCATCATCCGCCTCCATCTCCAATGACACTCCCACTCAGAGCGTTGACCAAGACACACAGACAAATGCCGTAGAGCTGCATGACGATCCCACCGATGAGGATACCGAATGCCACTCCAGATCCACATCTCCGCCATCTCCATCTCAGCCCTCACCCGCTTTCACCTTCGCAGTCCTCGACGACCCCCCTCCCACCCCCTATTCCCACCCCGATCCCCTTCACCAAGCCATCTACACAACCTACACTCCCATGCCCACTAAAGAAAGACTCCAAAGACGCCAAGAATGCATCTTCCGCCTCCACCGCCTCCACCAAGGCCTCATCCAAGACCCCTTTGGCGAATGGGCCGACCTCGCCCACGGCCTATACGGCGGCACAATCCCCCCCGAATTCTACCTCACCTCCGCCCCCTTCACCCTCTACTCCCTCCGCGGCCGTGTTCGCCTGCGATACATCCGCACCGCCTTCTGCATGCCCATTGACACCACCGTATGCCAGATCGAATCCTTCCTTAGCCGCAACCCTTCCATCGTCCGCTATCTCCTTTTCAACGTTCTGCCTATCCCCGATCATGCTCACAGAGAAAAGTCCTGCAACTACCAGATACACGTAAGCCATCCCACAAGCCAGAAACGCAATAAGCATTTGTTGCACGCTATCAAGCAGCTGGACTGGATCGATGAGACGGTCGACTGGGTGGCCAAACTGGCCCGGACGGAAGACGAGAGGACCTTGTCTACGCTATACAAGGCGAGAGGAGTCGAGATACTGCCAACTGTGTGGAAGAAGATGCTGGAGATGGAGGAGAAGTGGAAGCCAGGTATGGAGTTGTCCAAGTTTCACGCGCGAGTTGTTGCACATATGCAGCGGAATCGTCCAAACAGCCTGCTTAGCAACATCGTCACGCCCCAAGATATTGTGGAAGATTCATAATAAGTTTTCAAATAATGGGCTGTGGAGAAGCAAGTGCTATATCGTTTACAAAAACAATTTGAAAGGGGTAAAATGTTATTATGGAGAAGGTATGATAGCTTGTCATGTAGAGATAGTGTATACTATGTTATGCGCGAACAATATTCAAGAATGCTAGTTGCCATATTGCGTTACATTTCACTTCTAAAGAACCAATTCACAACAGATACCCATCAGCTCAACAGTACTCACACATGAGCCCACCCGTTCTCAACCAAGACCTGCATCTCGTTAATCAAACAAAACTCCCCAGGCTCCCGATTCCCACTCTTCTCCTTCTCCCACCGCCCCACCCGCGAGCTCACCACCCACCTGTCAAAGCTCCATAGCGTCCATCTCCTGATCCTATTCACCCACAGGCCGGTGAAAATATCCCATCCAGACACCCAAGACCTGCCCGGTGGGTGCGTCGCAGCGTAGGCAGGGTAGTTATAGCCGACCCTGACTCGTGGGTTGACATAGACGCCTTTGGACTTGGACAGCGGGTTGTCGGCGTGGATGAGGCAGCATTCGGAGCCTTCCAGGTGGTGAGCGGCGAGGGAGTCGGGGACGGCGCGGAAGCGAAGCTGAGTCGATGATACAAAAGGCTCGGCGGGCATGACGACTACCAGATGTTTAGCTACAATACGGCCAATGGGGTCGACAACCACCAACCTATGCCATTCCAGCAGCTGGTAACGGGAACTGCGTCCATATGGTTCACCAGCGCGTTTCTCGAGTCCCTGGCCTCAAAGTATGGCCACGTCTGCATGTTGTGCGCCCTCCCTTCAATGTCACGCAGAGCAAATGTATCGTAATACAACGGTGGCTTCGAAAAGTCCAGAGAGCAAGCTGCAGCGTAGTTTCCGCGGTTGGTGTCCAGTAACGTCAATACGTCCTCGACCTGTCCACAAGGTTAGTCAATGTGAGCCTGTTCCCCAACCTCTGTCATCTTGATATAATTACCGTAAAGACCACGTCGTTGAGGAACAGCACCTTGTCAAAGGTGATTCCCTTCTTGCTCAGCTCAATCAGGTCCTGTATCGTCTTGTTCCTCAGCTTTGCCAGATAGGGAATCCTTCTCAGTTCCCTCTTCCCCCTCGCTGTATCGATCCACCCTTCCCCTCTGTCCTTTTCGGCCTTGGATATCTCGTCGTAATGTGTCGTATCTGATACCTCGACCCGTCTCGGCACGTTTCTCTTCTCGAGCTCGCTATCCAGGTCTCGCAGCGCCTCCTTGCTGTCGTCCCAGCTGCCGCTCTCGTAAACGCTCACAAACACATTGTCGGCGCCAAACGTCTCCGTAAGCTGAATCACCGCATCGTTCCAGTATTCTTTCAGCACTTTCGCGTTGTTCCAGTGCATGCTCGCAATGTATATCCTCTCGCGTGGTCGCGCAGCCCCTCGGCCGCTGCGTAGGAGATATTCTCGGTCTCCATGGACGATTTTATGGTGGATTCGGAGTACGTCGAGGAAATTGATCATGAGTAGGAGAAATAGCACCACTCTTGTCGTTCGCCAGCGAATCATTCGACGGACATACAGCCTGTTGGCCTCTGAAAGCAGCATCGTTGCCTGCAGACGTGCTGGTCAAAGGTGAAGGAATGACAAACACATGCACGAGATCAGATGCTCGCTAATACAATGAAACAATGGCTATTACGCCAGCCCATCGCGCCAATTCACAGGCGCGACGCGGCGATTGGTTTGTCTAGACTTGCAGCTTGACAAGCTTCCTGATAATGGCAAGTGTAGTTGTAATTGTTGCGAGTTCATGTCAGCGGGATGCTCGTCCCAGCTTACGTAACAAAAGGGTGGACAAAACATCCACTTCATCACATTTCAACTACGTATATCTTTTGCTCAAGCTGCTGTGAGCGGAAAGGAGTTTGTACGTGGTAAAAAAAAAAAAAAGTCCTCTGATTATTCTTATTTAGCAAGGCGGTAGATAATGCGCCTTGTCTTCTTTCTTACCAACTCCATGCTCCTCCCAACTTCCTCCCCTATTATTATACACAGTCAAGCATATTGCATCATATAACAAGCGTCGTTCACATGCTTTTTTACGACAACCGACGACACCTCGCAGGGACCATTCATCGTTTGGCTCCAATTTATCTTCCCCTGAACCAATTGTTCCTCTTCAACATCATGACTAGCCTTTTGAGAGCTGCACCAATTTATTTGGCAAAGTGAAGATCATATCCAAGCCACTTTCTCCGGTTAACTTCGTCGACAGACAGTCCGGGATAACCATATGTCAAAGGCAAGAAGAAGTACCAGCTGGCGGCAGCGACAGTGAGAATCACAAAACAAGCAATCCAGGCACCGGCCATGCTCTTGCCAGCAAACCGCTCACGAGCAGTAATGTGTCTCTTAGGTCCGGAGGCTCTGGGGTTGGTGGCTCGAGAGGGCTCCTCGTCTGCCGGATCTGTGTTGAAGATGAACTCAACAAGGGATCCTGTGACCAGGCAGGACGCCAAATGAGCAGGCAGGTAGTGATGGAGGAAGAGCTGACGTCCCATAAGGAAGAATGGGAAGTAGTGAGTAGCCCAAGCCAGCCAGAAGAAGCCAGTGGAGTTGTACAACCTGGAGCGAGTGCCTTTTATCAAGAGTTAGAGTACCAACACGGGGTTATTGATAACGAGAGAGGGAAGTATAAGAACACTTACGATGGTCCAGGGCATCGATGCCTCGACGCAGAGAGACTTGGTCTGCTCCAATAATACCGGCAAATACAGCCAAAAGACCACTGGCAAGCCACCAGCCAATAGGGTTGCCAACAAAGTAGATTTGCTGTCGCGTATCATTCTGTGTCCAGAAGCTCACACCTCGGAGGAGGAACGGCCAGTGATAAGGCTGGCTGGAGTACGGGTGGCTGCTGGTCAGCTTGTTGTTGTGGTAAAACATGGACCTCTGCAGCTCAAACCACTTGCGGAGGAACGGCAGCGACTTGACCTTGCGCTCCTCCTTTTGGCGACGGGAGTGGTCTTCGGGGAGAGACGGGATGTCTTCGGCAATCCACACGTTGGAGCTCGGAGTGATTTGCTTGTTGCCATTGATTTCCTGCTGCCTGTACGCCCACTCGGGAAGAGGAGTGGTGTGAGTCCACATGGCAACCTTACTGGGGAAGTGAATGAGCTTGAAATGGCTGGCAATAGTCTTGAAGTCTTGGTTGGGCTTGCCTCCCTCGATTCGGATCTCGAAGAGAGTGTCGTTAAGGCGATCACCATATGCTTCTTCAGCAGACACGGCGGTAAATTCCTGGTTGGTGGGATAGTACGGAGAAGCGACATCGTGGGAGAGCAGAATCTTGTCCGTGACGATGTGTCGAAGTCGAACCAACTCTTGGTTCCTTACGATGCGGCCGAGCTTCTGATCGTTGCTGGCGGGGATGATTTGCCAGTAGTTGTTTGTGTCATTGTGGGGGTAGCCAGTGACCTGCTGGCCTTGGCTGGAGATGCGGCCATCATCATATCGCAGAGGATAGGTGTCGAGGTGGCTGTGAAGGTATGCCTTGGTCTCCTTGTGCCTGATGGTGATGGTATCATAGTACTGGATGTCGACAGCGCTTGCCAGCATGACGTTGTCGCTCAAGGTCTCTTGGAACTCTGGAGACATGAAGTCGTCACCAGGACCGGATCGAGTCAAGACGGCAAAGTGCACCTGGAACCAGAAAAGGTAGAACAGGAAGGGAAGGATAATGAGGCCAACGGCGCGGGCTGCAAAGTGCTTTCCAAAGAGCGGGAGGCTGATGGCCCCGCCGGGTCGCCTGATATCCAAAAGCTCCCACAGATCAATGATGACGGCAGAGCCAATGGTGACGAAGGCGAAGAGACCAACATACTTGGTCGAGATATCGCAAGACAGCGCAAAGCCAGTCAGGACAAGCCACTTCCACCACTTCCTGCTAAACGGCTCGTGTCGCAGCTTGTAGAACTTGATGTAGAACAAGAGACTGCAGGCCATGGCGAGCACCAGCGTAGCGTCGAGGAGAATGAGACGAGTCTGGCCAATGTGCGCATTGTCCAAAAGGATCAATCCCGTAGCGACGAGGCAAGCAGGTACACTATAGCCCGATTCCCACATAATCAAATACGTAACAGACACAGTCAATGCGCCAAGGAAGGCGGGCAAGGCTCGGAACGCGACATAGGGGACCTTGTTGGCAATGTAGGAGTCGCCGATGTTTTCGAAGTGGAAGTGGCCGTCATATCCAACAAGCCAGCCAACGAAGGCGAAGAGCAGCTTGGCGAAAGGGGGGTGCACATCGAAGAAGTAGGTTCGCTGAAGGTAGTAGGAGGCAAACTATGGGAGAAGTCAGCTTTGATGCCATTGATTATTGATTATATCAACATGGCATGACGATGACGATTAACCCCTTACCTTTCCAAAGTGCACTTCGTCAAAGACAACCTCGTCGGGGTGGCTGATTCCCCAGAACCGAGTGACGAAGCCGAGGATAGTCACAAGAGTCAGGGCAACCCTGTGCTCAGTTTCGCCTCTTTGGATGTTCTGGCGCGACGATGCTGCCGCCTTGGACAGCTTATCGAGCTCGACCTCGGGGGCAAATGTAGCTTCGGAAACCGGCTGCTTGGACGCAACGTTCCGCTGCCGCAGGCTCGGCGGCTGCGGCGTTGGAGTTCGAGCCATGGCTCTAGGAGGCTTCACAGACGAGCAGTCAGCACTTCTGCAGTGATGCCAGATCTTGGAAACATCAAGAGCTAGGGTCTGTGCAACTTGGCTGCATGTCTCGGCAGCGCAACGAAGTCGAACTTACAAGAATTTCAAACTGGGCTCCGCGCTGGCTTGGAGAGAGAATTGGAGAATTGGAGAATTGAAAAAGGAGTCAATGAGAGAATAGAATGGAAGAGGAGAAGAAAAAAAAGGATTCGCGAGGCGTCGTGCAGCGAGGCCCGGGTGAGATGGTTGAGCCTCCCGTAAGTTGGATTGGACCAAGTCGAGCTGAGGCGAACGTGTCTTTGTTCCCACGACTCGAGGCTGGAGCCACTAAGCTGCAGGGGTTCAGCCACGCCAGTCAATAATACGTAGCAGTGCCTAATAGTTTATGAGCCACCTGGCAATATTGGATTGAGAAGAGATTGATGCAAATTTTCTGCGTTATGATGCGTGTCCTCAATATTTATTCATTTCCGTCAATTATTTCTGTTATAACGGTTAATTAATAGTAAATAGCCAGTACTGGGTAAAATGCACGTTTTCTTGAACACGGTGTGCGTCCATTTGCATCTTCAAGTCTCAGCCCTTTCCCCCCATTCACATGCCGGTTTAACGGGAGCTATTAATATAATACACTGCACTGTATTACGCCGGATTTGGCACTGCGACGCCGCAAAAGGAGAGCTTCAACGGCTGGCCCTATGAAATGATTGAAATGCTGCGTCAGCTCAACATCTGAGACAGTCCGCTATTGGTAGCCAGCAGCCGGTAGCGTTTTATTGCATTTGCGTTGGATTCATATATGTGAAACCAACACAATCATGTCCCTTGTTGGCCATGCTGCGCCCCTCGCTTACTTTGATTTGAGCGAGTTGTTGAAGCTGACAGGAGGGAATGAACATTCAAGTCAAAAAAGGTAGGTAAGCAAGCTCATTACGTAGGGACGCGAGATTATATAGGTATGTTTTCCACAACATTTGCTTGGCACCCTGATTAGACATCTTTTGGACCCTTGACATGGGTATAGATAGATAGATCATTGCGTACTACTATGCTTGATAGAGATCAATGCCATTGAATACAGACTCAAACACGACTGGATGTAATGCCTAATACATCCAACATGCGCCCTACAAACCATAGCGCGCGCCCTACAGCAACAACTGCCGTAGCAAATCATTGGATCATTACTAAGGTGCTCCCAAATGCCTCCACAGCGCCTCTACTTTTTACCTCGTTGGGCTGGTAAAACCCGCCACGTCAATTGAGGGCGGGGAAAGCAGCTGCCGGCCGTCGGAGGGGTCCCGGTCCAAGCTCAGCAAGCTTTACCTACTAAATGAACTCATAAAACAACAGACTTCAAACTCCCATCTTCTTGTAACCTCTCCTCCAGACCCAAGAATCCAGCCCGAATCACCATCTCCTAACAGACTTGTAGGTGCCCATGTCGCTGTCAATCTCCCGCAGCCTTGCCCGGCCCCTAGCTAGAAGCCTAGCTGCGTCTCCTCCAGCCTTGTTCGCTGCAAGACCCAAGTTTACACTCGTCACAGCTTCCGTCAGATCCAAGTCCACAATGGCCGACCAGACTATCGTCTACACCAAGGATGCCCCCTTCCGTAAGTCCAAATCGCCGTCTGCAGCAATCAACCAGTGGAGCTAGGAACTAATCATGGACGCAACATAGCCCTGGGCCCTTATGTAAGTTCTCACATACAGATACTAGACATATAACATGAACAATCATCTCATATGTATAAAACGCAGTCTCAAGCTATCAAGACCCCCGCGGCCATCTACTGCTCAGGCCAGATTCCTCTCACCGCCGAGGGCACCCTGATTGAGGGCACCATTGCCGACAAGACCAAGAAGTGCTGCGAAAACCTCGATGCTGTCCTCAAGGAGGCCGGCTCTTCTCTCTCCAAGGTTGTCAAGACCACCATCTTCATCTCCGACATGGCTCACTTTGCCGTAAGTACCCATTGAAGTCAAAAACACTCCGCATCTCATTGCTCATCGTTTATAGGAAATGAACGGAGAGTACGAGAAGTTCTTCTCTCACAAGCCGGCACGAAGCTGCGTTGCCGTCAAGACGCTCCCCAAGAACGTCGACGTTGAGATTGAGGCCATTGCCCTGCCATAGAGGGCTGTAGAGGGAATGTTGTAAAAGTTTTATATAAATATTTTTACACGCTATTACAACCCAATGAGTTAAATACACCTGCGCCGGTTCTTTATATCTTGACATGCAGCCAGAAGCCCAGTAGCCGCCATGGCCACCTGTAGGTAGCTACCGTATAAAGAAGACGTGCAATGTAATCCCCAACTATCATTAACTCTAAGCGTTCCAAATAACCACTCGTCCGTCAACACCGCTTGCTGGAAGTAGTTGTTAGCCTAGACATCGGGGGGTTAAAGAGGGAGCTAATGTACTTACAGCTAAACTTGGTAACTCTGCCACCGGACACCTCATAGGGTCTAATAGTGGAAATTGTGTTCTGGTGAATCGTCTTCAACTGCGTGTCATCCTTGACTTTTCCCTTGAGGTCCATCTGCCTGAACATGTTCAAGGCAGACTCCTCGCGCTGCTCACCATGACCAGCGCTGCCCTTGGACTCGACAGTCCCAACTAGCTGCCAGCCGCCTTCGCCTCCTTGGAAGCGGAACGCCTCACAATCGTATCCGGCGGCGATAATCTCATCTTCAGCTTTCCAGATCAAGCTCTTGAAGGGAAGAAGCTGGGTGGGAACGCTCAAAACGGCCCTGGGGGGCTGCTCTGGACCACTGGGATAGACAACCGTGATGCTGCTGTCGTGGGCAGCAAATGCAAGGGCATTTCCGCTAGGAGAAAATGACACAGAGTGAACCCAACCAGCAGAGTTGTTCAAGTATTCCCCGCAGACGGTGTTGAAGGGCAATCGCTCGCCCCAGACACCAGGCTCGGGACGCTCGTCAACACCCTTGACGAAGGCCGAGAACACTCGGGCATGAGCATCGGTAGAGCCGGCTGCGAGGAGCACAGAGTTGGGGTGCCAAGCAACGCTGGTGATGGTACTGCGAATCGGCTTCTTCAAGTGCTTCGAAACCCACCAGTCGTTTTCCTCCTCAAAGTAGCAGACCGCAATCACGCGATCGCCGGAGCCTACGGCAAACTTGGTCTCGGAAGGCGACCATCGAACAAACGTGGCGGCGCGGCTGATTCGAAGAAGGACAAGAGTGGGCTTGTATCCGGTAGGAGAGGGCTCCCAGACCAGCGCATTTCGATCTGCGAAGCATCAGTCAGGAGTTCAAAGGAGGCTGGAAAGGAGACACGGCGGGGACGAACCCTGAGAGCAGGACACAATGCGGCCGCTGTTTGGAGCAATGTCGACACTGGTGACGGTCTTGTCGTGGCCCTTGAGCACATCCTTCAGCTTAAACGCATTTCCAACCTTGCCGTACAGCTCGACGGTTGAGTCGCGGGCAACAGCAAGAGTTGCGTGGTCGGCCGAGAAGGAGTGGTCGGCAATGGGGTTGTGGAAGAGGTGGTGGACTTCAGGAGCAGCCATTGTGTCGATAGGAGTAGCTCTCTACTATCGCTGACGAAGAGGGAGAAACTGGAGTTGATTGGGGAAGCTTGCGCGTATGAGTTGGAGAGGTCGAGGTTGTAGCAACGAGATGGCGGGGTGACGTTGCTGCTGCGAGTACGTACATGGCGCCCCTGGCCGTCAGCAAGTGGCAGCCAAAGTCGGGTACCTGGTACTTTAGCAACCAGGAAGCTTGGGCCACACGTCGCTCGCAAGACCAGCGGCCTACTCTAGTACCTAGCAGGGAACCAAAAAAACTCCACGCTCAGATCAATCACATCAATCACCGATACAAACGACGACCCGGCAAATCTCCGACACGACAACGAGCCACAGGAGCGCTGGTTTATATCTCCAGACGACGAGACTTTCTGCCGCCTTCTTTTTGAAGCACTTGGATACGCCTGAATAGCACAATGGCGTCGGCTGTTGCTCCTCGCGGACTCGCGCCAAACGCCTCTCTGCCCGCCAAAGTGCAGCCGATCCCTCCCAACCAGACGTGAGTTGCTCTCTGCACTCCGAATGTATCATGTTGTTAATTAAAAACTGTATAGTCTATATGTAACAAACCTCCCATCAGCCAAGATACAAAAGCCAGACCTGCGAACGGCGCTCTACATGCTCTTCTCGACCTTCGGACCGGTTCTCGACATCGTGGCCCTCAAGACAATGGAGATGCGTGGCCAAGCACACATTGTGTTTCGCGACATCCAGGCTGCGACCCAGGCAATGCGATCATTGGATGGACAGACCTTCTTGGGCCGGCCAATGGTGCGTTTTCTCCCGATTCTACAAGCTCTGTTGACGACTTTGTGATTAACCCGCTCTAGAAAATTCAATACGCCAAATCCAAATCGCATTTCGTGGCCAAGCTCGATGGCACATTCAAGATTCCAACGACAACAGCCGGTGCCACCATTGTGGAGCAGACCGAACTACAGCAGAGCATCTTCAACGCACCGCTACCTGGAACGGCTCCCGAAAAACCCACAGCGCCAGCTGCCACCCAAGCTGTGAAGAATGAGGAAGATGAAAGTCGCGGCCAGAAACGGACTCGCGACGAGGAGGATGAGGAGAGTGAGGAGGACGTGGCCATGGAGGAGGACAGCGATGACGAATGATTTACGCTTGCTCACGACGAGGCCGCCCCAATCAAGGACGAGGGTTCCTCCGTCCAAACAATGCCGTTACTGGGTGGCCATTTCCTTGGGCACCCACAAGCCGACGCAACCCCCTACCAAGCCGAACCAGATCATGAGATAATTCTCCCTTGAACATTGGAAGCTGGATATAGCGTCTCCTAACAGGCACGGATGAAGAAAGAATGAGGGGACCCCGGTGATGGGGTGATGCTATAGGCAAGCTGTTAGTGCGGCCGGACCGACACTAGATTTTTGGATACCATAATTAACTTGTGCAAATAGAAATGAAAACTCACGTCTGCTGAGATGCCTCCGATGCCTCCTACTCCTCGACGGAGACCATCTTTATAGTTGTCAGGAACCAGGCGGCGGAAGACGGTGTCGATATTGAAAGCAGGCTCGTCTGAGGGGAGATCGTGAAGGCTGAACCAGAGGCACGGAACTCTGTATGTGGGGTGTAGGTGTATCTCGTACGCTACATAGCCGAATCCCGGCGTCGCCTTTTGTTGTATGAGGTTCTAAGAAACGTGTGAGCACACTCACGATGTAGCAGCAGCAGTAGTAGCAGTGGTATAAGCCAGCATACCGCATCAGATTCTTCAGCATCAATCATGTCATCGTCTGCCTGAAGAAACCCTTTGTCTGTATTGTGATCTGAAATTGAAAAGCCGCCCAAGTCGAGTGATATGTCTTCTGGGTCTACCGTCTCCTCCAAGGGGCGGATTATCTGAATGTACGTTGTGTATCCACTTGAGGCTGAATATGTAAGATCCAGAGATGTGCACAGTCTGAGCTTCCATTTCTTCCTCATGGGCCCCAGAGTTGCTCTGCAATACTGGCTATCAAAATGATGGCATATCTCGGAGAACTCCTCTGGGCTGAGGAAGGGAAATTCTTTGATGTCCATGTTTCTATACTTGATTTGCTGAGGAAGATATTATACCTGCCCACTCGACAGCTAAGTAAGGTAGGTACTAGGTAGTCAGAATCCAATATTTTATTACTTTACTGGCCACACGCTTGGCAAGAAGTTTACTGTTCCTTTTGACTTCTTCGATGACAAATATTGAACGTAAATGCAGTGATGAGGCTGGAAAGTGGGAGATGTGCAACTAACTTTGAGTCAAATCCCGCTCTTGTCTGAAGTAAAAAATGTGCTAGGGCGCAATGCCGGTGAATACATAACTAGAAGTACTAACTTATCGAAAGAAATGATTGATAATTAAAACGCCTTGTATACGAGATTGTGCTGCTGGGAAACGTGTATAAACTTCGAGACCTGATTTCGAGTTTGCAGTGTGGCACGTCCCCTATAATTCCCTAGCGCAAGTCCACCACGTACTGTAGTTGATACAGAGCGACTATACGGAGTACCTTGCCATACAAAGGGAGGAATGTTATTCCGCGCGTGGGGGATTGACGACCCCCCCCCCCCCAATGACCGCATAGAGCAGTATTCGGGGTAATTGGCTGGGCCCGCATCAGAGCTACCGGCCAGGCGCCGTGATATAATAGCGACAGCTTCTTCCAGATTGTTCTCCCATATCGTCTCAACACAACAGCGAAAATGGCTCCCAAAACACTCATTGCGCCGTCAATCCTGTCGGCTGACTTTGCACAGCTCGGTGCAGAATGTGCTCGCACCATGGAGCAGGGCGCCGACTGGCTGCACGTGGATATCATGTTAGTTATGATCACTGTTGTCAGTATATCAATCGCCTTGAATCGGCTGACCAGTAGACAGGGACGGCCACTTCGTACCAAACATCACATTCGGAGCCCCTGTTGTGGCAAAGGTTCGACCGCACGTCGAGAAGCCGACCCAGCCCGCCGGTCGAGGCACATTCGACTGCCACATGATGATTGCTGAGGTACATCAGATCCTGATTCCGCAATTGACTTATACACAAACAATTCGTATTGGCAAGGATATGGCTTCTTTAGCTTTGCAGCTAACACTGTGCTTCAAAACAACAGCCTAAGAAATGGGTCAAGGAGTTCAAGAACGCCGGCTGCGATCTCTACTGCTTCCACTACGAAGCTGCCTTTTCGTCCGCCGCAGAGTCTCCCGAAGAAACGACCGATAAGAAGACCAGCCCCAAGGAGCTTATCCGATATATCCACGACAACGGACTCCTTGCAGGCATTGCCATCAAGCCTGACACATCCGTTGATGTGCTGTGGGACATTCTCGAGAACCCGGATCCCAAGGAAAGACCCGATGTAAGCTCCATTGCTCGCAACATTCTCCCACAGCTTATTATGGGCTGAGATATCACAACGGAAAGCTAACGTATTTGTCAATGAAGATGGTTCTAGTTATGACAGTTTACCCCGGCTTTGGAGGACAGAAGTTCATGGCCTCGGAGCTGCCCAAGGTGCAGGAGCTGCGAAAGCGATACCCCGAGCTGAACATTGAGGTTGACGGAGGACTCGGCCCCAGCACCATTGACCAAGCCGCCGATGCGGGAGCAAATGTCATTGTTGCAGGCAGCGCCGTCTTTGGAGCCAAGGATCCGGCCGAGGTCATCTCGCTGCTGCGGAGGTCGGTGGACACCAAGGGAGGCAAGCTGTAGAGGGGGCGAGGGTTGGATTTAGAAGATCGAATATCTGCACGAATAGAAATAGCGATTGCTCAGCCGTGCCTGGATCGTCTACAGCATCTATCGTGCATGTCTCAGCTGTGTCTCGCATCTTATATGAATACCTAGGTACATGTACCTATGAATAGAGGCGCTTCATCTTGTGTGGGTCTGGATTCAGCCAATGGCCAGCCACACACTTGGCTGGGATTAAACCTTTGGACTAAATCAACGATACAACCTTATCGATTGGAGGTGACATGTCCTTTTACTGGCATTCAAGGAGCCCGCTCTTAGCCAGGACCCCTAGACGGGCTCGTGTGCGTGACGGGCTATTGCCTCTTTTCTCGGCTTCTTCTTTTGTCGAAGCAGCAGTTTGAATTACGAGCTGTTTCTTTGTTTCTTTTTCTGTGTGTTGGCCGTTCAATCGCTCTCCCTCCGGCAAACACCCCCGGCAAATACGTCTCGCTCCTCCCGTCATGACCCCGTCGACCCAATGATCCGCGACCCGTTCGGCATACACAGCAAAAACGTATTCAAAGCTACAGCGTTGCGAGCGGCGCAGAATATCCGAGAGGCAGCGACGCAGGCGAGCGCAAATGCACTAGAAATGTCCTTTTCTATGCCCAAACACGTGCCCGACTTTGGGGATCCCAGCCGAGCGCTCGAAGACCGCGCCTGGGCCGCTCTGTCGCGGAGAGGCGGTCCAGGAGTCCTCAAGAGCGGCTTGTTCGAGTCGGAGACACTACCTATGTACAAAGACAAGCCGTATGCTTATGCGCCGTCAATGCGACTTCGGCCTTGGTGGCGGCGCAAGAAGGTGCTAGGGGCGATAACGGCAGCGGTGGTGTTTTTGCTATATATCACGGGCTTCTTCTCAGGCCATCCCGAGGCCAAGACTTCTGGCTCGGCATTCTCTTGGTTGCGCCTATCTCAGGACAGAGACCACGTTGATTGGGATGAGCGGCGGCAGAGCGTGGTAGAAGCCTTTGAAGTGAGCTGGGACGCCTATGAACGCTATGCGTGGGGTATGTGATATTGATGGCTCGACATCTACCATGGGAGTGTTCCTGTCTTTTTGCTAATTACTTTGTGTGGCGTCAGGCAAGGATGAGTTTCACCCGGTTTCGAAGACTGGCAGGAATATGGCTGCAAAGGGTCTTGGATGGATCATCATAGACTCTCTGGACACCATGATGCTGATGAACTTGACATCACGCCTGCAACATGCACGAGAATGGCTTTCTACATCATTAACCTGGGAACAAGACCAAGACGTCAACACTTTCGAGACCACCATCCGCATGCTAGGTGGGCTGCTCTCTGCCCATTATCTATCTACCGAATTCCCTACCCTTGCGCCCCTGGCTGAGGATGACGAAGGAGCACCCGGAGAAGATTTATATCTCGAGAAAGCCAGAGATCTGGCCGATAGACTGCTTTCTGCCTTTGAATCCGACTCTGGTATTCCATATGCTAGCGTCAACTTGGCAGAGTACAAGGGCCTCCCATCTCATGCCGACAATGGAGCGTCTTCCACGGCTGAGGCGACGACTCTTCAGCTAGAGTTCAAGTATCTGGCCAAGCTTACTGGCGAAAAGAACTTCTGGGACAAGGTTGAAAAGGTGATGGAAGTTGTCGATGATAATCACCCGGAAGACGGCCTTGTTCCCATCTACATTTACGCGACGTCGGGTGAGTTCCGAGGCGAGAATATTCGACTGGGAAGCAGGGGTGACTCTTATTATGAGTACCTCATCAAGCAATATCTTCAGACGAACAAGCAAGAGCCCATCTACGAAGAGATGTGGGATGAGGCTCTTGCGGGCGTGCGAAAACACCTGGTGACATACACGGAGCCCTCCGGTTTCACCATCATCGCTGAGCGCCCAGACGGCTTGGAGTATCCAATGTCGCCAAAGATGGATCACTTGGTTTGCTTCATGCCAGGCACCATTGCCCTGGCCGCCACCGGTGGCCTCACCGAGGCTGAGGCGCGGAAACTGCCCACCTGGTCCAAGAAGAAGGACAACGACATGCAACTGGCAAGGGAGCTCATGCACACCTGCTGGGGCATGTACAAATACATGAAGACGGGCCTGGCGGCTGAAATCACCTACTTTAACATTCCAAACCCACCGCCGGAGGAATCAGCACCGCATCAAGCGCCAACCGAGTTTGACGAGGATCCTCATGCCAAGTGGCGCAAGGACTTTATTGTCCACTCTAATGATGTGCACAACCTGCAGCGCCCGGAGACGGTCGAGAGTCTGTTCTACATGTGGAGGATAACGGGCGATGTCAAGTACCGCGAATGGGGCTGGGACATGTTCAAGTCATTTGCCAACTATACTGCGGTGGAAGATCAAGGGGGCTTCACGAGTCTGCTCGATGCCAACACCATTCCCCCAACGGTTAAGGACAACATGGAAAGTTTCTGGCTGGTAAGTCGCGTATCTTCTCATCTTTTGTACTCTCCTTTTCTCGTCATGAGTTTATGGTTGCTAACGCGTGCATGCTCTTTGATCAGGCTGAGACACTCAAGTATATGTACCTCCTCTTCTCGCCAAACGACTTGTTGCCGCTGGACAAGATTGTGCTGAACACGGAGGCTCATCCGTTCCCTAGATTTGACATGGGACCGCTGTTCTCCACTGGGTGGAAGAGAAAGCCTCGGGATGCGAGCAGCAAGACGACCAAGACCAAGACGACTGAGCAAAGAGTTGGATGAATTTGAATGAAGCGGGAGTGGCATCAAGGGTATTGAGCTTTCCTACTGCATATTTGGCGTTGCAGCATCGGGTTCATGTTGGTACGGATTCTAGCTTATATAGACGCGATCTCTATAACCTTCCTCGGTATATAAAGCACGACATGTATATGACGTTGATTTAGTATGCTTTGCTTACATGCATTACTCGCCCCAACATGTTGATGACAGCGTCAAGGTAGTAGTATAATCCTGCCAGGGCGATTACAGCAGTCATTTGTACTCGTACTGTACTATCAATGCCTGGACCCTGGAGGATCACAGCAAACGAGGCGGGGGAGCGTTCCTTGCCACGTGGAGGATGCTGACGGCAGGCGTTCTAGGGGTCATGGATCAAGGCCTGTAAGCCCAGACCGTTGGTGGCTTTTGGTCCGTTGAATGATTGCATCAGGCGTTATCGCTTGAGTTTAGCGAGGAGGCGTTTGGATTCTGGGGCGAGTTTTTGAGGCGAGTCAGTGGGGGCTGCTTTCCATTGCTGCTAGTAATCGCAACTAGGACATGACAGTGATGATGATGGTAGATAGTACCTAAAGTACCTATATGTAGATATTTGTTCAAGTTATTGAATACAAGACAGTACCTCTGAATGAAGCCATGTCGACAATCCATACGATGCCATTGTACGTTTTATTGGCATTGACGGCTAAATGATTGCCAGCAACAGCGTGCTGATGAAGCCATTGGCGGCCCCCTTATCGGCGTCTCCACCCCACCTGATTCCAGCGCTCCCCCCGGTTTCGACCCTGGCAGGCAGATGCAACGCCATGCTTCCCCGTTTGCCTGGAGTCACATCGCATCGTGCACGAGCATCAGCTGTTGGCGCTACCAGAAGTCTCTTTTTGCCGTGCATGGACCATGGATGATGGCATTGGGTGGGTGATACGTGATACAGGGCTTCACACAGGCATAGTGCACTGTAGATAGCAGCATGGGAGATGATACGGTAGCGCAGTGCTCGTAACCGGGACTATTTGCAGCAAGTAGTCTACAGTATAGCATTCATTCATTCGCGGTGCCCCCCATCCTTGCAAGCCTCGACTTCGTACGGCGACCGAGGCAGCCAGCGTCGTATCCCGCTGGTTGGGAAGCCCGATTAGCATCAGATCTGCCTGTTGTCCATGCATCCGTCGAGCAGAGGCCGATGCCATGCAGCAGCAGCACAGCAGCTTCAGCCCTACTTTTTGTCGTACTCGTATGGACTTGAAGCAGTACGGAGTACATCTGACGTGTTAGTAGAGCCATTGGCAGGATTATCGGCGCCACGGCCAACGCGGATTTGGTCTCCATCTCTCACCATGTATAGTCCTCGCTCTGGGCCCGTCTACGGTCCACGGCTTGCAGAGTCCTTGTCTCGTCTGCGCCACCCTTGTCCGACAAGATAAAAAAGGCACCACCGTTGAATCCTCTAGCCATTTCCATCAAATGGTTTTATCCACCTGTTGCTCTGTTGCTGCTGCTAGTATTGCCGTCCAGTCCCATTATTACTGTACAGTATTACTAGGTAGGTCGTCGTTCTATTAATTCGAAGCCCCCCAGCGTCAAACTCTCTCTTTTCTTTCTTGTCACTGCTACGCCACCACGCCTTTTGGCCGGGATCTGGAACAACCTTGCCGCTCCATTGGTGACGACAATCCATGCGTGTGACGCTGCCCATGCAGACTCACGCACTCGACTCTTGAGCTTCTGCATCTGCATGTGCATGGCAGGGCAATCCGACACCCTGGCTCTGCGAGTCGGTATATCGAGCCGAGGCGACGACACCCCGAATTAACTCGAGACACACGCCGTTTCCTCCCGCCTCCTCCTCGATCCCGCAACATACCTAGCAAACGACGACGACCGACGACGACCAACGACAACTACTGCTGCTGCTTACTCTAATTACAACACAAAGAGAAACAAACGCTTTGATCGCATCGTCGCCCTCGCCGCAGTCTTATCGATTGCCGGCGACCCGCTCCTCTCCCCTTGCGCGCAAAAGGGCAGAATGGCGCCGCCGCGAGACATTGAGCTCAACCCGTTTGGCAACTACAAAATCAAGGAGGAGTCGCTGACTCACGGAAGCTCCTACAGCATGCGGGAGCCAAACTACGAGGATGATGTCAAGGAGCCGCGCATGGACCGCTTCATCAACAGCTTCAAGCGCGACCCAAACTCAAAGTTCTTCCCCAGCAGAGACCTCGACGACATTGGCCCTCTCGAGAGCGTCAGGAGACACAACAATGGCTCGCCCTTTTACGACCTGCGCCGCGCTGCGCTGGCGACGGCGCATTCCAACGGACTGTCGAGGAAGCTCAAGGGCCGCCACTTGCAGATGATAGCTATAGGGGGCTCCATAGGTGCGCAAAGCATTCCCTCCATCTCAAGTATATACCACTGAGTAACCTTGCTAATCCGCGTCTAGGTACCGGTTTGTTTGTGGCATCCGGCAAAGCGCTGGCTGCGGGCGGCCCAGCGTCCCTGTTGCTGGCTTTCTCCATTGTCGGCGCAATGCTTTACTGCACATGTCAGGCGCTCGGCGAACTCGCCGTCATCTACCCCCTTGCCGGTTCATTCTCTTCGTGGGCCACTCGTTTCCTTGATCCCTCTTGGGGATTTGCCTTGGGTTGGAAGTAGGTGATCCTCCTATGCTTATGATGCTATCCAAAAGGTGCTAACCATCGCCTTTTCCTAGCTACGCCATGCAGTGGCTGACTATCATGCCCTTGGAGATTATTGCGGCATCCCTAACCATTGGATTCTGGGATAGCCATCTCACCAGGGCCATTTTCGTCACTGTATTCCTCGTCACCATCGTCACCATCAACATGTTTGGCGTAAAAGGTTATGGTGAAGCCGAGTTTACGTTTTCCCTGATCAAAATTGTTGCCGTCATCGGCTTCATGTAAGTTGAGCAAAAGCGTGACAGCCCCTCCTATGGTCTATTCTCGCTAATCGGCAATGTCTCAGCCTCCTCGGTATCGTCTTAAACTGCGGCGGGACTCCCACAAGCGGTTACATCGGCGGCAAGTATTGGCACGACCCCGGCGCTTTCAACAACGGCTTCAAGGGCCTCTGCAGCGTCTTCGTTACTGCGGCGTTTGCCTTTACCGGAACCGAACTCGTCGGATTGGCGGCGGCCGAAACAGCAAACCCGAGAAAATCGCTCCCAACAGCCATCAAGCAGGTGTTTTGGCGCATCAGCCTCTTCTACATTGTCGCCCTGACGCTGGTTGGCTTGCTTGTGCCCTACAATGACCCAAAGCTGACTGGCTCCAACAACAACGCGGACGCCCACGCCTCGCCTTTCGTCATTGCCATTACGTCGGCCGGCATCGATGTTCTCCCTTCGGTGATGAACGCCGTTATCCTCGTCGCCGTCCTGTCTGTCGGCAACTCAGCCGTCTTCGGTTCCTCGCGAACCCTCGCCGCCCTCGCCAATCTCGGTCAGGCCCCTGAGATCCTCGGCTACGTCGACCAGCGGGGACGACCCCTCGTTGCCATCCTGGTGGCCGCAGCTTTCGGCCTACTGGCCTACCTCGCCGATCTCAAGCAGCAGAATTCGGTCCTCGACTGGCTCCTGGCCATTTCAGGCCTTTCGTCCATCTTCACTTGGGCTTCCATCTGCCTCTGTCACATCCGCTTCCGACGCACCTGGCATGCCCGTGGCCACCATCCTAGCGACCTCCCCTTCCAGTCCCAGGTCGGCGTCGTGGGCTCCTACATTGGCCTCGGCCTCAACATCGGCGTCCTGGCAGCCCAGTTCTGGGTCGGCGCCTTCCCCATCCGCACAAATAATCAGCCTAACACGCCAGCGTCGCAGGCTGAAAACTTCTTTTTGAAGTGGATGGGCGCACCAATCGTCCTCATCTTCTTCTTGGGCCATAAAATGTACTACCGCACGAGCTACGTGCGCATCAAGGACATGGACATTGATACCGGAAGAAGAGACTTCAATGTCCCCATCCTCGTGCAGCAGGAAAAGGAGGAGTATGAGACTTGGCCGAAGTGGAAGAGAGTCTACAAGTTTTTGTGCTAATATTTTTTTTCTTCTTCTTTCTTTTGCCTCTTTTCTCGCACAATATATACCTACCTATCTGAACCTGAATATGCGGGGACTTGTTTATTCTTGTTCGAGGTTTTCAAAGTTATCTAGCAAGGCGTTTTGGAATTTGTATTAGAAAACCGAAAATATCTTGGTTATACTTTTGAGTATCTATTTGTATCAGATATATTCCGTCAATATTACGATTGTAATCAATACTTAATCCATGCAAATGCCGGCCCGTGACCGAACTACATCAACATTATTATATAGGTGGCTATTAGTAGCGGCTGTCGCAGTATCTTCCTTTATGTAAATATAAGGCCCGGGTTCTGTAAAACCCCAATCGTATGCTCTATCTGACTCTGAGCTTTCTGACATGGAGCAGTCGTGTAGGGCTGAATCAATTTCACAGCATTTTTAAGCCCTCCCCATGGCTTCTGCTTACCCTTCCCCTCTTTCCATTACCAGCCTTTACTTTTTTTCACAGCATCTTTTGCCCTCCTGGGATCTTTGTTCCCTTCTCTCTATTGGTTGTGTATTTTCTTTAAGCTTTCGCCTTCGTCCTCTTTCATTGGCTGCACTTTTATACAACAGCACAAGCCGCTTCATAACAGTGAATCCAGTAAATTTCTTTTAGGATAATATCGCGTTGATAGAATTCTTCAAAATTCTACAAAGACAATCTCGTATATACTTTAATCTGACAATTCAAATCACAAAGTACAATAGCCAGGGCCATCGAAACAGGCGCATACATGGAATGAAACAGCTCAACGAAAGAACAAAAGGGCCCTGACGATAGTCATCACGTATGAAAAAGAAGAAGAAGACAGAGAAACGTCTTAAAGACATGAAATAAGATATATAATATGTAAAAAAGGACTCATGATTCATAAGCTGCGTCCTGCAGGGCATTAAATCATACATACTAGCGCCCATGGGTATCGCAAACTCTTTTGTTTCTCTTTCTCCCACCACACACACACTCCCCCACTCTAACCACTTACAAAAGAAGAATATTCTTGTCGCAGAATCAGAAAAAAGATATGCGAGAATTTACAAGCGGTCCCAGAAGCTGCTCTTCTGCGTGCCGTGGGTCGCTTTCCGAGAAATGAGCTGCTTGTGCGGCTCGGCCGCGTCGTCGCCTCCATACAAAAAGTCTCTCTGGGCACCCTTCTTGCCTCCCATGCCGTCGCCTGCAATGTGAATCTTGGAATCGGGCTGAGGCGCCTTGCCGGGTAGGGCTCTGTTTTCCTTCTGTGCGGCGGGTTGTTCGTCCGAAATAGACCAGCTCGCGTTCATCGTGTTGACGACCTTTTGGAGGCTCTCGGAAACGGCGTGGCGCTCCGCACCGCGAACGGGAGGCTCGTCCGTCATGGTGAAGTGAGGATCAAAGTCCTTGCCGCGGTCCTTGCTGACATTGGTGATGTTGCCCAGGGCACGGTTGGAAGGATCCTCTGCCTCACGGTCAAAGACGTTGTTCTTGAGGCCCTCGCTGCGGATTGCGCCTCTCGTCTTAGTGGCGATGCGTCGCTCCTCGGGAGGAAGTTCTCCGTCGTCCTGCAGCTCGAAATGGGTCTCAGCATCGCGTCGTGCCTTTCCAACCGGGGCCTTGACAGGCTCCGGTGCCTCCCCTGCATCCCAGTTGCGCGCTTCGGGGTTAGTTCCTTGTCCTCGGCCGGCCTTTGCTTTGACAGGGGTGGTGAAGTCGTCAAAAGACCAAGTGCTGTCATGCTTAGACTTGGGTCTCGGGGCTTTAGCGGTGGGCTTTGCCGAGCTGGGGCGGGATTCTTCGCTCTCTTCAGAACCATCGGCCAAGGCGAAGTGCTGGTATTTCGCCGGGTGAGCGCGGATGTATCTCTCAGGCTTCTCGTCGTCGTCAGATTCATCCTCGGGGTGCTGCTGTCCCTCAAAAATGCGAATGGGCTGGACATTCTTGCCGGCATTCATCTTGTGGGGCGACATTGAGCGCCTCTGGTGGTCATCCCAGTGCTGGGGTTCGTCGGTCAAAATGTCGGTAAAGGCACGCTGCTTGGGCTTTGCGCCAGCATAGGGAGAGACAATGCCTGCAGGCTCGGTATTCTCAACATCTTCTCTGGAACCAAAGAGATGCAGAGAAGCATGGGGATCGCGCATAATGTTGGTCGAGCTGTTGCGGTTCTTGGTGTGCCCATTGCTGCTCTGGGCCTGAGTTTGAGCAGGGACAAAGCCGGACGACTTGACGCAAGACTGAATCAAGCTGACCTGTTCCTTGCCGTCTTTGATGGGCCAGTTGCGTCCACTTTTGCCGATGATCTCCAGCTGCTTGAGAAGCGAACCTTGGTCCCACTGCAGGCGGATTTGTGCAATTTTGCCATCTTCATCGAACGACACGATATGCATCTGTTGATTGCGCCAAGAGCAATTGAATTAGCCACGCGACGCAGACTTTGATGTCGGTACCGGGGGAGAGTAGCTAGGCAAAGCGCGACAATGGATATGTTGGATTTGGATACTCACAATGGGCAGAAAAGCCTCGTGATCGGCGATAAAGTTGTCGTCGAGGCCGGGCAGGTACGCCCCGCCACTGGTGACGAACTCGATACAAGTATCGACCTCGACAGCGATGACATTCTGGCCGTCGATGAGGTTGAGGACCTCTTCCTTCTTCTTCTTGACCTGCTTTTGTAGGGTGTTGAGGTGCTTGATGATCTCGGTGGCGCCGACAAAGGACGTGAGCGTCGTCACATAGTGCAGAGAGGCCTTGTCAGCCAGCAGCGACGAGCTGGGCGAGGCCAGGAACTGCTTGTAAGTGGCAGCCATTGGCGCGACGAGAGAGGGAGTCCAGAGAAAAGAGAAAAAGAGGTGAGAGTGTCAAGATGTGATGCGCTCGAGGCAACGATGGTTTGCGCTGGTGGGCTGTGATATGATGCGGTGTCCAGATCCCTCGCGACAAGCACGCTGAGGATGGGAGGGCACTGGAGATGCAAACGAGCGAAGCAGTTGAGATGAGCCGTCAAGGAAAGAAACGAAGCTCTCTTCAGACGGGACAGGTAGGGTACAAGTACGAGTTGAATCTGCACTGCAGACCGGAGGGAACAGATCAAAACAAGCTACCGCTAACTCGGCGGGGGTTGATGTGGCTTGTCTCGATTGAGGAGGACACAATGCGGTTTGGGGTTGAACCAGTGAGGCGCGCCCCAGTCTGCAGCGCTGTTGCTTCTAGGCTTCTAGGGTGAGGCCCCTGTAGAAACGGCTGTAGCAAGTAAATGAAATGAAAGGACGGATGGCGACCGCGATTCTGCGGCAACAAGGGGCCCTCCCAAAGCGTTATCCAGGCCCGGCTTGGGGCTGTTACTCGTACAGTACTTTGGTCTGCGTGGGTGCATGCAGTGGAGTCTTGGTCTACGAGTACTTGTCAATTGATATGGACCCTCGCATATTGAGATGCAAGAATGTCTCTTTACTGTTCTACTGATGCTGGTTGCGGTCTGATACTGCAAGGTACATACATTAGTATCATGGAGATGCTGCTGGCTTGTCCATCTCACTTGTAACTTTGACCGGAGGCGGCTACCTGTACTTCTGGGTACTTTTTCTCTCTGTTTGTACTATCCATATTATTTGTTCTAGGTTCTTTCTGGTCCCGTCTCAACCACTGCTTGAGCCAACGGCGACACGCACAAGGTACTTGCTGCCATAACTCGCAACAAACAACCTGAAGTGCTGCACGGTACCCATGAGGAGGGCTCACGCAGGTACGTAAGTCTACCTGACTCTGCCCGCCGTCTCATTGGTGAATCTGCCGGCGAACCGTGGTCACGGCGCGACTGACGCGCAGCAAAGCGAGGGGCAAAGCGCGGGTTGAATGGAGGGGCAGGTCCCATGCAGGTACCTCGCAATACTTGGACGGGGACTAGCACGTGTGAGGGCGCATTGATCTCACCAGCTCCTTGAATGTGCTCACCACCTCACCTTGGCTGTAAGTGCTGCAATATCAAACAATGGTTGAAATGAATCTTGCCATTGGCGACATCACAGGACCAGCAAGCGGCCTTTCGCTTCGACATCTCCAAGCCAAATCTCCATTCGTATTGCCTCTAACCGCGCATCCGTCACTGAGATGCGAGCCCCATGGGAACAACTGCAATAGACGAGGTTGGCACGGAGCTCCAAGAGGGCCTGAGCTTTAGTACTATGTAGGCTACTGTACGGGTTCGGCAGCTAAAGTTGCTTTCACGACCGACCTTGATCATCATGGTTTGTTTGCTACTAATCTACTAGGTGCTTGGTATGGATGAAGAACCAACTCGGAGTGCTGCTCGTAGGCCATGATCGGTACCTTAGTAGCCACCAGTGTGAGATTCAAGCGCTGTACGAGTACACATGCGTGCTCCTCTCCTGTCATATAATACATACAAACAAACATGAGCGCAGCAGTCCATCTCGATTCCTTTGTACTCCATAATCCCAACTATACCGGACGGAGGACATCAACGCGACAATCACGGTCAAGGTCGGCTCACGATAGGTGCGAAATGCCCATGCCCAGTAATACGGAATATGCGGACCCCTGGCGATGGATCTTCGCTCCACCCGTGTTTCACCTTATCTGCAGCGCCCAAGAAACGCGTCTTGCTGGCTGGCACATTCTAAGCACTACAGGTCAGGACGCATGAATGGATGGAACAGAAAGCAGTTTAGGCTGCATCAATGGGCTGTATCATCGACAATCCGGTGTTGTTGTGGTGGTGGTGGATGTGGCTGCAACGCAAACTCCATGTACTGTAGGTACCTCCTACTACATACGGCCTGTTAATTTGAGTGCCGAACTCCCACTGCCTTTCTCACCACTTCGGAGTTTCGCACCCTGTCTTTGGTGTACAGACCAAGCACAACGCAATCAAAAACTTGTCCCATGCCGCAAACGGCCATGAGAACAAGGGGATCAACCCCCAGCAGACCGTATTTCGCACCAGTACGGAGTACGGAGCGCCTTACGAGAATCAAGACGCGTTTGCATCATATCCGCAAGACGGGTCCCTGCAACTTGGCACTCGGCGCTTGCATCTCTCTTCCATCCATGTACAAACAAGTACGGAGTACATGCCCCATATCGATAGGGCGGCGCCGAGACACCGATGCAGCTGTTGGGTACTACAGATCTCTGTGATTTAGCGCGGGCTGGTTGAATCGCCATGGAGACCAAATTACCTGTACATTGGAGTGTATGGAGTCCTTGTTTTGCGTTTGCATCGCCATGTGAAATGACACATTTAGGCCAGTAAAATAGCCTTTTGTCATTGATAGATTGGATGCTTTTCAGCGCCCGTACACAGGTACAATGCACTTGGCGGTATTTGTTCTCAACACGGCAGGTGTGGCTGAAGCTTGTACAAGCTCCGAGCAAGCCACAGCTCGAGCTTGTAGTGATTGACGTGGCCAGCCGGATGAGGCACTTCGGCATCAGATGTGGCGACTCAGCCCCAGCCAAAAATGCGCAGCGCCACAGCTGGAGCCTACATGTAACCGTTCATCCACAAGCTGACGAATGGTCCAAACGACGTTTCGCAAACAGCCCAAAACACGCATCTCTTGGATCCAGGAGCTTCAAGGAGAGCGCGAGCCTGCTGCATAGCGATTGCCGCGTCATTTCCTCGGCCATTTCCATCGCCGGCTCACACTTTTGGGGCCTAATCAGCGCCATTCGGCCAACCGTTTACACCACGATTAACAAGGCCCCTCCTACAACCACCTCGACAAAGACGTCTAGCTTCATGACATCTCCAAGCAACGCACCGACAATATGATGAGGCTCACAGCCAGGGCCGCGGCGCCGTCATGGCACTTTCTGCTGCTGTCCCTGCTATGGGTTTTGGCGCTCGCAAAGGACGGGCCGAAGCTCTCAGTCACAAAATTCGACCACCCGCCCTTGGGCCTTGCCTACTTCGAAGACAGCGACATTATCGTCTTCCACGATGTCGCTGCAGGCATCATATATCGATCCAGCGATGCCGGTGTCAATTGGGACAAGGTCAAAGCAATTCCCGACGGCGATGCCTTTTTGCTCACTACGCACCCGTACGACTCCAAAGTCGCCTATGCCCTGACGTTGGGCAAGACGCATTATAAGACAGAGGATCAAGGCAAGACCTGGTCCAAATTCGAGACCAAGGCCGTCCCCAGTCGATTTCAGCGCGAGATCTTGGTATTCCACGCAGAAGACCCGAAGCGAGTCATCTTCAACGGCATGGAGTGTGACGGCATCTTTTGCGACGAACAAGCCTCTTATACCATAGACAACTTCAAGTCGGTCGAGCTGCTCCGTGCCTTCACAGCCGGCTGTTGGTGGGCTAAACTATCCCCGGAGTTCACCACCGGCGATAAAGATCTAGATAAGAAGAGAGTGCTCTGCATCATCAAGGATCCTTTTTCCCTCTTTGTGGAAGACCAGCGACTGGTCATCTCTGACGACTTCTTCGCCGTTGTTGACAAGGAGGTGCAAGAATTTGAGCCCAACATGGACACCAACAAGGGAGTGGGCGGCGTGGCGAACGTTGCTGTCGTCAAGAGCTATCTCCTTGTTGCTACCTCGTCCTTCCAGAGTGACGAGATGGCATTGTATGTCTCTGACGACACTCTCAAATGGCACCGCGCCATGTTCCCAACCAGCGACAACCATGACCATTCGCACCAGATCAACCAAGAGGCGTATACTGTTCTAGAAAGTACAAACTACAGTATCCAGATTGACGTCTTGACTTCCTCACCCTCAAATCCCATGGGCGTTCTTTTCACAAGTAACTCCAATGGCACATTTTTCACCGAGAATGTTCCTTACACCAATCGCAACGGCAAAGGACATGTTGACTTCGAGAAAGTCCATGGCATCCAGGGAATATTCATCGTCAATGTGGTAGAGAATGGCGCCGATGTCGACAAGAAGGGCGCCGAAAAACACGTTATTACCCAGATTTCCTTTGATGATGGCAGAACCTTTGAGTCTATTAAGGCCGATGGCGACAGGATCCACCTCCACTCAGTTACCGAACTCGATAACGTCGGGAGGGTCTTCACAAGCCCAGCCCCTGGACTTGTCATGGGCAACGGAAATACGGGCAAGACTCTGGGCAAGTTTGCGGATGCCAACCTGTATGTCTCAGATGATGCCGGCATGACGTGGAAGGAGGCTTTGAAAGGACCTCACAAGTACGAATTTGGTGACCAGGGATCGGTTCTTGTTGCCGTCAAGGATTCCAAAGAGGATGACGTTTCTGAATTTTCGTATTCTCTGGACCATGGTGAGCACTGGGAGTCGGTCGCTTTGCCCAACAAACTCGCCGTCAAACCAGCTATCCTCACAACCACGCAAGATTCGACCAGTCTCAAATTCCTCCTCATCGGCGAGAAGGACAGGGCCTACCATATGATCGTCATTGACTTTGAAGCTCTTAACAAGCGGACTTGCGAGGATAAAGATCTCGAGGACTGGCATGCCCGCGTGGATGATGATGGAAAGCCAACTTGTATCATGGGACACAAACAGACGTACCGCCGCAGAAAGAAGTCGGCCGATTGCTTCATCAAGAGCAACTTCAAGGATCCCGTTGCCACCACTGAGGACTGCGAATGCTCCGATGCTGACTTTGAGTGTGATTACAACTTTAGGAGGGATCCGGATGATAACAAAGTATGCAAACAAGTCGGACCAGTGCCGTCTCCAGACGGTGCCTGCAAAGACAAGTCCGGTAGCTTCAAGGGCTCTTCTGGCTGGCGGCTCATCCCTGGTAACACTTGCAAGCGGACCAAGGGCGAACAGAAAGACGATCCGGTCGAGCGCAAGTGCGAGGATGCCGCCGTTCCAGGACTTCCTCCGGCAACTGGAGATGTGACTCATAAGCAATTCATTTTTGACACCAAGCTTCAAGATTTCCAAAAGATTTACCTTGACAGGAGTGATTCCAGTTCTTCCGACGACGAAACCGTTATTGTCAGACCCGCTGAAGATGAAGGAAACGGCCGATTGAAAATTGAGCAGAAGCTCTGGCTGTCTAGCGACCACGGCAAGAGCTTCAAACGTATCTTGGAGGGCGAGAAAATCCAGGGCATCTATCCCCACCTATACCTCAAGGATCTGGTTTACTTCACTACCGGCAGCGACAAGGTCATTTATTCTCTTGACCGTGGCAAGAGCTTTCACAGCTTCAAAGCACCAACAGACCCTGGTGATAGATTCCCGCTGAGCTTCCATCCGGACAAGAGAGACTGGCTCATCTGGGTTGGTCAGACCTGCGATAAAGTTGGAGGTAAAGAGAGTTGTTTCAACGAGGCATCCATCTCGATTGATCGTGGCGACAACTGGAAGACAATGCTCCGCTTTGCGGAGAGGTGCGAGTTCACCGGTCACTCTGCATACAAATTCCGGTCGCAGAAGCAAGTTGTCTGTCTTGCTAGGGAAGAAGAGAACAATGATGCGCCGTTGACCATCATGACCAGCGACGACTTCTTCCAGGAGGACAAGTCCATCTTCAAGGATTCAGTTACCAATTTCGCAACCATGAACGAATTCATTGTCGTTGCCGGCAGGGACCCAGAAACCGAGGATATGCACGCTCTCGCCAGTTTGGACGGCAAGCACTTTGAGAGAGCTCACTTCCCATACAACTTCCACGAAGGTCACGAGAACGAGTATACGCTACTTGACAGCTCAACCCATGCCATTAACCTGTTCGTTCGTACCGAGAGTGGTGCCGACCGAGAGTATGGCTCAATCATCAAGAGCAATTCCAACGGCACATCATATGTTCTCAGCGCGTCCAACGTCAACTGTAACGAGGAGACGTACGTCGACTTTGAAAAGGTCGCAGGCCTCGAAGGTGTTACTCTGATCAACGTTGTGACAAACACCGAAAAGGGCCAGAAGACAAAGGATCTCCAGACCAAGATCTCTCACAACGACGGCTCCGAATGGGGTTTCTTGGCGCCACCTGCCAAGGATGTGGATGGAAAGGCCTATTCTTGCAGCAGCTCCAAGGGAGATGAGTCGTGTGCCTTGCATCTCCATCACTATACCGAGAGAGATGACAAGCGAAAGACTTTTGCTGCGGCTACTGCCGTTGGTCTCATATTTGGCATTGGCAACGTCGGCTCCAAGCTTGGCGAGATTAAGAACGCGGATACCTTCATGTCAACTGACGGTGGTGTCTCTTGGAAGAATGTCAAGAAGGGCAGCTGGTCATGGCAATATGGAGACCAGGGCTCGATCATCGTCCTGGCGCAAAGGTACACGCGCAACAACCCAGTCAAGACCCGCTACGTCTCGTATTCTACAGACGAAGGCAACACATGGAAGAACTTGGAGTTTGCCGACTCCGACGTGTCACTCCTCGACATTACTACCCTGCGATCTGGCACATCTCGCAACTTTTTGCTTTGGTGCAGATCCGGCCGAGGCAAGCTCTTCTCCGTTAACCTAGACTTCTCCGGTTTGGCCGACAAGCCTTGTGAGCACACCAAAAACAGCGACTCTGATTATTACCTGTGGTCTCCCAAGCACCCCCTGCAGGATGACGATTGTCTCTTTGGACACGTCTCCAAGTACCTACGAAAGAAGACAGATCGGAAGTGCTACAATAAGCAGAATCTCCAGCGAAATTACGAGTACGAAGATTGCGCTTGTAGCCGACGAGACTATGAATGGTAAGGAAAACACATGATTTGTTCATGTTTCATACGAAAGTCATCACATAGCTAACATGTCTGTATTAGTGATTTCAACTTTGAACTAGATAACCATGGACAGTGCCAGCTGGTCAATGGCTTCACCCCCGTCACTGGAAACGAATGGTGTGAAAAGAACCCCAACGCGACGTCGTACTATGAACCGACAGGCTACCGAAGGGTTCCCTTGTCAACTTGTCGCGGCGGCAATGAGCTCGACAAGACGTCAACAGAGCATCCATGCAAGGGCCATGAAGAGGAATTCAAGAAGAAGCACGGCACATCCGGCATCGTCATTTTCTTTGCCGTTGTCATCCCATTTGCTCTGGCCGGCATCATGGGCTGGTACGTCTACCGCAACTGGAACGGCAAGTTTGGACAGATCCGCCTTGGAGAGAACACATCGACCTTCGACAGCGACCAGCCTTGGATCAAGTACCCCATCATCGCCGTGTCCGCCGTCGCCGCAGTGGTGGTCTCCTTGCCCGTCATGGTGTCCAGCTTGGGCCGCTTGGTAGGCAGCTCCCTTGGGCGGTTCGGCCAGAGGAGCGATGGCAGCTGGTTCTCAAGAGGCGCAAGGAGGTTCACGACGCGCGACAGCTTTGCGCGTGGACGGGGAGACTACTCGATTGTGGATGACGAAGGCGAGCTCCTTGGCGAGGAGAGCGACGAGGAAGTGTGAAGGCAAAGGGGATAGAGCGCGAGGGGTAACGGGGTATACGACAAGTGTACGAAATGGGCGGCGTCCGTTGCGGGAACTTTACAAAAAGGATTTTAACCTATGCGGAGGAGAAATGTGTTGGGATTATAGCTGCATGCTGCAATCTCTGTTTTTAATTAGCGAGGTTCCATTGCCATTTTTAGGATATTGTACATGCTATATAAGGGGGAGTTTGCTTCAATGCTTCCTACGAATTCTATGTAAAAATGAGTGGCGTATGAAGCCCATGTATCCTGATGTATGCCGTATGCATAATATCTACACAAAAGTAATGCCTAGCTACCCAACAGAGAGACAGAAGCCTGGATTTTATCCCGTCTATCCATCCACCGCCAAATCACATCGAAGAGGCCTCCCTGATTCTAAATCAAGTGCATCCCAAGCGGCCCAAATACAATTCCCTCTTTATCCAAGACATACATACATACATATATACATTTATAACATACATCCATAAAAGCCCAGTCTCACAATACGATAAAAAGAAAAGAAAAGAAAAGAAATCCCGCATATACACAATCCCGATATTCCAAATGCCCCCCTTCTCTCATCCCTTCAACTGAAGAAAAAAAACCTCCCTTGCATCCCCTCCCCCCCTAAACAACTTGCATCACGACGCCCATCTTCTTACATCCATCCGGCTCAGAGATGTAAATCGCGATCGACCTAGAAAAAAAAAGGGAGAGCATGGGCATTAGCGTAGGGCGCAACATGTACTCGTATGTGATAGATAAGAGAGCGCCAAAGTGCATATGGGCTTCACGCGTGTGTTGCTCGTGTCGCCGTCTCCCTTGCATTGAGCTAGTTCTAGTTCATGTAAATCTCAGAAACGAAACAAGACAGACAGTAGTAAGTGAACTAAACTCTGGACTAAAAAAGAGCATGGGGGGGAGCCATGTATGAGGGAGCAAAAGTCACTTCTACTGCAAGGAGAGAGAGAGAGAGAGAGAGAGAGAGAGAGAGTGTGTGTGTGTGTGTGTGTGAGAGAGAGAGAGAGAGAGAGAAGACAATCAATGTTCGACAACAGCATCAATAATAAGGACACTATATTATATCGGCCCTCACCAAGGGCTTCTCATAACTTTTCAATTCCATCCCATCGCTCGTCAATAACAAGATCTTGGCTCTCGACAAATTGCTTTCCGTCCAAGTAATTCAACCAATCCAATATTCTTAATCCTAAAACGCCAGCCAGAAATAGAACGCTTCTTGTTATGCTAGATAAAATAAAATGAGTGTGTTCGTGACTTTTTTGCAGATTACAGCCAACCAACATTTGGCTCACCCCCGTTATATGTTCTCATACTAAACGACAAAGAGACTGACAAAACTTGTAAGAGAACATATTGTAAATGAAAGACAAACAAAAAAGTCAGGGGTATATGTGATGCATGCTGTATGCTATAATGAGAGATATGGCTTTGGAGGAAATGCAAGTTGTAATGAGGGAATGGGCGAATCAAGATATCCTTGCTTGTCGAATACTTTCTTCGCCCGTAATTGAATAGCTGAGTTAGCGTAGCAAATCCAACGCAGCCAACGAATCGGTGGTAAACCCCCCTCATGACCGGCGGACTCTATTCCAGAAGCGTTTTACCACATTGCCATCATTATTAGCAGCTTCTTGGTCCATAATGGCGAATTGCTTCTCGATATCGTCTTTGGGGTTGGCAGCTCGAGAATATGATCTTGGCTGAGCAGATCCGTCATGCGCGTGCCCCTTAGATGATGGTGGTTTTTGCCAGCCATACATCTGCTCTTCGTCGGCTCGAAGATCAGGTCGGGTCAGTGTCATCCGTAATGTCATCTCGCGGGACGACGCAGGCGCCTGGGCGTAGTCCACCTTGGAAGGCCAGACTCCCTCATGAGGTAGTCGTGGAGAAAGCTCAACAGGTGGCTGATCCAAGCTCTCCGGTGTTCTCGGAGAGACTGTTTCGACGGGTGATGTGGGATCACTGATGAGAGACTCTGCATCATCACCAGCTGAGTTATGCATCTTGTCATAAAACTCTTGGCGTGACCACGAACGACCGTGAGGGGTATCCTTCCCCTGCATGTCGTTGAGAGATGGAAACCCAAATTCAACAGCCTCATCAAACTTGTGCGGGGAAGCAAGGTACACACGGAGCTTCATGCGAGCTTCGGGATCCTGATAGTGAGATGGAGCTGAATCAATCATGCTCGAGTCATCAGGCATTTGGGCCTTATTTGGTGACATTAGAGACAGAGCTCTAGATCTCCGACGGAAGTGGCCAGAGGGGCTTGGTAGAGAAGGTACTACAAATTGCTCGCTCAATGCGGGAGAGGCCATGGTTCCCTTGGTTGCTGGACGGCTTAATTGGGAAGACGGCCGGCCAAAAGAAAGTTTTGAGATAGAAAGGTGGCGAGGAAAAGCCATTCGCTTCTTCTTCCCTTGTTTGGGGCTCGACTGGTAGTCATCCAAACGAAGATCCAACTCATCACTCTCATCAAGCCATCGAAAGCTCTCCATGATTGAATCTGGTGTAGACTCGACGGCAAGAGCCCTTGTGAATTCGTTGTTGGGTGAGCTACTCATGGCGGGATGGAACTCGTGATAGAAGGGTTCGTCCAGATGGCTGCTAACTCTGGGAAATTGTGATTGTCGTTTATTTATCTTGACAAAGGCCTCGTCGGTAGCATCCAGTATGATGCTCTTATGGTGTGAATTGGATGTATTCGATCGTCTCTCTCCGTTGTCTGTAGGTCGTCCGTGAAGCGTATCTGCCTGATTCGGGTATAGTCGAACGGAACTCGATCGAACGCGCGATTGCTGATGGGATCCAGAGATGAAGGGGTCGGAAGCAAGTTCAGACTTGGATCCCGGCTCGCAGATATCTTCCTCGCTTGCAAAAGTCGATATGGAATGGCCGCAGGAGTGATCGGAATGTCCAGCACAACAGGTCTGGGCAAAGCGTAGCCGCTCTAGGGTCGAAAAATACTGGAGCAAAAAAGATAGACGTCAGAATGCTATCGCCCAAGAATAAACCAAGATAAAATAAAACCAAAGGCAACGACAAAAGGGGCGGCCCAAGCAAGTATGTATATAACAGAAATGCTATGGGTGTTATTGAGAAGCTAGTGAGGCGACTACCTAAAAGGCGTATCCGTAGTCGGGTGAAATCAGAGCTGTCCTAGCTCGAATGAGGATGGCATGTCTCAACTTGGGAACGAAGAACCATGGTGGTGGGGAAGCTTGAAATCCAATACGGCCAAAGTAGTGATGCTAGTACAAGTAGCAATACTAGTTGGCTTGGGTGCACTCGCACCTTGATCAGGTGTTGGGGAGGAAAGGGGGTGCTGTACTCGTATGGGTAAATCTGCTTTCGCCCTGCAGACAGACTCCATGCCAGGTACGGAGCACACACACGGCGTTGGATCAAAACACACTGCGGTATCTTTGCTCTCGCCAGGTTCTAACAGCCCAAGACTCCCTCTTCCGGCCCAGTACACGCTGGTTTCATCGTGAACTGGCATTGGTGTGCAGGTGATGATGCCAATATCACAATGGAGCCAAGCGTGACGGTTTTGAGAGGAGCTCACCTGAGCTAAACTGGCAAACGACGACTGATCAAGCCAGCTGCTAGACATGGCTGAAAGCATAATTGAGCGCACCGGAGACGGCTAACAGGCGCCATGGAACCCAATTTGTTGCTCGCGCGGGGCGACACGACACTAGCTGTGCTGGGATGCCAGGGACGGATTCAGCCGTTCCGGCGCCAATGGCTTGTCACCGGAATTAGTGAGTGCAAGACGAATCCGCATTGCATTGCATTGCATATGCATTGCATCGCGTCGTCTAGGCTAAAGCACACGACAGTGAAGGGAACAAGAAGGTGACGGAGAGCGAGGTATCGGGAAGGAGGACGAGAAGACTGCTGCTTGGTCCCAGCCAGCATCCTTTCTGCCAATCCATGCTCTTTTTCGCTTGGTGAATCCCTTGAGACGCAAGACAGAGCTATTCCGACACTCGTCGAGCTTTCCGTCGACCAGGAAACCGTATGTGTGATACAGCCAGTCGACTAGATTGCAATTGCCAGGTCCATCATCCAAGTCAGACAAAGCATGAAACCAGCCACTATTGTTAGGTACTGTACTCTGAAGGCCAGATCCAATCAACACCTTGTGCCGTTGGCCCTGTCTCTCCCTCTCATTTTGCCTTGCACTAGCTTTTTTTGTGCATTCATCTGCGACACAAACTAGCGAGCACAAGAGCCTCTTGAAACCACATGTGCAAACACATGCCTGTGTTGAATGCAGGGCAAAGCCAACGTCGAAAAAAAGAAAATCGGTGTACGAGAACAGCTCCAGGGCTATTTTCCACCGCCCGATGGGTGAATCAAAAGCGACAACAACAGCACGAATGCAAGAGAGAACAGCCACTTACTTTTCTTCGAACTGTGGGCGGTAGTGCTTCGAATTCCTCGCTCGTCAAGCTCGTGGACGACGGTAAACTGCTGTGGCTTTCGGACTGAGGCTGCTGCGACGAACTGTCAGGTCGTGGCAGCTTTTTGGAAGACGAAGGGCTTCGGCTGCGGTCCCTCTGGTGACTCCAGTCTCGCATATGGCTACGGGAAGACACGGGTCGTTGCGAGTCTGGTAGGTGCAGCATCTGCTGTCGCGGATCAATATAGTGGCTCTGGCGGCCTCGATGTCGATATGTCTGAAAACTTGGGTGGCAAGAGGTTATCGTATCCTCATCTTCATCTTCGTCCCGCTGCCCCTGCATAGGCTGCAAGAACTGAGGGGGAAGCTGCTCCTGCCGTGACCGACGCTGGGTAGAAGCTCTCCTTAGACTCATGCCACGTTTCAAAGATTTGGCAGTGTCTGGAAAGGTTATAGATTGAGTGCCAGCAGGCGCCATTGCTGATATGGGAGCCATGACTGCGAGCTTTTGGGAGCCAGGAGCTTAACCAAGTTCCGGCGAGAGAGGGCAAGACGAGAGAGAAGAGCTTCCGTGCTAAGTAATGAAGACACAAGAATTGAGTCAGTGCACGTATGCCTTTACTGTAAGCTTTTGAGATTGGAGATGGAAAATGAGAATTGTCGGAAGCTGCGTGAAGGAGGAGGAAAGAAAGATAGTCGGTTTCCTCGCTGGTTAGAGTGGCATCGCAAGTACTCGTATTAGCATCACCGCACAGAGCGCAAGTATCGACCGTCTAGCCATATCCATGAGCGCCTCCGCGGCCCACGTTGTGTTCCTGGCGTCGGCTGCAACATCCCTGCCGGCCAAGATAGAGAGCTTTGGCCAGCTGGCAGCTCGAGCCATAACCAGCACCAGGGTTCCTCGTTGGAAAAGCCGCTGGCTCCAGAGGGTACGAGCAGCCGTCACATCTGGGGCAGGAACTGCCAGAGCCAGAAACGGCTGGGCGACAGGGGCCAGTGATTTGCAGTGGAGAGGCCGCGAGATTGTGCAGGCTGGGGTTGCGCAATTGTGTGAGTGAAGTGCGGATGGGAGGATGGGATTGGTGGCAGATGGCGGGGGCGGTCAGTGCTAGCAGCAGCGCCTATGTAGAGTGCCCTCTGTATCACGCACCAATGATGGACTCGCCGTCTGGATACACGCTCTGGCTGGCAGTGTGATGGCGCCCATTATCATGCGCCCGCGGAAGTAATGGGGGAGTCACTTGTCACATTCTTTCACCTGACTTGGAGGAGGATGCTGAGGTGCTGTTTCATGCAGCCGAGTGTCGACGCAGTTTGAAGCTCCAGACCCCGGAGAAGGGATTGACAGGAAAGGAACAGCATCACAACCACACTCACCACCAGTGTCGCCATGCGAGTATTACTCTAATCTCTAATCACCACACAAGCACTGACTTGCAGGAGGGAGGCGCCATAGGACGACAAATCGGGTAATCAGAATGCTGGCAAGCGCCAGGGCTCGTGGGCGGCGCCGTGTCCGCTTCAGACCTAGTCCTCCGCACCATCCATGGTATCGCGAGGCTACCGCAAGCCAGAAGCGTGCTTATTTTGGGAGCTCAGGGACCTGGCGGGGGCAGCATGGGAACGTACGAGCAAGCGAAAGTCGTTTGTCGCCAGCCCCTGCAACTTCTTTCTCTCTTTTCGTCAGTCTCCAGGAACCGCCGTTCTATCGACGAAACCCGCTCGGCCTAGACGAGGCTACAACCGCCGCTAGCACGCAGCCCAGCAATCCTTGGTGCACACACGATATCAGGACGGAAATTGACTAGAGATTTAGCCAGTGGCTGAGATGGGCCCCCTTGCCCCTGGCAATGAGCGGGAAGTTGCTGTCAAAATGGTCACAACTACGAGAGGGAATGCTGTGCGACGACACCTTGATATGGCATGATATGATATGCATCCCTTGCGCATCATGGAATTGGATATGGTGAAATTATGCGTTTGCTACTGATCCCTATCACTGCAGATTGTACATTGCAAAATTGCGGATATTTCGCCTCATGGATGATGGAGTGCCATTGTTATTACGTGCTCGCGCGCAACATACCAACAAGTATGAATTGACGTGCGATATGGTTTGCAACGGCTCCTCCAATCCAACTACGCTTCACCATTATACCTTGCCTTTCCCTCCTCGTCCAGATGCTGCCGATCAGTGCCTCTCTCATCATCGCCATGCACGGTGCACCGCACACACCAGTTGCTTCTCTTACCTGAAAGCTCAGCCCATCAGAAGGCCCTGGTTCGGCATTGATGTGGGGGATTAAGCAGTGTACAGTTCGAGCATTGTAGAACATGGGCAAGCATTTCGTACCTGCATGGCAATGCTTAAGACGCGCTGGATTTGAACTGGCCCATCGTCGTCCTCTTTCATTTACTTGCCTAGCTCTGGGCGGTCTACGTGAATATTCACCATCATAGCGTCTATTCAACCCCCGTCCTCTTTGCTACACTGACAGCCATATTCGCAATGCAGTTTCTCCTTTGCTCTTAAAAGAAGAAGAAGGAGGAGGAGAAGGAGAAGAAGAACAAGGGACAGCACTAAAAAGGTGCAGTGGGTTGAGTGCCGGGGTCGTCTCATTTGCTATATTTGTGCTACGAGCACTAGCACACACCACCATCGGTTGCGCCAAATTCGTGCCATGACGAAGCAACCGCGTTAAAAAGACGATCACAATTACAGAGTACGGACTACGGAAGACATCGGTAGCACGTCAATCCAGACTCGTCGATCTATCGGGGATTGGGAGCATGGAACACTCCTTAGGCCTTCCAGAAGTTTATCCCAAGGTCCCTGATTGTCAGATCAGCAGTCGATCAACGGCAACTCTTGTCCTCTATAGTACCGCACTGACGACATCTCATACGTGTGAGACACTACTATTGCCCATATTATCCTCTTGACATGTGCATTAGACCCTTCTCTCCCGTTTCCTTTCCCTTTATCGCTCCGGTACTCCGTATACTAGGGCGATATTATACTCGGTTATAATGGCTTCTCGGCACGTCTATGGAGACCCCGCCCAGGGAGTCTAATGAGGTGCCGCAACTCGACTCGACGCCGGTTACGAACTCCAAGTCGGCGGCATTCATCGTCTATTTAGCGTCTGCGGTCCACTTGGTGGGATACGTGCATGTATGGATCGACTAACAGGGCATTCGGAACGATTTGTCTCTGCATCATGAACACGTGCTTCGGGGAGTGTTGCGTATATTCATTTCCCGCGACACCCCTCAAATAGAAAGTCTCTCATTAAGACGACCCATACGGAGCAGAACTGTCTATCTATAGACAAGACTACATCTAGCTTCGGGGCTCTCGCGAGGCTAGCCTTCGCGTCTTTCGGTACTAACAGTAAATTTCGCGTTTATGTATCGTATATAACCTAGGTAATATTTATGAGAAGCTGATAAGAAAAGGGGTGTGGTTCTCGAAGACCTAAGCTGAGGAATTGCAGTAATCGTCTAAAACACGATAGATGCGTCACAATTCGAATAACGTGAGAGAATTTAAAATATGCAACTAAAATACGATGGGAAACCAGTGAGAATTATAGATAGCTCCTACATAAATGAAATAAACATGAACGAAATTTTTCCTACCGTTGTAAAGTCTTTCAAAATTGCAGAAGCCAAGATATTTCCCATACTAAGCGTCCTTATCATTCATCAAACACTTTTCCCGGATTTAATAACCAACTACATAACGCCATGTCAGTGAATTGAAACCAATGTTAGAGCACAGAAGGAAACGTACTGCGGATCAAGTGTATCCTTCAAAGCCTTCATGACCCCAACTGTTGGCAGACCTAACTCCTTGACAAGACATTCCTAATTGCCTCTTAGTTTGCTGCAGAGAGAAGCTGGATCAAGATGTTACATTACCTTTTTCCCAATACCAATGCCATGCTCGCCCTGCAAGGAATTGTTAGTAGTGCTACAGAAGAATGAAAGAGACGATGCAGTTGACATACTGTTACGGTTCCTTCCATCTCAACTGCCCTCTCTATCATAGTATCAACGCAGTCTTTCACCTTTTCCTTGTCACCGGCCTTGTCAGGGTGGTAGAATAATGCTTGGTGAAAGTTTCCATCTCCCGCGTGTCCTATCACCCCATTCCAGATACCGTAACCAGCTGCCCTAGCCCTGGACTCTTCTGTTCATTATTTAGAGAGATTATAAGTGAAATTAGATACGAGGTGCGATATTGGACTTACCGATTAGATCAGCCATACGGGATATAGGCACCGCAACGTCTGTTGCCCAAAAAACGGAGTCCTTTGGCTTCGCTGCAAAAACCGCGAAAAGGGCGCGTTTTCTGGCTGACCAAAGGGAATCTATTTCTTTTTGCCCACTCACACTCTCAAAAGTTCTAGAACCATGTTTTCGACATATAGCTTGTGCCTCTTTGGCGCTGTCCTTGACGGAGTTCACGGTACCTGAGAACCTAATCCCACATGTTAGACACTTTGCCAACTTCACACAAAGCAGAGGAGGTTTTTCACGTACTTTAGAAACAGAGTTGGGTTTTCGTCCCACATCCTACCTTCGGTTCCTCCATTTTTGTTTATGCTCCGCATTTGCTCTTCGTCCATCAGCTCCAAGGCGATCAAGGGGAGGCCTGAGCGGACCATCGTGGACGCAGCGGCGGCCGCAGCATGGATCGAGCCGAATGCTGCTGTAGCGACACTGAGATTAGTCGGCAGTACGGCTAGCTTGAGCGTGGCTTGAGTGATGATGCCAAGAGTGCCTTCTGATCCGGTGAATAAGGAGTTGAGGTTGTATCCCGCCGACGTCTTCCTTGGTCGTTGCCGTGTTTTGATGATGGTGCCATCGGCCAAGACTACCGTCAAGTTAACGACATAGTCCTTCATCGTGCCGTACCCCATAGCATTGGTTCCGCTGCAGTTGGTGGCCACCATTCCCCCTATGAAGGCGGTTGGACCTGGGTCAGGCGGTAAGAAGAGGCCACTGTCTTTAATCTCTTCATTCAATACCATCCAGTTGACCCCGGCCTGCACGACAATGTCCATATCCTGTGGGTGGAATTCGACAATCTTATTCATCTCACACATATCAATGCATATTCCAGAGAAAGGAGAGCTAAAGCTGCCCTCAACGCTGGATTTGGATCCGAAGGGTGTCATTGGGACTCTGTATTTGGTGCATATCTTTGCGATTGCTGACACTTGCTCTGTCGACTCTGGTCGCACAATGGCAATTGGCCTCTCATCCGTATTTGATGTTGAGAATTCAGAATAGCCGTGGTATTCCAAGTCATCTGGATCGGTGCTCACTGCTTCGTCTCCAAGCTCACGACGAATTTCATCAACGGCCTGTCGATATTTCATTAGCTATCTTGAGACATGCATCTAAATGATATACCCAACCAACTCAACTTACTTTTAGCATTGTCTTCTTATCAGCATACTTGGATCGTAGGTGAGACTGCTTGCTTGTTTCACTCCATCTCGGTGCCGTATTCCCGTTTGGACCAGATGCCGACGAGAGCCTCAGTGTAGACGCTGAGGCGCCTCCAAGCAATAGCCCAACCAGCAAATAGGTTAATGGTCTTTTCTGGTATCCTTGCGATTGTGTAAAAGATGATGTAGCCCGAACACCTTGAAGTAGAGGCCGCAATCGGCGCAGAAGCAATGCACTTGAGGGGATGGGCCTCATGATGAGGTAAGTGTTTCCAAGTGGGATGCCTACAAAGGAAGATCACTACGATTCATACAAAACTGCCACTTTTCACATTGAAGGAAATCGAGACTGAGAATGAACGAAGCAAAAAATTGTGGTTCGGGTGGTAAAATCTTTTGAATAGAAAGCGGCAGCGATTTAAGGCTTAATATTGGGTACCAACTCCTCAATAGTTGATGCGGTACAACCATGCGCAAGCTTACACATTACGTCAACATCTCCAAAGGGGATTTCTAGATAAGATGTTGGTATCAAGGCTCGGAGAAAAGCTATCTTAACTCCAGAAATAATGGTATTACAACATATTACGATTTAATTCCTAATTGAAGCTTATATCAATACAAACCGACTGTTGGGTGTGAGTTTCAACCAGCTTGCTCTAGGGTAGGTCGGTACCTCCTTGTGGGTGTACAAAGTTTCAATCTCAATTATGCCGATATTCATCCGACGCAGCGCCAGCATCGCCTTCATCATTAAACTTCAACCTTCATGTGAGCGTCAGCGCTGCTTATATGCATCTACATGTTGACCGGTTTATTCCACATCCGGGCTTCTGCCTGTTAGAACACCTTTCCATGCCACGCACGTATAATAGACCGTCCGGTGTCCGTGAATCATTGTTACGCCCTCTCAACGCGTCTCCCGCCAACTGTAGGCATTTTGACCGCCCTGAGTCGTAGGCTCTTCACTTGCCTTGGCCTGCGCATACACGCATCGTCCCAATGACGGAGGAAAAAATGCCTCTCATGCTGGATAACACCGTGCCAGTGGATCTAAACGATGTGGACGATCTGTTTGGTGATGGCGTCGGCCTGTCGCTTCCCGATAGATCCCACGACCGGCCGCTGTCACTCAAGGTTGATGACGTGAGAAGCCGTGGCTGCTGCCAGTGCGTATCTGTATATCCCCTCTCCTATTGCTACGTTTATGGCTGACAGAGAGTTTCAGGACTATCGCCTGGTCGAAAAACGGAACAGTTTCAGCTATCACGCCGGACGGCCAGTTCTTGCAGCACCGCTTCTTGCGATGCAACCCAGTCGACGGCAGTTGGGACCTCAGCAAGCCGACGACATGTGAGATTATCAAAGGCTCTCCCGGCATCCCTCTGGTTCACCTGGAGTGGGGTTCAGCAAATGTCCCGGAGCTCGCCGTCATTGATGCGGTGGGAAGAGTTGTTATTGTTAGCTTCTCTATATCTCTTAATCACCCTTTCGTCACGAGGAAGTACGACACCGACTCCATCGATGATGCAAACGCTGTGGTGGGGGCACATTGGCTAGCAGTTGCACCGCAGAGCCAGCAGGTGAGCAAGTCGGATCTCGGTATCAATACACCCAAGGCACTGACTCTGGTGAAAGAAATCCTACAACGTCATGTATGGGCCAGCAACTCGAAATGGCAATTCTTACCAGTATGAGAGCTCGTTTGTCCACGCTGGCGGGCCAAGTCACCCTCATTCATCCAAGAGCGCTTTGTTCTGTGTCACAATCAGCGGCATGTTGAAAATGTTTTGGTCCCAAAACAACAATCGAATGGAGGAGACGACGATGGAGCTTGAGAGTGTAAACTCGCTGGACGAGCTGGTCACGCATGCGGCCCTTGCTTCTGACAAGAGTAAGACTCAAGACTAATTTTCTCTACACTGATTGACGCCTGGTGCTAACAGCATGATAGGATATCTGCTTGTTGCTGTTGCGACCTCATCAAAGCAGCTGAGGCTGCTGAAAATAGAGATTCAATGGGGCGGTCCAGGTTCGCAGCCTGACAAAAACCCTCTACCACAGAACGCTCGATTGAGTCCTTCTCTGGTCGAAAAGCACCTCGCTGCCACAACGTGGCTGCAGACGGGCTCTGGAGATGCCAACAATGACGCTTCCATGGCAGAGCTATCTCACTTGCACGTTCTTCCTTCCATCATTGACAACACAGGCAAGAGCACCGTCTCACCCATGATTGTCGCCATCAGGACGCGCACGCCCACCGCTGGATCCTATCAGACAGCTCAGACCATTATTGATCGTTGGGAGGCGATATCTGAGCAGCGACATAATCTTCACCCGGCTTTTGAGCAGCTGGGAAATCGAAGGAATAGTGAAGTCCCCGAGCAGACGGCCCATACGCGGCTGCGTAAACTGGAGCCAATTACGATTAACAAGGTGTTGATCAACTTTCAGCCCACCCAATTCGGAAAGGTCTTGGTTTTGACCATGTCTGACGGCAGCGTTGAATACCGAGATCGATTCACCTTTGAGGAAATCTATACGGCAGAGGATACTAACAAGGTTATGAATTTACGTCAAGTTGGCTGGACTTTTAGCGACGATGGCCCATGCCAACAGGTTGCTTTTTCCCCAACTCACTGCTCCATGGTCCAGATGTCAGACGAAGGGAAAATCCAATGGTGTAAGCTGCAATACCCGCTTGGAGACATTGGAAATTCCCTCCAAGAGGTCCGTTACGGGGCCACAGTAGCGGGCCTGACGGTGGCGGCGGCATCCGCCTTGTGGCACCAGTCCAATTATGACGACTTACTAGCCATTGTTGCGCCGTATACATCCAAGAGACGGTTTATTCACGATTGGGTCAGTGAAATTATCAAGGTCCTCAAGATTCAAGTCGATTATTCTGAAGAGTTGCACCATGATTTGCTCATGAGGAATACGCCGCTTCAAAGTTGCCTGAGTTTCATGAATAGCCTGGGATTCAAGGGGGAGAATCATCCAAGGACATTTCAGGGCAAGTTCGCCATGATTGACCTTAATGTGCGCAACGTTGTCGTTCTCACCACTCTCGCACTCAACACGCCAGTAACAGTGAGAGAGAAGATGAGTCCTATGGATGAACACGGTAAGTTCTCATCTCTTCGTACCTTGATCAAATGATGATTGCTGTTATACTGACGCGCCGCAACAGAGGTCGTAGAAGCATTAGTTGGTTGCGCCAAGTGGTCTCTGGATCTGCTGTCGTGGCTCACCGACAGCCTATTTTCACTCATGAATGACAGTGAGTTTATCGCGAGGCTAGAGCCCAAGCGCTTTGGGGAGTTGACGCCATTTCTTCAAAAACGAAACGACGTATCGCTGCACCTCTTACTCTCATCATCTAGCAGGAGCTTTCTTATATGTGTTTGCCGTAGGATTGCTCATTTAGAGTCGCTGAGTGAAAGGGCCATTGAATTTTACCGAGGGCAGTCGGCAAATACGGAGCAAACGGGTGTTCCCAAGGCGTCAAACCCTAAGCTCCAGCAGGCATACCAAAAAATGCAGCACATTACAACGTCTAGCCTCGTTAAAGTCGCCGATTTTGAGAAACTGCTCAACGTCCTCGGCGCAGACGTTCGACAAGCATACCAGGCGTTTCTCCCAAACATGATTAAGAACCAAAGCCAGAACATGGCTCCGCAGGGGAAGCAAATCGACATGGCTGTCAAAGCAGCGCAAGTCCAGGTCGAGTTGAGTATGCTTCTGGCCGCAGGGCCACCGGGACCTTTCTTACCCGTTATCAAGAAGTTCTTCAACAAAGACCTCCCTGCATTCAGGAGCATTTGCGATCCTTCAAAGCTCTTCTTCGCGAACTACGATCTTCTCGGTGTTCAGGAAGACGATTCTAGCTTGGGGCGTAACGGTTCAAGGTTTACCTATGTCGATCTGTTCAAACGGGTGGAGATGAAGCTCGGAGCTCAACAGTGGAGGAGATGTACCCGCTGTACCTCGGTGATGGAAGACGTGTTTGGGACTCGTCCTGGATTCATCTTTGTCTTGGGGCAACAACGAAGATGTGCCTGCGGCGGTCTATGGGCATTATTACCAAAGGGAAAACTGATCTTGTAAGGCATGCTATGACCATATAAGGCAACCAGGGCATCGGTATCTTTGATGGGGTTTTGTTTACAGCCGGCCATGGGGAGTAATTCCGCTTAATGGGCGAGCGGAGTCTTGAGCATTGGGACTTGGAGTTTACAGATGGAGTTTTGTCTCTACGTCTACATGGGGTTTGGGCCGAAAGGGAGATTGTTCGCGATAGAATGGATACATATGTATATAATAATACTTGGCTTTCGGGAATGTCCATATGATGTACCCGGAATGCTTTACTAGCTGGCACCTGGCCAATATTGGTGTACGAGTATTACCTTGACTTGATAGTGTATTACCTTGACTTGATAGTATATCCCTTGTGAATGAGTAGAGATTCTACACGGCCCCATTGTAAATACAATCTCTACTCGATATACACACCTACTACATACAAGTAGGTAGTATCCCTAGTAGGGGACTGCTATTCTTCCTCTAATCATCGGCTACTACGGCTTCCGGGCTAAACCAACATGCACACAAGAAATGCCTCTGTACGACTCGCGCACAGGAAAAATGTCCCGCAACTGCCGAGAGGCGCAAGAGGTCATTTCACGAAGGTCGATTTCCCAACGGCGATCTGTGTAATCTACTGCGCATAAAGGCTGGACAAGAACAGGCCTAGCACCACATGCCTGGTGTCACCTCTCTACAGCCCTCTTGGACTAGCCCATGGCTGATTTACAGAGCTAGATGCAAGCTAGACATGATCATCAGGACAGATAAGATGAAAAGGCCAGCTAGAAGAGGAAAGGAGCAGCGGGCGCGCCATCAGTGTGCCCGTTTTGAGTTGGTGATGTGACGGGCTAGATGCCCCTTTTGGAGTGATGGGATTAATTAATGGATGCCTGGGGATGGATGGAATCTGGGGGGGGCCTTAAACTCTCATTTAATCTCACTGGGGCCTTTTTTGGTGTTCGATAGGCTTGTTGCTCGTCACTGGAGATGCTGCTGTTGTTGTGATTTGTTGAGGATGGTTCATGTTGGCTCCAGAGGTAATCTTACTTGGGGTGTTATTTTGCCCAACTTGAACTAAATACTACCATGGCTAAACAATCCCACCTAAGCTCTTGTCAACGGCCAACAGGAGCCGAAGTTTGCGCCATGGCAGGATTGGACGGAAAACACCGCTGCAGGTTGACTTGACGGAGTCCTAGTTGGGCAAATGATGGACGCCCTGGCATGCTGAAGACAGAGCTGAGAACGAGGAAGCATCCGGCCCTTCTCTTGTGTCAAAAGATAGATAGGTAGGTAGATTAACGCATTGACCCTTTTCGTTTAGGGAGGGAGTGTGTCGGGGGACCTGTACGACAATGTATATTCCAAAGCAGAGAGTTTAGTAATAGTTACAGTACAAGCTCTTGTGTGAAGCTGCGTGTGTACGAGTATAGGCTAATCTTAGCATTTGAACATGTAATTAATGCCAACACCATCGACTGAGCTAGGGGGATGAGATCGCGCTGAGGCCACCAGGTGCGCAGTGAGGCGCCTCCAACTTGGGAAGATGGCTTGATGTGCCCTGGTGTATTTTACAGTAGTAGTGGATGCGTTGTGCAAGATGATCAAATTACACCCAATAGATAGTATAACCAGTTCGAAAATGGGATGGGCGGCAAAGCTGGAGTTTGTCCCAGCCAGTCGATTATTTGGCCCGCCACCGAGGTGAGAAGCGAAGGTAGCACTACCACGGGGGCAGCCAATGGAATCGCTTTCCGCGCGCCAACAGGCCAGGTACTGGTACTCGCACTTTCAATACTGGCATTAGCTTGGGGGGAGACCGTTGGATTCCGTTGCTGACGGCTGGCCGCATTAACGCCGGGGGGAAGTTCGCAGGCGAGATAAGGCTCTGGTCCGTGGTGTTTAATGTACCAGATGTATCCTTGATTGTTACTGTCGAACATGCCAACTGATGGCCCAAGAGTCGGTGCCGTATTTAGCACATTCTCCGGGCTGGAGAGAACATTAGAGCTGTCTCGGTACCTGCATCTACAGTAATGCATTGCAGCTAGTGGCTCATGCAAGACAGGGCGCTAAAACACCTGCAAAACTCTGTGTTGCCACTTTGCCTGGACGAGCAAGTACTCGCACCATCAGGGCGTTTAGCAAGGAAACTCGGTGAGATGGGATGGATCAGTTGCATGTCCAATGTCGCTCCTTGATTGTTCGCACGCGCAATCGGCGCAAGGGGCGGCTGAAAAATTGATCCGGCTCGCCTGGCCCCGCCGTGCTGTACCTGTACCTGCACCTGCACCTGTGAAGCTTCAAATTGTATGGAGGTACAGTAAAGTATTGGATGGGCTTTAATCGATGTTTCGCGTCAAGTCAGGGCCACTGGAGAGCCAACTAGCGGCCGCTGTTTCCCCTGGGCCAAGGAGCGCTAGCGCAGGTACCGGGGCGAAAACATGCCCTGGCTAAAGGAGAGGAGCTCGCCAACGAACGTGCGCAATTCGACCTCCTTATTTGCTTCTGCTTGGACATGCGACAAGTGGCATCAGGCTGTGCACTTGGGCCGTGGATTGGGCCAATTGGGCGTTTATTTTTGGCAATCGTCTTGATTGATTGCGCGCTTCTGGCAGCCGAAATGCCCGGTCAGCGCGATCCATTGCTGGCGCATACATGCATGCGCCATCTGATCAGCTGGCATCGTGAAATGACGGGCACGTTGGTTGCTCGCCAATCAGGACTGAGCAGTGATGAGATAGATAGTAGCAGGCCAACGCATGATGAAGAGGCGCTAATGCTCATCCACCCAGATCATTATCATATTGGCCATATCATATTAGTCCATGCAAAAAAAAAGGCCAGACCAGACAGAATCCAGTAACAGGTAAAGTCAATAAAAAACGGTCCGTCCATCTTCATCAGAACCAGGGGGTCCAGTACTGTACTTGTGTACCTGAACAGCCACTAGGCAATCAATTGAAATGCAACCTCCACACCCTCGCCTGCCCCACAGCCTTGGATGTCTTTTTCGAGCCTCGCTTCTCCCCTTTCCCAGCAACTTTTGGCTCACCGTCGCCGACTAATACGGGCCTAACGCCAAATCCCCCCTCTTGCTCCGGGGCCCTACCTCGAGTAGAGTTAGTGGCGCTGCTGTTTTCTTGGAAACGCCGTCTACCTCTCTTCGCCAACCGTCCCTTTCAGTCGATCCGATTCATGGGCAATTTTAACCTGCCACCGGCGTTAAGACTCGTGAGCGTTGCTTCTGGTGGCCGGCACTGCTCTTCGTACAGTACTGTTACTCGTACCTCGCTTGTTGCCCATTCTTCGTATAGTATCTCGTCCGACTGCTAGCGCTCGTACTCGCGGACCCCCCACGACGCAATTCAATATCATGGACGTCGCATCGCAACCTGCCAGCGGGCCCGGAGCCATGGCGTCGATCCTGCCAAACTCTGATACACAATCTGCTTCATCTCAGGCCTCTCCACATCCATCGCCGTTGCGGCATAGCACCACCCACGAGGCATCAGACGAAGACGAAGACGACGACGAGTACTACCGGGAGTATCACCAGGACTACGACCAGGACTACGACCAAGCGTACCACCAAGAGTACCACCAAGAGTACCACCAGGACTATCACCAACAGGAGTACCACCAACAAGAGTACCACCAGGACGACGGCTACCACCAGGACCAAGTCCAAGACCAAGACCACCATCTCCATCTCCAGACCGACAACCACCCCGGAACAACCGTTGCAACCACCACCACCACCAACACTGCCGCTCGTGTTCCTCCGGCTGCCATCCGCACTAGCATCGTTGCCAGTCACAGCCGTTCCCAGACGCTTGACTACGTAGATACTTCTGCTCCCACCCTCATCTCTCCGGTAGTCGCCTCCTCTCTTCCCTTTCGCTTCTCCGGTCCCATCAAGCGGAAGCCCGTGTCCAGCGCCGCGGCGTCGTCCTCGCTTGTCACGCAGTATCTTGCTCAGGGCTCGCCTCAAGTTCACACCACCACCATCGAGCTGCCCAAGCCCGATCACAGATTCGCGCGGTCGCCATCCGTCGATAGTCCCACCTTCTACGAGTACCCTGCCTCTGTCAAGGCCTCGGTACAAGCTCCTCACCAGTGAGTATTTCTCCTCTCTGTCTCTGTCTTTCTCTCCCCTCCCCTCCCTCTTCTCCTCCTTCGCTCTCCTTCGTTTTCTACTACACCCCGCCTTGTCTAGAAGCAGATTCATCGTGCCATTGTCCAAGTAGAGAGTGCAGAATCTAACTCGAATCCCCTTCAGACAATCCCAATCCAGAACAGCGCCGGCGCCAAGCGACGACGAAACAGTTACTGCGTCGGGAAACAATTCCACCCACGGTGGGCCTTCTTCCGCTGAAACAGCTGACACGGAGCTCTCTGATGTCCTGTCAGTGTACGACGATTTGCTCCCGGATCTGACTCCCGACGGCACTCCCGACGGTGCTTCTGTCAAAGCTCACAACCACATCACGGACGCCACCTCCGACGTCGAGTCCATTTACGACGACAACTCGAACCCTCCTCCTTCTCCCCCCATGTTAGCTCCAATCAAGCACGCACCTCCGCATCTACGGCTAGAAAAAGTCGACCCCTCCATCAATACAGGAGAAGGGCCGCAGACATACATAGACGACTCGCCACAGTCAGCCGCAATAGACGGGTCGCCGAAGCTGAACAAACCGCTACCGCGGTCGCCAGGCGCAACCTCTCCATTGGCCTCCATTTTTGGTTGGGGAAATCCTTCACCTTCGGTCACAGACTTCTCCTCCCTCCCCTCCCCGTCTCCTTTGTCACCGACCGCTAAAGGTTCGGCCAATGACAATCGACGATCAACAAACAGTTTATCATCCAGGCACACAAAGTCCAATGCAACAACAACTCTCGCCCAACAACGTCAATCATTCTTCTCCACCCACTCACCACACATCTCCCAAAATACAGCTTTGGTTGACGAGATGGAGGAAGAGCTGAAAGCCATCAGCTCCGAGTTGGCGGCATCTATCCGCCGCGAGATCGACCTGGAAGATCTGGCCGACAGGCTCCAGGAGCAACTCTCCAACGCCCAGCCGGCCGGCAGCAAGAGAACGAGCGACTACTTTTCCGACTCTGGCCATAGCACAGCCAAGCTTGGCGAGCTCGATGTGAGCCGAGACGAAATTGAAAAAGTGCAGAGGAAGTCAGAACAGGAGAGAGCCGAGCTCCGTCTTGAATTGACATCTAAATTGCAAGAAGAGAGGGAAAGGCGAAAAGATCTCGACCAGAAGATTAGGCAGCTCCAAGAGAGAGCATCCGAAGTGGACGTCGTTGAAATCAACAACATCGATGCCAGCGAGCGCATCAAGGAACTGGAAAACACTTGCGAGGAGCTCAGGCGGAAACTGTCTGAGGAGCGCCAATCCAAGGCCAACTTTGAAGACATTCTATCTGCCCTCAAGGGTCAGCTACAGGAAGCCTCTGATGAGCGAGACAACCTCCGCGATGAAGTCGTCCCGGAGCTAAAGGCGCGAGTCGAAGGCCTAGAGGCGGAGGCTGCTGAGTATGCCAATTTGACTTATGAGTCCTCCAGGATGCAGCAGGAACTTCACACTCTGAAGCGCGAGAACAGCTCGCTGCGCAATTCCATGGCTGGCGGCTTGGAAGACCTGCCCTCTAAGCGAATGTCGGTAATAGGCCTATCAGGCCTGTCCGGCCTGGGCGGTTTGTCTAGGTCAAACTCTGTGGGACTCGCGCGTTCAAACTCGGTTGCTAACCCTCGAAACCGGGCCCCTCCCGGAGTTGGTGGTCTTAAAAGAACTGATAGCTTCAAGGCTGCTGCGCAGACCGAATCTCGAGAGACTTTGCTCGAGCGACTGAAAGATGTGGAAGAGCAGCGCGATGCTCTTCACGGCGCTCTCAAAAGTCTCTTGGAACGACACGAGTTCCAAAATCGGGAGTACCAGAAGAAGATTCGCATGTTGGAGAATGAACGCCAGCGACTCACAAACGTGTCGCCAAGAAAAGCTGGCTTTGAAAAGGACATGTCCAAGCTGCGAACCGAGATCAATCTCCTGCGACGACGAGCTGAAGACGCCCTCGAGCAGAAGTGGCAGGTTGAAAAGGGCCTTGGCGGTCTGAAGATTGATCTTGACCGTGCTGAAGAAGAGATTCAGTCTTTGCGTGGTCTCCTCGAGGAGAACGATATTCTGATCCCCCCCTCCCTTGCTCGCCAGAGCAGCTCTAGCGACTCTGCGCGAGAGCCCGTTACGTCCGAGTCTCTTCGAAATGCGTACACCGAGCTGCAAGCCTCGTATGCCGAGTCTCTAGAGCGCATTCGTCAGCTGGAAGCGGACTCTGGCTCTGACGATGAGACCAAAGAGGCCATGGCGCGCCTGGAACAGTCGCTCTCCGCCGCAATTTTAGAGCGTGACGCAGCCAAGAGGCAGATTGACCAGCAAAATATTCAAATCAATGTCCTTGCGGCCAGCGATGCCGGATCAGCTGCAGCCGACAGCACTCTGGCAGAACAACTCAAGGAGTCTGCCGAGCTCATCGAACAGCTCACATCTCAAGTTCGACAGCAGTTGGATACCAACAGCGAGCTGCGAGAGCGTCTGGAAGCTGCCGTCGCCAGGGGAGAGGCTGATCGCAAGACCAACTCTCAGCGCATTTCGGAGCTCCAGGAGCGTCTCCGTGTTCTGGAGGACCAGGTCGTCGCCGCCCAGACCGCGTCTGAGGACCGCGTCGTCCGCCACGAAGAGGAGATTACCAGACTGCGTGAGGCGCACAACGAGCAGCTGCGTCGTCTTCAGGCCGACCCCTCTGGTAGCTCCTCGCAAAAGTCCGGCCCCAAGCCGCTGCTGAGCACTAAGGCCATCCCTGCCAAGAGCCTTGAGGAAGAGGCTGATATGAAGACGCTTCGGGCACGTGTCCTTGAACTTGAAAAGGCTCTTGCGGAAGCCGAGGATGAGATGCAAGAGGTCGTGGCTAGGATGAACATGGCTCAAGTCGAGGTCCTCAACCTCCAGGAAGACCGTGAGGCCGCAGTTCGGGAGACTAGGCGACTTGAAGAACTGCTGAAGAAGGAGCAGTCCAAGGCCAGCTTTGGTGGATTCTTTTCCGCTCGAAGCTGAGAGGCGTGATTTGACAAACGAGTCATGCTAAAGCCGCCCAGCGCTTTTACCATAATATTAATAGAAGAGGTGGAATTAATGGGATACGTCAAACAGCATTCAGCGATTGGAGTTTGCTTCTCATTTTTCTGGGGTTGCTTTGCATCTGCATGATGATGGCATTATACTGACGCCTAATAGAGCCGGCGGATGTGTGGATTTGGTTTTTTTTCTTCTTCTTCTTTCTTCTTCTTCCTTTTCTTTGAACAAGAAGTATTCGAAATTTGCTGGCGTCTCAAGAAGCCATCTAGGAGTCGGGAGTTTTTCTATTTCGCGTGGTTTACTTAAGAACATTCCAAAAAAAGAAGACAGTTTTACACATGTTTTTATATACAGCACAACAACTGTGGATTTTTGGGCACTACAGCCTGGGAAAAGCTTGAAGCAGTCTTGCATTACAAAGCACACCGTTGGAGAAACTGCATGGGGGGGATCTTATTTTGCATACCTATACTATCTGGAAATGCTTCTTCCTAATATTTGTTTTACTACTGTGGATTAAATTGTGGACGTGTATATAGATGCTAGTTTTGCAGTAATAGCAGATTGCAATGTGAATATTATCGATTAACAAAGAGAGAGAGTTTGAATGAGGATACAGTGCTCCTACCTACCTTAATAGATTCCATGTTGTTCACTCCTGCCGACTAAGGTAAGATGTTTAGATGCAGCTTCTACACTTGTAAATCAGCTGGCTTTCTCTCTCTTCTCCTCTCTTCTCTCTTCTCCTCTCCTCTCTTCTCCTCTCTTCTCTTCTTGTCTCCTACTTCTGTTCTCTTCCCATTCAACAACTATCATTTATCCAAATCACATTCCAACTTCAACAACTATCGCTTATCCAAATTATAAATTATCTTGACCAAACATTCTTTCAATCATCGTCACTCACGACCACGTGAAGAGCTTTCAAATATGACATCAGTAGAATTCCATGTTCAATACTGGGTCCTCTCCTTCGTGTCTCTCCTGGCGCAGCCGCTTCGCCCTTTTCTCAAGGAGCTTCTTTCCGCCGATGATGACGCACAGGGCATCTTTGAGCTCGCCGCCTCATTCTACAGCCTCTGGGTTATCCTTTATATGATCGAAATGAGGGCGCGTGCCCTGTACCGACCGGAGGCCCACCCGCCGCACCGTTAGAACCAGCGGCCAGTAAGGAATAGTTAGAAACAGGCACTGGGAGCCTTTGGTCAGTGGCTTTGGTTGGGAAAAGATTGGATCTTTGAAGCGGGAACGGCGCTCATGTGTCTGATTGTGGGAGATTTGGCTTTATGGGCAGGCGGTGTTGCCGAAGAAGGGGTACGGGAGAAGCTTGTGAGGGTGTTGGCAGCGTTTATCTATATTGGAGCAGTTGATCCGGTCTGGAACCTTGTGAGTCCTTGCCCTACTTGAGTCATTGAACATATTGATTTGATCAAATTGTGCTGATACAAGCTTGGAACAACAGCGGCACAACTCTAACATGATGCTATTTGCAAGGGCAACGCCAAAGAGAGTGGCTCGGAATGCGGTGCTTTCGGCTGCTTCCATTGGCGCACTGGGTGCTGCAGTGACATTGGTCGTGTTTGCCTGCACCCGCAAATGGCTGAATGTTATCGAGTTTTGGTTTGGAGCCACGGCTACACCTCACCAGGTCGTTGTCTTGTTATGGCTTCTTGCGCCATTCGCGGACATGGGAGAGACAGTAAGTCGATTTTGATTATGCCGGGTTGAACCAAGGCTGACCTGAGGTGCCTAGCTGTACTATTTGCCCTATTTGCTTTTTGGGGGATACAACTCGAACAATCATTGCGTGTGGCAGGTGATGGCGTATGGACCGCTGTGGAATGCCATGATGCTGGAAAGACTGTGGGCGGTATTCTGGTTCTCGACGATGCTTTGCGGCGTGATGGCTTACGAGGTGGTGAGCGGATTGTTGGGGAATGTGGAAGCGTCTGTTTGGAAGAGCGCTTGGAAGAACATTTGGAGGTGGAATGAGACTTATTTGGTAGCCTAGCCGGGGTTCTGGTGTGTATTGAGGAGGCACATGGCGAATATCACAGCGAGTAACAGCGAATAAAAGCGAATATCATGGATCTGTCGAATGACATGACACTGGATCCGGCTTGACTGTGAAGTTGAGATTGATCCAGTTGTGTGCTGTATATGGATGGCTGAGCGCTAATTAGCAGGCCTTAGGCTCTCATGTGGCTCAACGCTATGGGTGCTGTTGCCTGGACAGCCCGCTATAAGTGATTGACACAGTCAGCAGCTCTACAGCGCTCTCACAAGCATCCATTTATTCCGTGCACAATCAACTTCACTGAAACAGCAACACCATGTGAGTGACTCAACTGTGCAAGCAATAGCCAAAGAGACTCTGTCAACGATTGAAGCTCGAAGCTCTGAGCTGCTTCCATAACAGCAAACCATATCCGCTGCAAAATTATCAAGCCCTGGGTGCATAAGTCTCAAGGACGCCTTGTCTCTTCACGCTCCTTGTTCGCGTGTAATAGCACAGGCACAGGCACAACTGCAAGACCATCTATCTACCTGTTAATCCGCTTCTAAAATGGAAAATATGGAATCCAAGGCGGCCTATTTCAACCAGCTCTCAAGTCTCTCCCATATTAGCAACGGGATGCGCAACGATGATGCTTTCGATGCGCGCGAGGAGAGACAAAGAGAGCTTCATCGGGACTTCTTTCGGCCTGCGCTGAGCTTACATCCCCCTGATCAACAGGGCCAAACCCAAGAAACCGAGCAAAGAGCACTACAAGATCAAAAATCTCGAAAGCAACGAGAGGAATCCCTGCCTAAGAAATCAAATCGGCTGCAGCATCTTACACCCCGAAAGGTCATGGCCGCGCCTCGGCCTGCGTCTGGAAAAGTCATTAAGGGGACTGGACCGCGAAAGCCGAGGCCAAAGGGGCGGCTTGGCGCGCTGCTGGATAATGCGGTAGATGTTGTTCAAGAAACGCCTTCTGTGGACTTAGAAAAGAGAGGTAAGGAGGTGATTGTAGTCGAAGACACTCCTTTGCTCCTTCGGAAGTCGGCGTCGTCGTTGAAGAGACCGTTGGAAAGTGCCTCTGAGGAATCATCATCACCATCTATTAACATCAAGGCTGGGATGGCGACCAAGGCAACGCGCGGCAATAAGAGGGGGCGTATCTCAGCACCAAGCGTGCGGCCCGAGGATGAGCAAATATTCAAGGGCTTGTCGTTCTTTTATGTCCCAGACAATGATATTGCGCCAGCGAGACGGTTGCGGATTAACAGAGCCAAGGAGTTTGGAGCTTCATGGACGAGAGACTTGATGACTGCTACGCATGTCGTGGTGGACAAGAAGCTCGAGTACAAAGATGTTGAGAAGATGTGGCCGAAGGATGGATTTGGGGGCCGGACGCCGCCAAAGGTAGTCACCGAGGACTACCCTCTTGACTGCATCCAGTTTCGTGCCATTGTGGATGCTAGCCAGCGCAAGTATCTTGTAAATGGCCAGCCAGAGGTGGAAGAGAAGGAGCAGGAGAAGGAGCCTGAGCTTCCTACTCCTGCTGTTGATTTCGGAGCTCAAGCGAAATCGAAGTCGAAATCGAAATCGGCAGTGAGCTCACTGCCGCTGAAACCGCAGCATCATAATAAGGGGAAGTGGGATTATGTCCCACGGAAAGGGACGCCTTCACAGAGTGAGGAATCGTCACTGAGCGGTCGCCCGACGAGGAGCAGGACTGGAGCTGTGGCGGTAGATTCTCAGCCTGTTGTGATTGACTTGGACGATGTTGGCGAGCCCAAGAAGGACGTATCAGACGGTGATACGGGAATACAGACCCATAGTCCGTCGAAGGGTAGTGACAAAGCCGGCCATACACCTTTGTTACAAGATGAGTTGTCCGAGTATATATCGATGATGCAAGAGTTTAAAGATTTACCACTGGATGTCGATGAAGAGGAGGATGCTCAATCTACGGCCAACGAATCAGATGCTCAGTTGGATCTCGATCATCGGTCTGGATCAGAGAACGAATCCCAGCGGGCGAGGAGATCATCTAGGCGGGCTCGACCAACCAGCAAAGCAATAGCGTTTGAAGACCGATTCGCGTGTAATAGAGCTGGAAAGAAAGATGCCAACCAAGATAATCCAAACGCACGCACCATTGAGATATTGCAAAAGATGAACGGCTACTATGAGAGAATCAACGACCATTGGCGGACAATAGCCTACCGGAAGGCTATCAGCATTTTGAAGCAGCAGAGCGTCAAGATTACCACCGAAGAAGAAGCATATCGGCTCCCGAGCATTGGTCGCCGGCTAGCACAGAAGATTGAGGAGATTGTCACGACAGATAAGCTACAGAGGCTTGAGTGTGCAGAAGAGGATCCTACAGACCACGCCCTGCAAACGTTTTTAAAGATTTACGGCGTGGGGAATAAGATAGCGGAGCAGTGGATTGCGCAGGGCTGGAGAACGCTCGAGGATGTGAAGCAGCATGCAAAGTTGACACCTAGCCAGAGGGTAGGCATGGAGCATTACGACGACTTGAACACTAGGATACCGCGCATGGAGGTGACCGCGCTGGGTGACATTGTCAAGAAGGCGGCGGCTGAAATCGATGCGGCAGTGCAGCTTATTATTGGAGGCAGCTACCGGCGAGGCGCCGAGAGCTCTCACGACATCGACTTGATTGTGACGAAGCCGGGGACCGAATCTGTGGCAGAGCTCAGGGCGTTTCTGAGCAGACTGATAGACCAACTGGAGAGGGACAAATTCCTGGTAGCTCGTCTGGCGTCGTCTCACGCCGGCGGCGACGGTAGCAAATGGCACGGCTGCTGCGTGCTACCAGAGATCAAGGGCCTCAACGACGACACGGACGAGAAGAATGGCGAGTACCGGCCGATCTGGCGAAGAATCGATTTCCTGCTGGTGCCCGAGGCGGAGCTGGGCGCGGCGCTGATTTACTTCACCGGCAACGACATCTTCAACCGCAGCATGCGGCTTTTGGCGTCCAAGAAGCGCATGCGGCTGAACCAGAGGGGGCTGTACAGAGATGTGCTGAGGGGTCCGAATCGAGCCAAGATCACGGAGGGGGAGCTGGTGGAGAGTAGGGATGAGAAGAGGATATTTGAGATTTTGGGGGTCAAGTGGCGGGAGCCGTGGGAGAGGTGGTGTTGATGTTTGGATACGATGATGCTGGATAAGTACCTAGTATTATATGGTGGGTTGGTGGTTGACATTCTTGAGAGTATTGAACTATATATGGACGGCTAGTTGAATTGTCCAGAGGAGCATTTTAAATGTATAACATGGATCGTTTAATTTTCGGTAGCTGTGATGCAATATGACATGTGGATGGATGACATGCAGTAGCACGCGGAGAGGGAATCACATGTGAAAAAGCAAAATCGTGGGGTAAAGACCTGGAGGTGGCGTCCGGTCGAAACGAGATCCCTCAAAAGGATCAGATCAACTCGACGGAAATCTACCAAGAGCTGAGCTTGCTGAGCTCCAGGCGGGGATTTCCATTTTCCAGCGGTCTCCAGTGGGCAAACTCCAGGGGGACTTCTCGGCGCAGCTCCACGCAGCTCCACCCTCAGCGTCTCCAAAAAGTGACGTATTTGGTCATTGCTTGCTTTCTCCGGGGTTCATAATCGGGTTCCCCATATTTTCTTTATCGCACCAAATCCCGACCCGAGGCTCAAGTCATCAGCAGCCGATCCAAGCCAAGCCGAAACCCTTTTCCTTTCTACATACAAACGTTGAACTCTCTTTCCTCTCCCCAAACCTCGATCTTATTCGCACCGCCAGTCGAAAAATTCCCCAATCTTCTTCCTTCTCTTTTTTTTACTTTGCTATTCTTCCCTTCCCTTGGAAGAGCGCCGCTTGCGGAGATTCTCGCGCCCGACAGATAGTGTCCGTGTTGGTTCATTGACACGGGCGTCGATAGCCGAGGCACCATGGCTGCCTCGTGGATGTTGGAAGAGTGGAAGGTATGGCGATGCGACTCCTCCCCGGGTTTTCGCCTCGGATTGACGCGAGGGGGCAGAAGAAAAGCAAAAGATCAAGGCGACTGACTCTTTGCAATAGGCGTTTCTAGAGGGCATCGTGGTGGACCCGGCGTACCATGACATTTTGTCGCTGCTCAAGACGGCGCGTAACGGCGCAGTCTACGGGACAAAAGTGCGCTTTCCGCACGCGCTGGTGTGAGTATTCATAGTGGTTCATGGAATGCATCTTGACCGAGATTGTGCTAATGCGTGCGATGCGACAGGATGATCTTCCTCTTCCGGTCCGGAACGTACGTATTCCCCTGGCGACAATCCCGATGGCAATGGCGATGGCGAAGCTATACAGACACACGTATATATGTACATCAGGTATTGACTCGAGCTTGAATAATAGGTTCCGAGAAAAGGCGTCATTGGTCTTTCGGGCGACGAAGAAGCACGCCATGAACCTGGCCAGGTTTGCCTCCATATACAAGATCACGATGCTGGCGCTGAAACGCTTTGGATCCACACCAGGCAAAGAGGGTATGCTGCGTTTTCCTCTTTCTTCTCTCTCTCTCTCTCGCTCATATATATCCCAACCTGTCAATTCTCCTACTCACACATTGCCGCGAACAGGCCCCTACGACTCCTTCTTCGCCGGCCTCCTTGGCGGCTACATCGTCTTCGGCCAGCGCTCCAAGCGCTACGGCAAGATCTCGTCCGTCAACCAGCAGATTGTCATCTACATCTTCGCTCGCGTCGCCCTGGCCCTAGCACGCATCGCTATCAAGCCCGGCCACGGCCTGCCCGTCGTGTCGAAGGAGCCGCTGCATTCCCAAATCACCCACTACGCCTGGCCTGCGTTTGCGTCGCTGTCGTGGGGTATGGTCATGCTGCTGTTCAAGTACCACCCGGAAGATCTGCAGTCGAGCCTGCGGAGCAGCATGACTTATATCTACAAGGACTGCGACAACTGGGACTCGCTGAGGACTTTGATCTGGCATAACAAATAGAACACGTGAAGGGGATCGGATCTATTTTAGAGCGTGGTCTTTTCTTGGATTTAAATAGGTATGCTGCCGGCGTTGATGTGCACTGCCATTTGTTCATAATGGTTTATTGGAGGGCGTTTTGCTATATGGGTGTCTCGAGAGTGGTATAGCGGCAACAAATACATGGCATGAGACGGATGAGAGAGAGAGCATTGGACAGGTGTTGGTCTTGGTCTCGGGATTCTTTGCATTATATACACTTGAATGAATCCTAGTTCACCACTTGTAAAGAGCCCCCAATTTTTTTTCGGTGTGCAAGCTGGTATAGATCCATTCAATAGTTGAAATTAGGTGATGGATTATCATACTCATGGGCTTACATCTACAGATGGATCTTCCATCTTTGGTGGTTTTAGCGGTCTTCCGGGAGCTACCCCGCTATAGCTCGGCGCTGCCCCGCCAAAACCACCTTCAATTCAACTTTAGGCAAACATACGCATCGACGCTCCCTCAACACCATCTCCATATACGCCAACCACAATCTCCATCCGCCATGGCACCCAATCCAAAGCTCGCCGCAGCTCTCTCCGCCGCAGAATCAGCCTCTGGCGAAAAGGGCCCCCTCTACGAATCCATCCTCGCCGACATCCAGGCTCTCGCCTCGCCAACCACCGCCGCCGATCTCGATGCCGTCTTCGACTCCTTCTTCGGCCAGAGCCTCGGCCTCGTGGCCTCGCGGTCCTTTCTAACTGCCTTCATCGCCGCGCTCAAGAGCATCGAGAAGGAGAGCCTGTGGATCGAGGTCGGCAACCGCACGCTGAGCAGGCTGGCGGCCCAGCCGTCGTCCTTCTTCGATGCAGCCGCCACCATCTACGAGCTCGTGGCCACGGCCCACGAGAACAACGAGGACTTCCTCGATGCCGCAAAGGCCCTCGCCGAGATTCCGCTGGATAGCTCACAGCGGAAGGTGTCGGACGCGGATAAGGCGCGCGTGTGGGTTCGCATCGTCCGGAACTACCTCGAAGTGGGCGATGACACCGCCGCCGACATGTACATCAACAAGCTCAAGAACATCATGCACACCGTCTCGGACCCGGATCTCAACCTGCACTTCCGCCTCTCGCAGGCCCGCATCCAGGACGCGAAGCGGGACTTCCTCTTTGCCGCCCAGCGGTATCACGAGATCAGCTTCTTCCCCGCCGTCGCCGAGGAGGAGCGCCTTCACACGCTGAGCATGGCCGTCAAATGCGCCATCCTGGCCCCCGCCGGACCCATGAGGAGCCGCATCCTGGGCCGGCTGTACAAGGACGAGAGGTCAGCCCAACTCGAAGAGTTTGGAATCCTGGAGAAGATGTTCCTGGACCGCCTGCTGTCGCCCGCCGAGGTGGACAAGTTTGCCGAGGGCCTGCAGCCCCATCAGCTGGCCACCACGGCCGACGGATCGACCGTTCTCGCAAAGGCCGTCGTGGAGCACAACCTGCTCGGCGTGTCGAGGCTGTACAACAACATCCAGTTTGGTGCCTTGGGCTCCCTGCTCGGCCTGGACGCCGACAAGGCTGAGGAGACGACCGCACGCATGATTGAGCAGGGCCGGCTGGTTGGCCGCATGGACCAGCTCGAGGGCATCGTCCGCTTCGAGGGCGGCGAGGCATCTGGCGAGAAGGGCAGCGGCCGCGCCGAGATTGTCGCAAACAAGGAGATGCGCAGATGGGACGCCAACGTCGAGAGTCTGGCCGAGGAGGTGGAAAACGTCATCAACTCGCTGCAGAAGGAGTTTCCCGTAATGTCTTCCCCTGTTCTCTTCGTCTAGCTTTCCCCCTCTCCATTTTACTAACTTCTATCAATATCGATATAGTCCTTTGTTGCGGCGAATCTTGTGGCCTAAGATTTCCAGTGGGAAATGATTGGAGAGGGCGATGCAAACCGGCACCGGCGTTCACAGGGAGAAATTCATAGGCGTCTGGGATGATTTTAATGTGGCAATGATATGATACAACGATAAAACACCTGCGGGGGCTTCAAATCCCTTCTTTATTTTTCATTCTGTTTCTTCTTCTTTTCCTTTACCCTTTCCTCGCAGGTACGCATTTAGACTACACTCTGTTAAAAAGAGCAAGATGTTATAAAGGTGCTAGCTAGCTACATAGCTAACATTTCAATCCGTGACGTGACTCCCCCCTTGTATATAATCTCGAGATGCTTCTTTCGTTGGGAGGCCGCATGCCGCAGCCAGTCCCAAGAGACACAGGTTGCCCCTTTATGATACGCCCCGTCGATCCCACGTCTTCCATATGCACATCGCTTATTGTACACACATCCGGTTTGTCAAAGGAAGATTTAAAAAAAAAAAAACACAAGTCCCAAGATCCATTCGTCCGTTCACCCATATGCATTATTCATTGTTCATCCCAGTCCACGTCAAAACGCCTTTCTCCCCTTTCCTCTTTAATCCTCAATATCGTCATCACTCAGGACCAGCTTCTGCTTCAGCATGCCTGTAACTGAGCCAGCTTTTATGCCCATCCTCTTCTTCCGGGGAGTGGCCTCTTCAGATGGCTTGTCCGTCGCCCACGTCTCTCCCATAGCGACATCCTCGTCAGCGTCCGACTCATCGTCCGGTGCTACGTTCACGCCAGAGAACGAAACAATTTTGTCGAGGTCTCGCTGCCGCCCCGCCGACCTGCGACCACGAGCAATCTGTGCCATATACGGGAGCCGGTCGAGAAGTAATTCACGGCGAGCCGTGCTGCCGAGTGTAGGTATCGCAGGGCTGTCGCGGGTTTCTTCTTCTTGATGGGCAGCTTTGGACGTAGGCGTTACGCCCGCTTGCTTCTGATTCTGGCCCAAGGTGCCGGAAGGTTGATTGCGGCGAAAGATACTAGCCCCGTCTATGATATTCCTCATCGGAAGTTCGGCTTCGCCCCTGAGAACTTTCCCAGACCAAACATCGATTAGACCTTCAATCTCTTCCTTTGTTCGCCAAAGCTTGAGACTCGTGGGGTAAAACATCTTGAACGCATCGCTGCCCTTCTGCATGGTCCACGTCTTTCTCTTGACGGGGTTGGGTAGGGAGAATAGCATGCCGCGTACTGCAACCTGAAACGTTATTTCATCCTGGCGAAGAACATGGCTTGCCGAATCCCCAAAGTTTCCACTAAACCCGCCCCGTCCACCAAAGAAGACATCTCGGGAAGGACTGAGCAAGTCGGCCAATGAAAGGTACTCAATACATTCGTTGACGTAATCCATGGGAGTCGAAAGATCCATCGGATCTGTGCCTTCGCAGGATAACACGTAATTCTCATGAAGAGCCGAGATGAATGTATGTGTATCGGTACCCGTCTCATCGATTAGTGAATCAACAGACACCAGTGATGCCTTTGGCCGTGAATACTGCGAAAGATAGCTCGGTAGCTTTTCTGCAGGGTCGTTGGATGGCATGTCGTCTCGCTTATTGTAGACTACTTTGCCGACGGCATGGAAGATGCCCAAGCTAGCTTCCCGCTGAGATATTTGTTCGAGGCTCTCTTCTTCACCACGTGTGAGGGCGATGCCATCTTTTGCTCCTTTCTTCTGCTTCGTAAACGTCACCTTGGATCCCCAGTCGGCATCTTGATCTCCTTTTAAGCAGAGAAACTCGAGCGATGATACAGCGCTGCGAATGTCTCCAATCTCACCGAGCCGCTTTAGAACCAGCGGTCCTGGCGTTCGTCTACGCCCCGACTTTCGTGACTCTTTTTGTACAACAAGCTCCAGCGCCTTTGCTAGTAACGAAGGAGCTATCGCGTTGAACTCGATCAGGCCAACCCCCGGATGGCGCAGAATCTCCGGTCCCAGTAGGCGATGGGCAGTCAAGCTATCTGCTGAAGCAGACGTTGTCGTCAGCAGCGTCTCCGAGATAACAATAACAACAGGTGTGATCGGCTCCGTTCGTTTCTGCTGTCCAAAAGTATGTAGGGACGGCGTTTGTGTTGCCAGATACTGGAGGATGGTGCGCCGAAAGGAAGAAAGTGCAGTCGAGCTCCTAGAGAAGGTATTTGGAAACTCTTCAATAAGAATAATCTTCTTCGCATTGTTATTGGGGGGCTGCGAGGCGTTATTTGAGCTCGCCGGTGTGGGTGATGGCTCAGGCTCCTCCAAGTCTAAAGCGCCAAACTTGCCTCCTCGCCCGAGGAAATCCTCAAACTGCGCGGATGCCGACACAAAGCCCGTTGTTGAGTTGCCCGCCGGATTATTCCACTCCAAAATCTCGGATCCCATGTCGTTTGCCAATAGACGAACCGTAGTGGTCTTCCCAGTGCCGGCAGCGCCTTTCAATATCAGCAACCGTTGTCTCATTCGTCCTCCCATGACATCCTCAAGCCACTTCCTAACGTCTGACACCTTTTTCTTGTGTACGGCAAGTTCATCTAGGTTTCGTGGGCCGAATCGTTCTGACCAAGGACGTAAATCATCGTTCAATGTATCTATAGACGCAGGTCGACTGGGCTTGAGGAATCTTTGGCTCATGGTCAACGAGCCACTGGGCGCAGAGTGGGCGACGCCGCTGGCGCCTTTCAATCGCTTCCTCACATGTTGCCCAACCAAGCTGGAAGAGCTTGCTTTGAGCTCTGATATCTCGTCGTCGTCGGAAATAAGGTCGGTAATCGGATCGTCTATCGGTTCCGTCCTTCTGTCGGTTCCCAAGCCAGGTCGTGCCACTTTTTGTGCCTGCTTGGAAAAGAGAGTCTTCAAATCTGCCGTCTTTCCCTTGTCGTCAACTTTGCTCGCGGCTCTGGTCTTCTTAGGGCTGAAGCTCGTGCCATTCTTTAGCGATCGCGACGGCCGAAGAGGGCTGCCGTTGTTGGAGGATTGGCCATTAGTGGTCCTTTTTTTCACAGGAATCGGGGACGCAGTCGGCGCCCGTATCTTTGCCGGTGAGTTTGGAGAAGATAGAAGGAAATTCGTCAAGGTATTGGCCTTTGGCTGCTCGGCTTCATCGTCGGACGCCTCAACGGTATTCCGCCGGCGACGCTTCGCAGGCGGTGCCATTAACGCGACTGAATCATCCGGGCTATGAAGATTCCATACAAGCAGACAGTACGAGGCAGAGCACAAGTCAGAAATCAACTCAGCAGCGGCAATATGGGCGGCTGATATGATATAAGAGTGCAGTATGGGCTTGATATCTGAAGAGAATGGGAAACAATCTTGGGATGCCCAGCTAAACAAGTTGTCCACGTACAGTGCAAAATATTAGTGCTAATCGATTAACACTGTTTTTATCGTTAGGCAGTCGCTACCTAGGCAGCTCAAGCTGAAAAAGCTCAACACCAGGCATCAGCGCTGCGCATCAGAACTTGAATTGTCCATGAGTATGAAAAGGAAGAAAATCAGTTATTCCAGTTATTCCAGTTATTCAAATTTCACGCCTTAGCCTATTAATACTTTGCCACGGCTCGCTCATTACTCCATGCCTCATTTTCCAATCTGCTATCCTACCCAATTAATCAACCAGCAAATAACATTCGCCCACACTAATGAACCCAGCCGTGGAAATTGTCAACAAAAGTCACCGCAGCTCGAAGATAGCGCTCGTGAACATCGCCCCATGTCCGAGCAGCCTCTCTTATGGCTCGTATTGCTGCAGGCAGCAATGTTAGTATCCATTCGCAGCTCTCTATGGCATTGGGGAATGTAGCCGTACCTTTAACAAAGTGTGCGTCCTTTGACCATGCCGAATTCAATGCTTTGTCTTCTACGTATTTCCAGTTCTTTCCCTTCAGGTCACTCTCGACGCTGTCAGGATCTGGCAATGGCCGGCCCTTGATGATGAATACGGCCAACACGAATAGCCACCACTCTCTGACGAGAGTAACGTGATGTTTTGGTGGCAGGAATGGAAGAAGAATCCGTACAGCATGGCTAGTGGTTAGCAGGTGGACGAAGAAGAAGTCATATGCGTGGGTTCCCGGCTTGACGGTAGCCACGAGCAACGCAACGGCTGCCTCTTGGGACAGTTCGAATTGTTTCTTAGGGTCGTCGTCAATATCCCATCCGTTCCAATACTCCAGGAGGAGGGACTCGTTCTTGTCGAGAAACGCTTCCATGTCGCTAAGTGGAAGATCTTCTGGCACTTTGCCGAAACGATTATCCTTGGACATCTGGATCAGGAGATCCAGTGGCGACCGCGACTTCAGCGGAGATGGCTTCGTATACGAGCCATTGTCGAGATACTTGTGGAAAAAGTTGTATTGGACAGAGGTGAGGGCAAGCGCCTCCATGGCAACCTCTTTGCTGTCCACCTCATATGCATAGCCAAGGTGAATGAGCGGATGGCCAACTATCAAGCATTAGCATGTGAGCAGCAGAACGCAAAAGGCGCTTAAAGGAATTCCTACGGCCGCCTATCAAGCCATGAAACAGCGGCTCTTCGCCACTGAACAGAAAATGCTGCAATTCCTGCTTCCAATCGTACGCAAATTCCATGGCAAGCTTATCCTCATAATAATCCACAAAGGCCCGTTGATACTCTTTGTCCCCAAGGAAGTCTCTCCAGTCCTCATCAATCACCTCAGAAGGGGACGGCTCCCAGGGCACCAGGTCTTTGATCTCGTTATTGTAAATGTCATGCAGCTGGTTTTCATTTGCCCCGAGCAGATACGCCGAGCTGAGGATGTGAACATTGTGATTGTCAAACCGGAGGTCATTCCAAAGTATGGCATAGTTTGCATGATTCGCCTTCAATAGGTACTTAAGACAGCGAGCCCGCCTGTCGGCATGAGTTTCAATGTGATGGATTTCCACGGATGGCAAAACAATGGCCTTGGCCATGGGCCTGCCCACGAGCAGGCTCGCACCTGGAATATACGAGAGAATACCAGACATTTCGGAAGTGATTGGGGAAGAAGGAGGAGAAGCAATTTACCGTGCTCTTCTGCGAAGTGATGAGCCCATCAATTGTTGTGTTGGGGCGAAGAATACAACAACAAAGTACTTCCGTGACATGGATCCCATGGAATCGTTCCGCGCAACTAAGATTTGTGGGGATGGCATCATGGTGGAGCTTCTACTGTTGCAGCTGCCGAGCCATTCAGTGACGCAACAAGTCACGCGTCGCGTCTTTTCAAGCCACAGGCGTGAAAATGTTCAGCCTCGGCCTCAGCCTCACCCTTAACCTTGAATCACCTCCAATAATCTTTCTACCAATTCACAACGCAAACAAGAGCCGCGGTTAGCAGAAAGATGCCGGGCTAGCCATGGCGCAATCAGACACCGCCGTTCGCTCCATATATGCCGAGCTGCTCTCAAATATCAGACAAGTGTCAGTTAGAGCCACGCTGTCATCACCATCGGATGCGACGACCAAGGCCGAGATTCTTGATGACGCCCGTCGCATTCAAATTCATCATCAGGGCGAAGTAAGAGCACTAGACCTTCCAGCCAGTGTCCTGGTACGATCTACGATCCCCATTCCAGAGAATTCCTCGCAGGACCTAGCCTGGAGGCTTCCAGTACCAGCCACTGAGACACACCTGACAAGATTCTCTGCCGAGAATCAGTCAGTACCTTGGAGCTCTACGGATGTCAAAATCGGCTCTTGTATCAGCTGCCGGCATTGCAGTCACAATATTGTTCAACCAGGCCGCATAAAGTCATGGAAAGATTTACCCAGCGAGAACTGGGCAGAAATGATGGAGTTCTGGCACTGTCACAAGCCTCATGACCACGAGCATCATGATGGCGAGAATCTGTCCAAGCGCGGCTACGGAGCTAATAGTGCAATTACTGCTCAGCCGGAAGTTGGCTTTGTGGATCTCACCTCCTTTCTGTTCTCTGAGGCGGACTGCGATGGATTATCAGTAAGTATTTACCAGTTCCCCACGAGGCTCTCTGCCTTTTAGAGACGGCGGGGAAAGAGAAGGTGGCCTAGTCGAGTGTACAAATACCTCTCTGTGACCCGGCCACCGATACAATTCCCCAAGAAGAACGCATTGCTTTCCCCAGTTTCATTCTGGGCAACTCTGAGGCGTGTACCCTTCTCTAGCGAGAACGGGTTAAGCATCCGAGGTGTTAAAGCAGTCTCTTACTTTTCATCCAGTTTCCAGAGATGTGGGATTCAGGAGATTAAGGGAGATAAATCTTTAAACTTTGTAGACGTGACTGTGTTAGACATCTTTCGGGCACGTAGGACGGTTCAGCTTACCAGCAGCAGTTTTCGCGCCCTGATTCGGACACCTCCTTCGACACCAGCAAAGAAGCCATTGATGGTACCGATCCAGTGAGACCTTTACGTATATTCTGCAAGACTTGCCGTGCAGAAGTAGGAATATATAATGCCCTGGCAGTATCGGTAACTCTGTTCAAGTGGCAAGTAACGTGCGAAACTGGCTCACCCAGCCAATCCCCGAGCAGCTCAGAGTGCCTAGCAGCCACTCTAATAGCCACCATATCACGGTCGGGCTCATCTAAATCTGTTGTGGCGTCACATACGCTTGATACTACCCCAGAAGGAACACGGTCGGAACTGCCTCAGTCTCTCCACCTCTGGGTGCTCAATGCCAATGTTGTGTATTCTTCCACCATGCGCGAAGGAAGACGGACGGCGATCAAGGTTCTCTATCAAGATATTGATATAGAAGAAGGGAATAAACTTGTGGATTCGATGACCTCAGGTGTCCAGGAGATCAGCTTCCCAGGAGCTGCTATCAGCACAGCTCGTCAAATTCTCCGGGAAAGTAACAGCTTATTGCCCGTCTCTGAGCGGCTATTTCAGCAATGGCATGTTGGTTTACTAGAACGTTGGAAATAGACGAACAATTCATAAATTCCGCCTCTAAGGCTTACGATATCTTAATTCGCATTCTTGACTTAAATTAATTTAGCTTTCGTGAGCCAGAACTGAAGGACCGTGAATCGAGAGCATATACCATGTATTACGCACTGTGCCTTTTCACGCACACGTGCACATTGGCTACAGTGTGCTTTCTATATTGGCACTGACAGTAGGCAGCACTTCTGGTTGGATTATTAACCTTAAACCCGAACCTCCTCCTTTACTTCCTTGTTTATCTCGCAACATTTTCACGCAACACCACATTATCCTTTCGAAATGTGGTAGTCGAGAATTCCGAAGGAAAATTCACAACATCCAATCCTTGGCATTGTCACATGCCTTTGGTTTCAACTTGATGACGATCAACACCGACATCACAATGCTTTCACAACAAGTTACATATATTCCTGTCGGATGTGTTGGAGTTTCACAACACGAAAGCCATGTCAGTGAAGAGGATTGGTTGTCAATAGAACACCGGACATGGAGAAGTTTCTTACGGCATAATGATCCTCTTAGCAATGGCGGGCATGTCGTCCCATCTGATACGCCGTACATCAATCAAGACCTACAGAAGTCGCTCCTCAAGTCTCCAAAGCTTTCACAATTGGGCAAGTTATTTTATGCTCGCTGGTGCAAGCTCGAATTTTGCGTCAGCACCTTGAGCGAACAGCTAGGAATCGTCAGAGTATACTTGCTCCCAGATGATGCTCTGCGCCGCTCGGTAGATCGCTCTGATCCAGGCTTGCAGAAGGCGAGGCTGCAGGTACTTCGCTCTCTCGATTATTCACCATGTGCTTGGAAAGCTATCAGGGAACCGGATCAGTCAGGTCGCCCTATCCTAGAAGATCCCAGCTCCATCGACAATGATAAGAATGTCTCGCTCTTACAACTATTCAACACAATTCCCTCGCCTTGCCCAGACTTGAACGCTGTCGTTGAGCCATACACACAGGATGCAATGTATAATCTCATGGAAAGCAAGGTACCAGGACTCAAAACTGAGTTGTATCCCCACCAAAGGAGATCCGCAGCTTTGATGCTACAGAAGGAGACACAACCCGGTCAGATACTTGACCCTCGACTGCTACATCTAAGAGACACAAGCGGCTCCCATTGGTATATGGATCCAGTAACAGGTGTGGTCCTTCTGGGGCCACAATATTATGATGGAGTTTCTGGGGGGATTCTAGCCGAACAGATGGGATCAGGCAAGACGGCCATTTGTCTTGCGCTGATACTTGCGACGAAGCATTTACCTACAAGCCCCCCTGACTTTTACAAAGCGGGTGAACCGCCAGTCAGATCAAGGATCGCATCTCTCGCCGATATGGCAGCGTCATGTGCCACACGCCATGCCGTTCCCTGGAAATCCCATTTCGAGGCGTGGAAAAATCAGCACGGTTATGAATTCAGCCACTGCAACGACGTTCTTTCAAGAAATTGCGGTTACTATTTTCTCCCTGCTCCAGAGCCCCGTCGCGTTGGACGAAATAAAACTCCATGCCATATGCCACCCAAGCAGATCCATCTGAGTTCGGCATCTGTAGTTATCGTTCCTAACAACCTCGTTGCACAATGGAAACAAGAGATTCACAAACACACCGAAGGGCTCAAGGTACTGATTCTAGGAAGGAAGGATGAAACTCCATCACTTGAAGATATCGTGATGTGTGATATCCTCCTCTTTTCTCAGACAAGATTTGAGATGGTTCACAAACAGTTTGCTGGCGTCGACGGCTCCATCTTCTCATCCATCCACTTCAAGCGATGCATCGTAGATGAAGGACACAAACTTGGCAACTCAAAAATGAGAAACAGAAGCAATCTCTTGATTGGTTTGGATTCAATGCATTTCTCCTCTCGATGGATTGTCACTGGAACTCCCTCTCACGGCTTATATGGAGTGGAACAGTCCAAATCCGCCGCAACACACGCTCACACTCCGAATGGCCAACTTCCGGCTTCTGATAATAATACGAATCAAACCAACAAATCTTCGACTGATGAAAAGAATGATCTCGAGCGGATTGGAGCTATTGCCGCTATGTATTTGAAAGCTCGGCCCTGGGCGAACACGATAATTGAAAGTGGCGATACACTGGCTGACTGGAGCACCTATTTAATGCTCCCAAAGCACAGCCCTAGAAGTCAGGGTCGATGGAATTGTTTGGAATCTACACTCAACTCACTCATTATCCGCCATCGTATATCAGAGATTGGCACCCTTTTGCCGTCTGTGAACGAGAAAGTTATTGTTCTTGACGGTTCGTATCAGGACCAGCTGTCGCTCAACTTGTTTTCTATGATGATAGTATTCAACTCTGTCCAGTCGCAGCGGGAAGACATGGATTACTTTTTCCACCAGAAGCAAAGAAAAGCACTGATACAAATTGTACAAAATTTGAAGCAGGCGAGCTTTTTTGGAGGATCTTTCTTTACTGTTGATGAAATCGCCAAGTCTGTGGAAACCGCCGAGAAATTCTTGGTGGAGCGGAAGGTTCCTATCAGTCCCGAAGATGAGTCGCTACTTCAAGAAGCCATTCAGTTTGGCAATTCGGTAATGAGAAATAATCTAAGAACTCTAACGAACCAATTCCACGAAATGGCCGTGGCGGTTACGGGGTTTCCTGGTAACGCTGGTGAATCTTGGTCCCTTGATGGCGCATCTGCAGAGAACGGCATATGTACTTCTACAAGCATGTTGTTATCCCTTCAGAAGCTAATTTACAATGCGGCTAGAAGTGAGGAGAAGCTAAACTCTCTTTTGAATGGCGAATTGATCTCAGAAGGCACACTCGAACGCACCAAATTGCTAAACGCCGCAGCTCCTGAGAAAGGTTCCAAGTCAAAGGAGAAATCTTCAGAGACACTTGCTGGTAATACTAAATTGGGCGATGATAGCCCGAAGAAGGCACGATCTCATGGTGTTAATGGGATTGAACCAAGGACGCTCGCTGCCGAAAGCTTTGCTGCTCCTCTTGAGCAGACGAAAATAACGGCGACTGTATCCGCAAAACTCTCGTACTTGATTGACAATTTGGTCAAGTATCAGGAAGAGGAGAAGATAATCGTCTTCTACGAGAATGAAAACGTAGCATGGTACTTAGCTAGCATGCTTGATGTGGTTCGTGCTTCATTAGCAAATCCGATGAAGTCGGGAACGCGCTGACTTTTAACAGCTTCAAATTCAACATTTAATTTACGCCAAATCTTTGAAGGCAGAAAGGAGAACGCAATATGTCAATACCTTTAACCACAATGAGAAATTTAGGTGAGTGTCTCTCAATGCCGATTTGCAAGATTTACCGCCTAATCAGACGTAGAGTTCTCCTTATGGATATTTCTCAGGCAGCGTTTGGTCTTGATATGCGAGAGGCGTCTCGAATCTACTTTATCAACCCGGTGTTGAATCCTCAGGTCGAAGCACAGGCAATAGGTCGTGCCCGACGAATCAGTCAGAAGAAACCAGTCTGGGTTGAAACCCTTGTGCTAAAGAATAGCTTGGATGAAGTCATCCTTGAGCGCAAGGGACAAATGACTCAGGCAGAACATCGCCATATTAAATCCATTCTGGATGTGCGTCCGATCTTCAATTGGATCAAGAACACTAGGATTAGCCCAATGGCCTCAAACAACGACAACTACACCTCACAAATGGCTATGCTTCATACTGCACAGGCCGTATTTGGTCGAGGTTTCGGAGTCACAAGCCACCCAGACGATGATATCATTTTAGATGAGAACCGCACGCCGAACAAGATATTGCCGGTGCATCAGAAGAAGAGGCCATATGAGGCTGGTCCAGGAAGCGAAGGAAAGATGGCGGATGAAAGTGCGGCGATATCCAAGCAAGAGGTGATGTCTCAGCCAGCTAGGCGAGTTCGCTTTGCCGTTGACTGGATTTGACTAGAGGAAAGCTTTGTTACACAGCGATGACTCGGGCCGGCTTGCAGGTAGGATTGTGATACCAGCCAACTGCTATTTTTGAATCTGTCGGCATGAACTTGATTTAGGATTAAAAGGGATGGTCTGTGTTATCATAATAGTTTGGCGAATTCCTGTATGTCGCCGATGGTACGGCCATTTACTGAAACTTGCACGCGAGGTGATTCATCTGTCCGCTACCCGAATAGGTTTCACTCTTATTTTTTTCCCTCCTCATTGTTTCTCCTACCCTTCTTTTGGGAGACAACTTTGCAGAAGGGGGTGCAAGTATGCCACTAAAATCATTCATTCAACACTCGCATTCCTGTCATCATACAACGAAATGACGGGCCTCTCTGGTCAGCAAATGAATCCTTGTGTTAGCTGGGAGACGCAGAAGACAGGTGAGATCTGAGCAATCGTCTAAAAAAACGCCTTACTCCAAGCTGAAAGCGATTCCGCCAGGCAGCTAGAAGAATATGATCCTACCTATTACTCACTCATGTCAGCCATGACACACTTCTCCAGGCTGAGACAAACCACGGGATTGGATTGTGCCTCGCGCCGAATAAGAATCTCGAAGAAAAGCGCCGGTGTGCCATAGCCCACGTGTTTAGTGCGCCTCTCGGCTGGGAACCAGTGACAGCCGCACATAAACGCCCTGCGGCTGAATCTGCATCGACGGATTGCTCTCAAGCTGATCCAGGGCACGGGCCTCTGACGGCCAGGCACAGTACTATTACGCAGAATCCAAAGGCGGCGGCGGCTGAGATGGTGAGTCTAGGCCTTCAGCCCCGAATCTAACAGCAATAACGCGCTCTACTCATAGGAGTCGAGAGATTTTGTGTGATTGGGCTCCACCAGATGTGCAAAGGAAGAAGCGAACAGCGAGTATTCGCGAGGCATCCGGGTGGGATGATTTGCTCATACTGTACTGATACGAGTACTCACGACCGTCGACAGCTGGAATTGGCCATCAAATGAATCCCCATCCACCATCGGTTTCTTGTCTTGGAAGTGAGGGCCGGCCAAATCATCCCAAAACTGCCCTGTCAAGGATTTGCTCACTAGTGCTAGTATTGGGCATTTCCCGATCCGGGCAAACACGAATTATCGGCCGCTCCACCCCATGTCTCGGGTGAAAAGGGCAAATTATAAATACGAATAGCGGGCCAGGAAGCAGCTTTCTGTCCTACCCAGCACTGGGATGGGGTGGCTCTTTGATTAATTCCCACAAATTTGCCCCTGGATCGGTGCCTGTACCTGGCTCGGCAGTCGACCCTCAGTCTGCAGCGCGAGCACATGTACCTGCGTCAAAAGTCTCTAAACTAGGGACAGCAAGGGCACTTAGGGCAGTGATTCGTGGAGCTGGCCGTCAGGGTATTAGTCGAAAAAGTAAATAAAAAAAAAAGGAGCTTACCTCTTCGTGGTAGCAGGTGAAGACGAGAGAGAGCCTGGCCTGGGCATTCGTCATGGGTGACCACCCCGGGAGAATCAATCAAAAAGATGTGCTTCTCCGCCCCTTTTGCCCCAGGCTTCGCTACTACTAGCCTGCTCCTCCAAAGCCCTTGAAGGGGACGCTGATCGTTCAGCTGATCGTCCTTACATTTGGAAGCTCGACAAGCGAAACGTGAGAGAGAGAGAGGAAGAGTGAGAAGCAAAAAGAGGTCGAAAGAGGCAAACTACCCCAGAACCAACATTCAGGCTGAATATCACGGGGTTGTTTAATTGCTTTCTCCACGCGTTACTGCTGCTACCTTTTGTACGCATTTTTTTTTTTTCTTGCATGATGAGCTACGTGCTAGATCTTTATGTGCTAAACTACAGCGAGACCCGGCATCATGACTTCGACGGCCACCATTAAGGCCTTTCCTCTCCCACCGGCCTTCACCGCGGCGGATCTTTATTCTATTGATGAGGCTTCGGACGGCAGCGCAGATGCAAAGAGCAATGAGCACGTGTCACGCATGGGTCGAAAGACAAGGGCGGCGAGTCAATCGTCGGCGCATCCAGTGTATCCAGGCCCTCAAAACGCATCAAGATTCCAGGATAGATCTCCGGAATCCTTCCACACGACACTGAAGCGACCCAAGAAGCTAGCAGGCACGTCTGGAAACCCCGGCAGCGGCGGTGGTGGTGTTGGTGGCAGCGGCGGTAACAGCAACTATACGCCGCCGACATCTCCCACAGCTATTGCTCATGAAGGAATCGCGGGTCCGAGGAGGCGGGCGGCTTCAGCAGGGAACAGGATGAACTTGAACACTTTGGAGACGAGCAGCTGGGTGCGCGAAAGTGTCTACCTGTCGTCCCCGATTCGAACTGCCTTCAGGCCTGACCGACAGCCTGGTGAGGTCTTCAGTCTCTTGCCTGGTGAGGTTCTCGACTTGGTCCTCCAGGCATTGAGGAGGTTGCACTTGGATAAGAATAGTGACAGTTGTGCGACGTGTATGATGCGCGATCTATGCAGCGCCGCCCTTTGCAGCAAGAGATGGTATAAGCACGCCCGCGCCGCCTTGTAAGTGGCCCTCTCATGATAGTTCTTTCTATCCTTGCTCTGTCGCACGTCTAATCGTTGAGGGTATACAGATATGAAGACATCCAGCTAGTAGGCTCAGACTCTGCCGCACACAAGAAGAAGTTTAAGCAAAACCAAGGCAACCGTATGGCCATGCTACGACGCACCCTGCGCTCCAACCCAGACATCGCCGTCTTGGTACGCTCGTTGAAAGTTCCACATCCAGAACCGCCGTTGAATTGGTCCGCCTCGAAGGGCATGCAGTGGCTAGAACAATACGAAGACCGCGTGGCCACGCTGATAATGGCTTGTCCGAAGCTGGAAAGGCTGTCGGGCCCAACGCCAAACTACGACCACTCGTTCAAGAAGATCTTCCACGCGTTGTCGACGCGGAAGTCACTAAAGGACATGACTTGGATCATAGATCCTGCATCCGTACCGCCACAGGGGCAGCGTACGGACTCTCCATCTAAACAACGGGTGCAAAGCGGCCCTTCTATGCTGGAGCCATCTCAAGGAGGCGCATTCCTGGGCAACCATCGAAACTGGTCCTCTTTGGCCAGGCTGTCGATACTCTGCGAGCCCGGCGCCACGCTGGCTCCTCATGGGCTCCTATCAAAAACATTAACTTACCTCCCCCAGCTCCAACACCTCCACCTCTGCAATCTCCCTCCCAACGCCTTCAACGATAACAACCTCCTCTCTCTGCCGCCACTCAAGTCCCTGATTCTCTCCCGCATCGTGGGCATTACCTCCAATGGCCTCACATCCTTCGCCACCCGCAGCAACACGTCGCATCTCCAGCGCCTCGAGCTCCGCAACACGCCTCTCACGTCTCTCCCGGCCCTCGCCCGCATCTTCTCCTACCTCCCGGCCCTCAAATACTTTTCTCTCGCGCAATCCTTCCCCCCCGTGATGCCCGAGACCGACTCCTTTGCGCTCTGGATGATGCCCTATCTCGCCTCGTCCACCATCGTCAAGCTCCACTGGGACATCACCAGCCATCCCGCTACCACGAACACCGCAGATGACATCCTCGCCCGTAGCATCGAGGCCGGGGGTTTCCCTGCTCTCACCACACTCCGAACCCCCAACGACCCCGAGGGCCGTTTCCAAGCCCTCTGCCGCCCCGTCGAGCAAGTCTGCCTCCCCAACGACCGCTTCTTCCGCCAACACGGCATCGGCAGCATCCCGGCCTCCGGATCCTTCAGCGCTCCCTCATCACCAATCTCCCCGATCCACAAATCCGCAACGACAATGTCCCTCCCGTCGACCCTCTACGCGCCCCCTTCTCCCGGGACCGACCTCCAAAAGGCCCGTCTCGCCGCCCAGGCGCGCCTCGAGGCCGCTCACGACATCCCGCGCTTCACGTTCAACATCACCGACGACGACGGACTCGTCAACCAGACAATCGGCGTCGTCGGCTTCGTCGGCACCCTGGGCAGCAAGATATCATATCACCTACTGCCCGATGATGGAGCCACGGACGAGCAGGGCGGCCTGGTCGACGTGATTGATCTCGTGGGCGATGGCGGAGAGGCGCTCGCCGGCGGCAGAGAAGGATGCACGGGGCGCTGGAATCAGAAAGAGGGCGAGGTGGCTGACAAGAAGGAGAAAGAGAAGTGGTGGCATACCGAGAGAGGGAGGTGGCGGCGGATTGAAGCCGCTTGATCTATGTTTTATCTTGTTTTGTTTTGTTTTTCTTAACAGAAGCTTTTTTGATTAATGGCAGGGGGGAATTGGGTTTGGCTTCATGAGAAAGAAAGGAGTTCGAGAGCGGTCACGACATCATGACAAGAAACAGTATTAATATCTACGCTCCTTAGATTGAAAACATGTAATCACAATGGAGACGTTCAGTCAAAGATAATCATTCATGTGTATACCATGTGCACAAGTGCAGTATACAGCAAAGCCGATATATTATGCGGTAATAGCAGTAGTAGAAAACAATTACTATGCAATTATGTCTAAAAAAAAAATGTGTCATGATTCATTCATGCTTGCTTGTTGCTCGCTTGCTAGTTCTGCATGCTTGCTTGCCTTGCCCTCCTTCTAACAAATCGTTCTGTTCAGGGCTCTTAAAGCCATTCCCTTGTGGTACCTTGTCCTGACTCTTCGTGGCGTCATGCCAACAGGCGGTATGCCTAATTAAAGAAAATCCAACTCTAATGTGTTTGTAGACTCTTTAAAAAAAGAAAAGAAAGAAAGAAAAAACCGAAAGCGCCGAAATTTCAAGCCTCGAATAACTGAATAAACTTTTTAATGTTCAAATATGTGATGAAAATAAACAAAATAAAGCAGACGAGATTGTCGCAGAAGATGCCTCAGTCATTCGTTAAAAAAGAAGGTGGGAGAAGAAAAGAGAAAAAGGATGAAAATTATGAAGAAAAAAAGGAGAGGAAGGAGGAAATTAAAAGAAAGGCGAAAAGGAGAATCGCGTGTAGAGACTAGAAAAATCTACCCTTCTTCTTGGGAGCAGGCTTTTTCTTCTGTGATTCTCCCAAGATATCATCAAAAGTGGTTCCGGATGTTGCGGCAACTCGGGCGGGAGAGCTCGGTCGCGAGACTCGAGGGGGGTTCATGCCCACGAGATTGCCAACAGACGAGCTCCGATTGGAGATGCGGCTGCTTGGTGGTCGTGGGCCAAGAGAGCTGCTTCGCTGGTGAGCACCAAAGATATTGGGCGGCTCCAGAGGCACAGGCTCCAAGCCCATCATGATGCTAGAGCGGTGTGCAGCGCTCGCGCGGCGAACGCCTGGCGAGAGATTCCGCGGTCGAGGACGCAGCTGGGGCGATCCAGGAGGCGGCGATGGGGTGCTCTGGCCAGAGAGGGCGCCCAATCCGTTGTTGAGGACGCCATCGCTATCCTGGAAAATTGGGCGAGGAGGCTCGAGAGGTTCCAGCGCTGGCTCCTCGAGCGGCGGGGTAGCCGAGTTACCCATTTCCTCCCAAATCTTTGCAGCCAGCCAACAGTGACTTCGGTGATATATGGCTTCCACGCTAAACATGACTGCATCCGCAGAGAGTTCGACGTACCCGCCTCCTCCAGCAACCTCATACCACATTTTTCGGACCTGTTTGTCATCAACCCAAGGGGGGTTGCCAATAGGCGGTTGGCACAGGAAATATTCTACTCCTTCTGCAAACTTGAGATCCGGAGCATCCACGACCAAGGTAGGGAGTGATTGAAGGACAACATAGAGGAAGAGGAAATAGCCAATGCGCTGGTCGGCGAGATCTTGAGCGTTCTTTCCCTTGGCCTCCCGAGCCTCAAACTCCTTGAAGGCATCAAGGAACGGAAGTCGAATGCTACTGGTATCGTAGTTGTAGGAGTTATTCAATACCAGAAGCATTTCCGGCTCCTTGATTTTCTTGTCGAACTTGGCTTGCTCTCTGGGGGAAAGGGTGTTGTATGTCTCGAGAATAGCCGTCATTGATGGAATCAGAGGGAGATCAAATGGAATAGGAGGTAGCACTGGGGGCCTGGAACGGTCAAATTCAGACTCAATGTTGCGGAGAGCCGATGTCATCATCTCGTCAGTTTCGTTAGAAACCGTCGGTACTTCGTCAATGACTCTTGATGTTAGGCTGTTCCGATCCACGAGCAAGTCGTAGAGGGCACAATGGTCTGAATACAAGGTTTTCAGCACAATTCGGTTCAAACCGCTCTCCGCAAACGGATTCTTCTTGCTACTGGCTTTAGGTGGCCAGCTGCCAAATGCCGTCCTGTAGTAGTTCAAGACGAACTGCCTCATCCGGTTAAACGAGTTCCGCCAAATCTTGAAGCGAACATGCTTCAGCTCAGGAATAGAAGACGAATTTGCGATACCCGCAAAGAGAGACGGGAATTCAAACTGCTCGAGATGTTCATTCACATTGTGTTGGCGGTTAACAAGGTCCAGATGAGCCCTTTCTAGGCGCTGGCGGGTGATGGGAGAAACCAGCTGAAATAGGGGCAGGCGGAGATCCATGATGGCTGAGTATTTCCCTGCGGCATGTGCAAAGGCCTCGTTATAGAGCTCGACAGACCGCATACGTTCACCCAGGATAAGGGCCTCCAGTGTCTGTTCTCGGCTATGACGACAGTCTCCAAAACCCAATGACTCCGAGTAGAAGCCAAAGCTCAGGTCGACAGCATTGCCGAAAGAATAGCCATCAGCGCTTGAGAAGCAGAACTCCTGCAGGAGATCCGAAATTTGGAGAAAGGCATGAAACGTCCTCGGCCGTTCTGGTGTTCCCACGAGTGGCTGGCCTGTGAGGAAGGCGAATAGGTTTCGAATTGCAATCAAACGTTCCAGCTCCGCCTTTGAGTTATCCACGGGCACTGTCAACGAAGTTGACGAGGCGTTTGAGGGTGGAGAGGGGAGATAGAGGTGTAGGTAATCCGAAGAGTTATCAAATGGAATCGTTGGAGATGAGACTCGCGAAGCATCATCGGTGCTAAGGCTATCTCTCCCAGTAGAGTTTCTAGCCCTGGCTCTGGAGACCGTCGGAGACTCCAGTTCTGACCGGATAAGTTCGTTGAAAATAAATGAAGAGCTCACAGTAAATTCTGGAACTTTAAAGGACGGTCCGCGCCCGGTAGATTTTGGGTACAAATAAACAAGAACTGCGCCGTTCTCATTCCAGAGTTCAGGAACCTGTGGGTTGTCGCGTTAGCCATTGTCAATCAGTGTTGAATAAAGGGTGTAGCTGTGTTTTATACCTTTTCTCCATTCTTCAGGAAAGCCGGGTTGTATTCCGTTTTGTTATCTTCAGATATGACCCAGGCAGCCAAATTGTTGCCATGGTTGGCGTCCATGGAGTTGGAGCGGGATCTACCAGGCATCCAACTTCGTCGTAGTTTTCTCCTAGTTGGACTCTGGCTAACGCCAGACACGGGGCGTAGGTTTGTGGATGTAGACAACCTTGACCCATCTATGAGTGTAGAGTTGACTCGTGCGGAGACACTTCGTCCTCTGGGCTCAGGCAGAGGGGCCGTCTGTCGAGTTCTCAGACCTTGCATGGGAGGAAGAGAGTCCTTCCGCTCTGAATATGATATGCTCCGCTGTCTGTTTATGTTGATATCGACATTTCCACTTCCATTTGGTGGCAGAGACTGTCTGAAGGGGTTCTCGCTATTCTCGATCGAATTGCGGTTCGAGCCAGCGCTCTCATCAATGGCCCCAAAAGACGATGTCTCTGGCCCGGGCGACGGTGGAGTAGGATCCATAATGACCGGATTGACTCTGAGCTGGGATTCGATTTGGGAGTCAAAATCGAAAGCAGGAATGGCTGGGACCGGTATATCATGGTCAACGACTGGTGTATTCGTTGCGGAATAAACAGAGGGAGAAGGTGGTGTGGGGTCCATGATCTGCGGAGTGACGTCGGCTTCGTCCAGGGGGCTAATGATATCAGACTGTGGCATTACGAGCAGCGATATCTGAGATGACACGGTTGGTGTTTCTGAAGAGGGATAAAACACTTGGGCCTTTGGTGGCATCGGAGGACTGTGTTGCGGGGGCGGAAAGGATGATGTATCAGAGTGCTGGTGGTCTGATTCAAAAAGGGTTGGGCTATCATCGGCCATGCTTGAGGAGCTAGTTGATTCCGCTACCGAGTACAATGGCGGCTGAGGAGGAGGTGGTGGAGGCCCCGACGGGGGTGGAGGAGGAGGATCGAGAGGCGCAGGAGGAGTGTCGAAAGAATTAGCAGGAGAAGGATCAAAAAAATCAGTCGGAGGATCGAATGAAGCAGCAGGGGCCGGTGGTGGAGGCGGAGGCGGCGGTGGTTGTGATGGAGGCGCCATGTTGGCGATGGGCTTCCTCTGAATAGACATGGGACGCTGGTCTGTGGTTTGGATTGTAAGCGACGGAATCAAGGATGAGATTCGAGTGCTCCAAGGTTTAGGCTTCGATTTGGCCCGTGGTCTGGACGAAGGCGGTTCGGGATCAGAGCTCCTCTCGACGACGGGCTCCAAGATCTTTTGCGGCCCGTCAGCCGGCTGCGAAGCCGGGGCCTGGCCATTGTCGCGGAGCGCCTTTCGAACAGACGAGTCGGAATCGGATTTTGGTTTCAATTCGGGGCCATTTTGCGAATGGGATCGGAAGGAGGAAAGAGAAAGAGACGAGGGTAGAAGAGTGGCTCGAAGGGACTTACTCGAAGTCATATTGGGCTGATATGACCTGTCCGTCCGCAGCAAGCAGCTTGCTACGTACGTATCAGAACAGCAGAGGGAGGGCTCTTGTATATATCGAGCGAACAAACGTCAAGTGGAGCGTGCAAGTGGATTTCGATTTGTCGAGCAGGCAGCGCGTGTCAGAGGGATGAGCTGCGGCAGCACAGTACAGTACGTACAGCACTGGGACCAATTCTGAGGCTGGATCTCGAAAGCTCACACCCCCTGTGAGAATATGAACTGCCCGGAAGAGCAAGAGGAGGCGTCTAGTGTGCGAAGCTGTCGGCAAAGACGTCGGAACGAGATTCGACTGGTCCCGGAGGCGCAGAGCAGACAAAGTCCGGAGAGGCGTGCGGAACGGCGTTTTGTCGACAACGTATTACTGACTCCTCGTGGTGTCTGGATCGAGTTGAGCGACGGGGCTTGAGGCTACTTGGTGGGGACCCGATGACGTTTTTTTTCTCTCGGCAAAGGGGAGTCCTTTTTTTGGGTACCTCAGCAGGGACAGGGAGCAGTTCTTGTGGAATCGTGTCTCATCGCTGACTAGCAGAGCCCTTGTCTTCGTATCGACGGTCTTGGGGGGGGAGGACGACAGCAGATGCGCAGCCCAGCCGGTGGCCCAGAGTATGAGTATATATACCGGCGCGAGTAGAGGCCAGAACAGACGCAGCGTTTGGCACGATGGGGCCTCCGTCAAGGCGACGACGATTCGGGGTATATCATGAAATGAGGCGGCTGTTTGCCCGTCATCAGCACCTGCAGCTGATGGGCTCAGTTAGTACAGTCGGGCCCAGAGAGAGGGCTGCAGCACCTGAATTTGCCCCATTGTCAGGAACCCCAGCGCGCACATCTCGGAGACGGCCCACTCCCTGCGTCGCTATTTTTGATCCATGGACGTCAAATAGGGTCCGCCTGGTGGGACACACGGTCCTGTTCAGGGGTGCGTTAATGGGACATGACGCTGAGTTTTGTGCGCCATGATTCGGAGAGAAAAAAATCATGGTTGCACTAGCATTGGACTAGGCAGCTGAACAGCAAATGAGCAGCTGCCCGTGGACTCGCTGCGTTCCTGCCATTGCTAAAAGCTGCCTGTTGTCGGTGTACCAGAGCGGTAGGAGGTACAAGGCGAGGTTGGAGAGGTTGGAGAGGTCGATGTGGTGGCTTCGTGGTGGCTGCACTGCACAAAAATAAGCATTTGATGGATTCACACGCCCGCAGAGGAAAATGACGCCATGCGCGGACCATGACAGGTGCGCTGAGTACTGAGTACTACAAGTTCCAGGTATCACTGATGCATTGGTTACCTCCTGTTTAGGTGTTGACAGTAACACCCGACAGTACCTAGATTCCACCACTGCTACAGTAAATTGCTGAGCTGACCATGATGACTGGTGTAAACCCGTAATAAAATCACACAATGCTCGGCATCCGTATCCCGCATTTCGCAGCAGTAGGTACTCGTACGGTGATTTAGCAGGCACCTTACTGTACGAAGCAGAAGCAAGGTAGCACTGCCAGGTCCCAATACGGACGTGCATTGCTGGCACTCCCAAGGTAAAACCGTCCCAGGGGGCCCGGCAGCATGTACATGTAACCTCAGGCCCCCGTACAGGGCCTCGTCCAGCCAGTACCTGCTTCCAGAGCTGTGCCACGTTCCTTCTGGCAGCTGCTCAGGGTCCAGCTGAAGCATCCCCGTACCTGATGGCAGGTACCACCTCCAAGTACCTCTTACCAGGCATGTACATGGTCAGGAGATTCCTGGTAGGGCTTTAAAATCAGGATCTCCCTCTTCTCCGCTTGCTGCACCCTCCAACGTCAGCCCCCGGCCCTCACACAACATGGTGCGCAGATTTGCATCTTGAACATACGAGCGCCTAATAAAATACGTGCCGACCCTGCTGTGCTGGGATTTGTATTCCGTATACGCGCACTCATGTCCAGATCAAAGGGGGCTGATGCGCGCGCGCATTAGTCGAGTCGTAGGAGTTCTGGAAAAAAGGAGATTAATACCCACGGCTGCGCCAATCTGATTATTTTTCTGCTTCCCTGCGTCGCTGCTGTTCTGATTGAGTTGAGATCCAAGCGTGCAACTACTAACCGAAGGTAGTATTGCTCGGTACTCGCGACCACCGTCAGGATCCATGACTTGGTCCATGCCGGCCTTCGAGAAGAAGCGCCGGGGAGGATGGATACTTCGTACAGTTCACCACTCGAGCAACGAGCACCGTATCACAGCCTCAACACGTGGGCTGTCCCCTCTCGGCACTGCCATTGCCAATAATTATTTATAAAGGTATATCCCATACGGAGTACAAGTATGCACAAGCACCCCATAACGCTTCGTGTCGGCCGCGAGCAGACGGCAAGCCGGAGGTTTTTGGAGCCCCAGAGCGCGCGGCCTGTGCCGTATATCCTTCTTGGAGTCCCTTCAGAGGAGACAGTTGACAGAATAGCGTCGTACTCGTATGCCGTGACGATCATGTTCGTATTTCTCCAGACGTTTGACGTTGCCGCGTGGCTCAGTCACTTGATTTACATGTTTTATCGCCACTACGACTGCTGCACGGTGCCGATTGCAGGAATGCTTCAGGGTTGCATTGCTGGCTCCGTATTCAACAAGCTCTGACAGTCAGTATTCCTACCGGGGGGCACTGTTACGAGCGTTTCCAAAAGACTCAACTGAGCAATTTTTTCTCCCTCCATTTCATAAAAAAAAGGGGTGTGTTTTTGCTCGCTGTTTTTTCCTTTACTGTCTCCCCCTCAACAAACAAACGGCCGAGTATGGGAAACGTCAGGTCTGCGCCACAAAACATTATGGGGACTGCGCCCAAGCCATCAAACCTTGCCCTGATTATTAAGACGACATAGAGACTCTGATTCGAGGATCGCGCGTCTTTTGTTGAAGCTGTGTGTTGCTGATAGCCAGGCGTCAATCTTATTCTTAACCCCGCCTAGTACTTGATGCTATTTATACCGTTGCTTCCAATGCTAGATGAGGTGAGATGGGCGTGAACAACAAAAGGGGTGGGTTCATATATTACCACAGCCGCAGCAACGAAAGAGAAAAACAACACATCGTCCGCCAGCAGTCACGGTTGGGATTGGGCTGTGGACTCTTGTTTTTGCCTCGAGCCGTGTGTCTTTCCGCGCTTTCCAAGTGGAAACACCCGACGACAATAACTGGACACTATGTTACCCGGGACCGGAACTAAAACTGAACTCAATCCGCGCGCACTGGTCATGGACGCGGTTCCAGATAATCCGATTAGTTGGCGCGGCGAACAATTGCCTCAGACTAAGGACAAATCTCTGGCATGTTTTCATTGCACACAAGAGCTAAGAGGGCGGTGCGCGCTACTCTAGTCGTAGTCTGGTTTTGCTAAGAGGTTTTCCGCCGCATTTTGTCAGGGCTCGCTTGAACAAGTTCAGGCTCGCCAACCAAAGGATTAGAGAGCAAGGCGAAGGTTGCTACGCCCGTGGATGTGACGCGTACAACTAGTGGTTGAAACCCACGGGCCATGATCCCAATCATCTTATCCACCGAATAAGCTACAGCGAAGAGCCGTCGTCGAAAAAGCAGCGCCAAAGGGCTGGAGCTCCAGGCAACTCGAGGCTACCTCTCTTCTCCACCATCAACAAATCCATCCCATCCTCTGCATCTACATCTGTCCTTGTACCGGGCCCAGGATACTGGAATCACAAGCCAGACCCACATCTCGAAAATTGCCTAATTCGGTGGAACCGCCTTTCGGCGTCCAATCGATGGTGCAGCGCGTAAACGAGAAAATCCAACGGAATTTATCCTCGCTTGATTAAAAAAACATGGCAAATCCTATGGCAAGCCCGGCGTTTTATTAGAATTCATCTGCAACCTTCTTATTTAGCGCCTACCGAATAGTACGTTTAAGCTCGAGATTCTTGGGAGCGTGTCTGTCCCTGATTCGCAATTTTTTACTCTTGCTTTCTCTCTTCATCTCGTATCCCGCAACAGCCTATGAGCTGGTGGAGATGTAAAAAAAGAAGAATCCCGGCTAAAACAAACACGCTTTATCTTGTTGTCTTTTCCTATCACAGGAATAAAGCTGCAAACGTAGCGTCCCCTGGCCCCCAAAACTTAAACCTACCTGCCTACTAGCACGTCTAGCATCCGCAGTAAGCGATTCAAAACGCCCTTCAAAAATACACGTTTTGCTCAAATGCCCATTTCTATTCTCTTCTTTTTTTTCCGCAGCTGTACACTACTGCAGCCCCGCAACGTCATAAATGCAGGAAGCAGGTAGTATGATAATAAATAATAAAACGCATGCCCCGATCCACACAAGCTACCTAGTATTCTATCTCACCTTACCTTTTAACGCCCTTCTCTCCCCCACCCCGTATCAAACAGACGCCCAAGAGGGCAGATCGTAGATCGACAAATCTGACGCGGGCAAACGCAAATCAGGATTTGCTTTTCCCTGGCCCCAAAAAAACACAAACCACCCCGACCAATCCGGTTTCTAAAGCAGTATAGCGGCCCTCTCTAAGACTCGGGCTAGAGAAAGTAGCACCACATACTCTTACACCTTAGCTCTTTGGCAGGGAGACAAAGTAGCAAGTGGCAGAGCAAGGACCGTAAGTCGTAAACGTCGCCCAAGTCCGTAGGTCATCGGCTCTGTTTTTTTTTTAGAAGCCAAAGAGAGGCCTTGTGCCCAACACCCTCTTTAAGTAGATCGTTCGCCCCCCCGGTTCTCGGCCGTATTCCTTGGAAAAAACATGTTTTTCTTGTGACAGAGTTTTCCCTCTCTCCCTCTGGCAGTTCTCACTGCCTCGTTTCATTTTTTTCATTTCTTTTAAATCGATTCTTCACCATGTTGGACATGTCACTCATCAGCGCCGGGAAACATTTCATGTCAACTCTATCCAGCGTGATCACCGATTGAGCGGCTCTTCCCACGGACGCCCTACCCGACCTCTTCCCGCGCGACGGGAGACAGAGTTTATCAGGACAGAAAAAGAGTTTGGAAACTCCCCAATTGGTGCCCGCAGTCATAAATCAGAGAGCTGAATAACTGGAGAGTCCCCAGGACAAGAGTTCGGCCGATTTTCAGCACCGTCCAACTGGTCCTGCTGTCGTCTGCCCCGCGATCCGAGGTCGAGGAGGAGCATCTGGCCTCGCCTCGCCAATCCGCCCTTCCAATCCGCCCCTGCGCTCCCACAGGCCATCCGAGCAATCTGCTGGACAAAACAGGCCACATCCGGACCAAAATGAGTGTATTCGGCTCTGCCCTCTCCATGGATTCGCACAATCATCCCATTGGAGACGTCCGGAGAGTCTCGCGGGGAGTCACCTGACATTCGCGCTAATGGCCCAAGTCCTGGTCGGTGGTCAAAATCGGTGAAAGTAGGGATTGCCATTGGCCAGAAGAGAGGGGGCCCACAGGCGGATTGACCAATCAAGTCCCCAGCTTTCACCGAGAATGCACATCCGATGGTGGTGTAAGTGGCAGGACGAACCCAGAGTCCCCTTGGATGCCAAATCTATAATTCTCTTGTGTCAGGCAGAGTTCCTGAAGCAGACAAATCTTACACAAAAGACCTGGGACATTGGGCATCTTCACCTTATCGTCCATCTGACAGGAAGCCACCTGCTTCAATTCGTCCTGGTAGCTAGGCAAGGTCCCACTGCGTCCCGTGACTTACACGGATATCAACATGGATTTCCCTCGGGACATGACCCGGATGGAACTTGAAAACCCCCGTCTCTCCCCTTCCCCGGAGCTAGAGGAGCTCTTCCACCAGGTCTTCGACTGGCAAGCCTACTCCGGGGACGCTAAGACATCTGATCCCTCTTCCCATCACCACCTCCGCAAGCAATCCCTTAGCAGGATCATCACCGACATCCCATCCTTCATTAGAGACCTTACTCTTGAGTCCGATAGGGATTTCTTCGACATGCCTTCGTACTCGTCTGACGATGGACTCACGTCTGACTACTCGGCCGGCCAGACTCCCCCGGACCTGGTCCAGGGTGGCAGCACGTCGCCCTCCGACCACTCGGGGTCGTCTCCCTTCCTTGAGCCACTAGACGATGGCCACTACCACCCGGAGGCTTCCCTTAGGGAGGTTCAAGCTCAGGACGATGAGTGGACCTACCCGCAGACGGACTCTTCCAAGGGCATGGTCCAGGGTTACCCCCATCACCTTCAAGGCCTAGATGATCGCCTCAAAAGGGCCGTCGACCAGTCCTCAAAGCTGAAGCGTCGACGATCTGGCAATGACCTAGAGAAGAGACCACGGCAGTTGGTTGACCCCGGCCAGACGGCAGACGTCCGCAAGAGTGGAGCCTGCCTGCCATGCCGTGTGTCTAAGACCCGAGTAAGAAGTCACTGTACCTCCCAGGTCCCCCAATTGAATGACAGGAAAGCTGAGATTATTCTCTCCCAGTGCCATGATAGTGGAGTCTGCCCAACGTGCAGGAAGGCGTTCCCAGACCATTCTCACCTGGCCTGCACTCGCGCCACACCATCCACGTTTTGGCCCGTAATGGGCAAGATCCCCGGTATGTGGCGCACGGCACAATGCAAATTGTGCATCATCTGAACAAGCCGTTGGCTCAGGGTATTAACAGTGCAATTTTTGTGTAGATGTTTGGTCCACCAATCCCAAGGACGAGGAGCAACTTTGCTCCGGCCCACGGTTTTACACTGGAAAGCCCCGAGAGATCTCGGTCTTTTTCACCCCGGACACCAGCCTGCCGGCTCTGCGCGCCACGGTCCAGGCCTACCGGTCGCAGGGGGGCTCTGAGGAGACGGGCAGCCTGACAAAGGCCGACTTCCCTCGGGACTGCGTTCCGAGCCACCAGCTTCTGCAGAGATGGGTTGAGAACCAGATCCAGACTGAGCAGAAGTCCGACTTCCAGCAAGCAGTCCAGAGCTTCGTGCTTGCATACTCGGAAGAGGGCTGGGGACTTCCCAAGGTATGAGCCAATGAAAACCCTTTGGGACTCGTCATCACCGAGCTAACCGCTTCTCGCAGCATGACCTCGTCAACAAAGTCCACAGGATGAACTGCTTCTTCCGCATCTGGAAAGCAAGATCGTTCTGGTGCCTGGACCCAACCAACAAGCTCACAACTCTCCCGCTGTCTGTCCAGGCTCAACTGAGGAACATTGCCCGACGAGCAATTTACTCGCTGGAGCATGACATTCTCAAGGAGATGGACGAGTGCATTGCGCAGCAACTCCCAACAAAGACGCAGGACAGAATCGCCATCTGGGCGAGCATGTGGCTGCTCATTCTCATGTACCGAGAGCTCCTGCAGGGTTTCAAGACCCATATCGGTCGCCTTGCGAGCAACAAGAGCGAGTCCGCCCAGAGCAGTAAGTAACCCCAAAGAAAGATGAAAAAAAAAAAAGAAAGGAAAAGAGTCCCAGCATGAGTACTGACAAGCTTGCTAGTTGCCATTCAGGGACAACTCTATAAGCGTCTCGCGGACAGCTTCTTCCCACTCTTGGTGGTGTTTTACCACTACCAGTTCCGAACAAAGAAAAGCTTGGAGCTGTCGCTGGACTGGCTCAAGTCTCCAACTTACCCTGCTGCGGCATGCCATAGCAGAGCGATCCGCGAGGCTGCCCAGCAACTTCTCGACTCTCGCAAAGAACACTGTAAGTTGGTCCTGGAGAGCCGCACCGCTCGTTGTCGTTTCATTGTAGCCCTGCTAACACCTGTATCAGATCAGAAACTGCAGTCTTCAAAGAGCGAGATTGATCAGCTGCTGTGCGTCTTCGTGGTGAACCACGAGCTGAAGAAGATGAATGCTAGGAAGCGCCCTTCCAAAGCTAAAGGCTCAAAGCACGCAGTCGAGGACGATTGTGATGATGATGCCGAGTAGATGATTTGCCCATTCTATAAGGACATGCTTCATGAGTTACGACTTGATGACAAACAAGAATGCAAATGGAACATTTTGACTAGGAAATGATGAAAAAAAATTGGCGTCCAATGTTTTGGTGTTTGGGGGGAAGGGGTTTACGTCTTCATGATTTTTCTTTCTTTCTTTTGTTTTTGTTTTGTGCTCACCTGGAGAAAAATTGAAAAGTTAGACAGTATGAATGAATCATGATTGAATGACTATTTGTGTTGAGATCGTCTTGGTGGCCTTTGCATTGATCTTAGCCGCAGAGTTGACATGGTCGATGAGATCCTCCCTGTTGACACGTCTGGCAATTTCGCTAGCTAAGCCAATCTTCAACAAAACTTTGTCCTTCTTGCCCTCTCTCTGCTCGACGCGTGACTCGAAGCTGTGTAGGGTTAGACTTTTGGTCATGGAAAAGTCAATGCATGTTTGGGTTTGAAACTTTACCTGATAGCGTCGAACACCTGGCCCGCTTGTTTCGGCATGACGGGGAAGATGGTGGCTAGGACACTTGCGACGGCACCAAGGTACTGGGCCCAGAAAGACGAGCCGGCACCCCTGTCGTCGAGTATGCCCTGCAGGCCCTTGTGCAGCTGGGCATCAAGAGGCCCGAGGCTGCCTCCCCATCTCGCGGCGACGCCAAGGCCAAGGAGCGCGCGGACAAGATGAGTCAGGCCGGGGCAGTCGGTGTCACGAGAGACGGCATCGTGGACGGCAAAGGCGGTATTGGAGTCTGCATCATGGCCGTGGCGGCTCCAGACTTCTCTGATGAAGAGCATGCCCGCACCGGTGTTGAAGATGGTGGGGATGCGGGCGTGGGCGAAATCTGACGGAAGAGATTCTGATAGCTTACTCAGAATGGCTTCAAAGACTTCTTTTTCACCATCTTGTACATTGGCAAGGACGTCAAGAGGATTGCTCTCTCTGATTTCCCGAGGGAGCTTCATCATCAAAGCGCCCTGTCGGTTGGACCCCCCGCAGAATGTGACCCAGCCGAGGTATGGGACAGCCTCGACGAAAGCCTCGACGACGGTAACAATGGCAGGGAACTGGTGTCTGCGTCGCTTGGACAGTCCAAAGATCTTGCCCTCGTAGTTCTGGTTCATGTGCAGCATTCGGGTCGTCTCCTTGAACCGAGAGCCGCGAACAGCATAGGTGTTGGACGACGAGATGGGGTAGGGGCTGATAGGGTCGTCGTGCATCAGCATGCTGCCGTAGCCGCGGAATCCGCCGCCACACATGTAAACATCGACGAGGATCTCTTCCCCCCTCTCGTTTGCATCCTTGATGGCTTGCAGAGCGGGAAACTTGCTACATAGGCTGGCGTATAATTTGCCAAGGCCATCCCTCAGGTTAGCCGTCTCAGTAGCTTGCACATGCTCGGGGTGTTCTTGTAGCACACGCATTAGCTTTGCAGCACCATAAGGCAGACTTCCCCCGGCACGAGCTGCTTCTATTTCGTAGTCTTGAGTGTTAGTGTCCACCCAAGTCATCTGCACGCTTCCGCCTCCAAGGTCAAGGAAGAGAGCACCACCGGGAACGCCTCCGAGGCCGCTCCTCGATCCCATGACGGCACCGAGGAGCGTTTCAACGGGGGGATCAAGGATGGAAACAGTCAGTCCACCAGTGGCCTTTGCGATGGTATCCAACATATCAGGGGCGTTGACAGCCCGACGCATGGCCTCGGTGGCAAGCATCATGATATGTTGGGGAGGGACATCGTGAGAGACAGCAAGGTGATGAAAGCGTGCTATGGCAGAAGACACCGACTCTATGGTTGCGGCAGGAAACACAGGCCCAGAGGGGGACGGCGTCAGGGCATCAAACAGCGAAATGGCCTCTCTTGCAGAGTAAACCGGGGTGAGAAGACGAGTACGGGGAGGTGCCAGGGAGGTGATGCTGAAGCGGATGCCATTGCTGATGCCACTGTCAGTGCCAGTGATTCAACCAGAAGAGCTCCAGGAAACTAACCTGCCCATGTCAACAACGGCGTACAGGTGGTTCTGCTCATCGGGGCGCCATTGGGGGAGCTTCTGGGACAGATTGTCCAGCGTCACAATGTTGGTGGCCGGCATGATGTAATAGCGTCGGCCTTGTTTTCGTAGTCAGAGTCTGATGGCGCCTCCCCGTCAGCAAGTCGGTCAAGAGAATAGAAACAAAAAATCAAATCAGATCACAATGCGTACAGGTGGCAATACAATACGAGCGCTAGCCTCGAGACACCTGTCACAAAGCGAAGGCGATGCACGATCTGGGTCGATCGGTCTGAGGCCCGAATGCGACGGGATTCTGGGTTGGCAAAGGTTGGTTGGAAAAAAACCTGGAATCCATGCTGGCGTGGGGTTTCAGTGGATAGTAGCGGACGGATCCGAATCTCCGACGCCTGGAACGGGTACCTAGCGGAAGGGCACGCGAGACGGGCTAGGGGAGATCTCGAATCTGGAGTCTCGAAACGCTAACTCAACGGCTAGAGTCACGGTTTGCAAGAGGAGGAGAAACGAAGTTTTCTGGCAAGCTCTTTTTTTTTGCAAAGTCGGGGGAGAGGCATAGATGCCCAACAAGACCCCCACCATATATGTATTCGCAGCAAAGCTCATGCACTTCATCTGACATCTGGCGAATAACCCACAGGCCGTGCAGCCTCGACCAATCGATGCCGCCATTCACCTTGCACACAGAGGCATACGTGGAACAGCGTCGTCCTGTCCATGCCGTCGCCCTACATAGACCGTACATGTAGTACCTAGTACGAGTATAGTATCTCGTAACTCGTGCTGCTGCCGTTGCTCCATTCTTCCCATTCCTCCATTCCTCCATTCCCACCTACACGCACATACATGCCCCCCTTCCCCTACACCTGCTTGCTTGGCTTGCCTGCCTCCCACTCAGCGTCAAAGCCCAGCATTGACTCACGCCTGTCTGTCTGCCGCAACATGACGAATGACTGTGGAGCGGCACCTGCGAGGTTGTCACCGGGCGGACGCGGCTGACCCCGTTCCGACGAGACTGATTGGTACGAGGCCACCACCCGGAGACGAGGATGGGAGGACGAGCAGCCCCTTTGAGCTCGACAGACAGGTCCGATGTGAGTTGGATGCACATGTCGGTCGATGGCATCATCTGGGTTTAGTGTGCTCAATCCCCCAGCGGCGTGCATAATCGCAGTGCATCGTGTCTGAGTCTGGCTCGTACAATGAATGCATCTCCCATGTTTTGTACGTGGACGTGCATGCTGTCGGAAGCTTGTCAGCGACTGCAATACCATGACAAGGCCACAGGCACGAGTATAATAAGAAGGCTTGAGACACGTACCACACAGACCTACATGACGGCAATGTACATGTATGGAGCTTCTCAGCACCTGTAGGAACTCATCAATCACCACCTCGTCTGCACCTGTAGCAGCAGCCGCAAGTTGCTATTCGTTCGGCTCCGTGGCCCTAGATGCCGCCTGCGCTGGGGTTACATGAGACAATGCACTCGGGAGTTGTTGTTGGGAAGAAGTGGGAATGAGCAAGCACTCTTCCCCATCTATAGCAATAGGTCGATTCAGAAGCATTTTCAGCCCCAGAGAACAAGTCGTGTGTAATCTCGGGCCCTGCCAATGGCACGGAACCTGCTTCCCCCCACACTGCCGGAACGCAAAGCCGCCTCGTAAATGGTGGTGTCGCTTGGGGACTGTGCTGTACATAGTACAGTTATTCGTAAGGCATGCACCAGTTGGGTATGTGTGTTGTTCGCGCCCACATGGACATACATATGCGTGCTGATAACCCCTCAACGGCAGCATCAGCGCGCTGCAACCAAACCGGTGAGGAGGAGCAGAATGTGCGACAAGGAGAGTAGGCAAGTAGGGTAGGCCAAGGTTGATTTTCTTGATAAAGGATGGGTCATCTTCGGTTGGAGATGGACATACGGAGTGCCTGGTGGTATATAAGAAAAAGACAAGTTCGTATGAGGGAGCTGTCATGGTAGTTGACTTTCCGTTTTGAGTAGGGGGCGATGAGCGATGAGCAGTGTGGCGCGCTGTTTTCTCGCCCAACCTGTCCGTACTTGGGAGGTGGACTTTTGTTGGCTGATGCCCAAGGGCCGCAGGTACTGTACCACCACGAAGATGGCGTCTGTCTGTCTGTCTACGAGTACATGTACTGCTGGCGAAAATATAGTAGTACTTATGAGCAGGTAACAGGGAGCCACTGCTCAAGTAATACCACCTACCTAGGCAATTAGGTATCCCATGATGCCTTAGTACCTAGTAGTAATAGCAACTCTAAAGGCGTGGGCCTCTTAGCCTTCAATCTGCCCCTCGTTCCTCATGGCGATTAAACCATTTGCTACTGATGAATCCGACGCGTCTTGTTCCCTCGAGGTCTGCTCCTGTACTGTACTTGTATTGCAGCACCACATGTGCTTTGTTCCTGTACAGCACCACGGAGGCAAGGCTCCTCAGCAGCCTATCCGAAGCCGCTCTCTCTTTTCAACGTATCAGGGGTCGAGCCCATCTGTCCTCGTCACTGCCCAATCGCTCGCCGCATGTCCGGCACGGTCTCATTGGAGAATCGGGTGCTCAACGTGCGTGCTTCTGACTGGCAGCGATATGCTCCAATCATGAGTGGGCCGGCTGTACCCGCTGTCTCTCTCGCTGCCATTGTATCGTACATGGTCGATATTCGCCGAAGCTCTTGCATGGCGGCTGCGACTCTAATGTGAGGATCCCGGGTTCCCGTCTTAAAGTTAACGTTAATTTCGGTGTCAATGGCAATGGCAGCTAGTCTTGTCAAAAACAAAACACATCCTTGGCCGCATCAATTGACGACGTCTGTCGACTGATCCCTCGCTCCTCGTCTGAGCAACCTGCATCCAATCCCAGCGTCCAATCAGCATTTATGTCCCCATTGGCTATCGGCCGAATGCCATCCCTCGCTTGCTCGCTTAGATGATAGCAGGGCCCCGCTTTTATGATGCACACGTTTTCC